GGAAGACATTGGTGGAGAATAAGATCGGGAAGAAGATCAAGAAGCTGCGAACGGACAATGGTCTGGAGTTCTGTAATTCTGAGTTCAACGAATTCTGCAAGGATGAAGGGATTTCCCGTCATCGGACTGTGAGAGATACACCCCAGCAGAATGGTGTTGCAGAAAGAATGAACCAGATGTTGTTGGAGAGAGCACGGTGCATGCTCTCTAATGCTGGACTAGAGAGAAGATTCTGGGCAGAAGCAGTGAACATGGCGTGCTTCCTGATCAACCGTGGACCTCACACAGGTATTGAGTTGAAGACTCCTTATGAGGTGTGGTATGGTAAGCCTGCTGATTACTCTTCACTGAAAGTTTTTGGGTGTCCTGTTTATTATCATGTGGATGAGGGTAAACTAAACCCAAGGGCAAAGAAGGGTGTATTTATGGGTTACGGAGATGGAGTTAAAGGATTTCGAGTCTGGTCACCTTTTGAGCATCGAGTTATACTCAGTAGAAATGTGATATTTGATGAGAAGTCTATGTTTAACCCCATGTTGAAGGCTACTGTTGTTGAAGGTAGCAGGAATGTTGATAAACAGGTGGAGCTGCAAACTCTCAAAGAGAGTGAGTTTGAGCACCAAGGTGGAGAAGATCAACATGATGAGAATGTCTCTGGAGAGCTAGAAAGTTCAGAGTCCAGTGCACGAGCTCAACAGTCTATAACTTCCGGTAGACCGAAGAGAGCGACTGCAAGAGTACCTCCACAGAGGTATGGCTTCGAGGACATGGTGGAGTATTCATTTCAGGTTGCTGAGGAAGTGGATGCAGGAGAGATACAGTCCTATAGAGAAGTAGTTTCGGGTGGTGAAGTTGATCAGTGGCTTGCCGCAATGGGAGATGAGATGGAATCCCATGACAGGAATCAGACTTGGGAGCTAGTCAAACGACCATAGGGAAGGAAGATTGTTACAAACAAGTGGATCTACAAGAAGAAGGAAGGAATCACTTCTAAAGAGGGCATGAAATTTAAAGCTCGGGTGGTTGCACGAGGCTTCTCGCAGAGGGAAGGAGTTGACTACAATGAGATTTTCTCACCAGTGGTCAGACATACTTCGATCAGAGTGCTACTAGCAATAGTGGCACATTATGACTTGGAGCTCGAGCAGCTAGACGTGAAGACAGCTTTCCTGCATGGAGAGTTGGAAGAAGAAATTTACATGACTCGGCCAGAAGGATTCGAGGTTCCGGGAAAAGAAGACTATGTTTGTAAGCTGAAGAAGTCCTTGTATGGACTTAAGCAATCTCCGAGGCAGTGGTACAAGAGATTTGACAGTTACATGCTTGAGCTGGGCTACAACAGAAGTCCATATGATTGTTGTGTATATCACAGCAAGGTAGAGGATGGTTCGATGATATATCTAGTTCTGTATGTGGATGATATGCTCATAGCTGCAAGGTCGAAGTCTGATATCCAGAAGTTAAAGGAGCTTCTCAGTGCTGAGTTTGAGATGAAGGATTTGGGAGCTGCTCAGAAGATCTTGGGTATGGAGATTTACAGGAACAGGTCGAAGAAGAAGCTTTTCTTGTCACAGAAGAGCTACATCCAGAAGATACCGTCGAGGTTTGGCATGTCTTCAGCAAAGCCCCTAAATACTCCTAGTGCTTCAAATGTTCATCTATCCTCAGCTTATGCACCGCAGTCAGAGGCTGAGAAGGAGTACATGTCGAGAGTCTCATATGCTAGTGCAGTAGGTAGCTTGATGTACGCTATGGTATGCACTAGACCTGATCTTGCACATGCTGTTAGTGTTGTCAGCAGGTTTATGATACAACCTGGAAAGGAGCTTTGGCAGGCTGTGAAGAGGATCTTCCGGTACTTTAAGGGTACACCTGATGTAGGGATTAGCTTCGGAAGTGATGCAGAGTGCTTGGTGTCTGGGTATTCTGACTCGGACTATGCTGGAGATGTTGACACAAGGAGATCGATGACCGGTTATGTATTCACTCTTGGGAGTTCTGTAGTGAGCTAGAAGGCAACTTTGCAGTCGGCGGTGACATTGTCTACTACTGAGGCAGAGTATATGGCATTGACAGAAGCTGCTAAGGAGGGAATATGGTTGAAAGGACTGGTTGGTGATCTTGGTCTACATCATGATCAAGCAGTGGTGTATTGCGATAGTTTGAGTGCAATATGCTTGGCCAAGGATCAAATCCACCATGAGAGGACTAAGCACATCAATGTGAGGTATCATTTCTTGAGGACAGAGAAGAGGATTAAGGTGAAGAAGGTTGGCACCGCGGATAATCCTGCTGATATGTTCACGAAGTCGGTTCCACATGGCAAGTTCCAACACTGCTTGGACTTGCTGAATGTCTTGAGTGGGTGACTCCGCCCTACGGGGCATTGATGGCGGGAGAGAGAGAAGGAGCAGAGTACATCAAAGATTTCAGAGGAAGAGGATTCAAGTCAAGGTGGAGATTTGTTTATGTGACTTGAATCGGACTATCAGCCGCTACGACTGGTAATCGGGGGTCTCGCTGCCCGGTCAGCGAGTGGGCTCAATGTTATTTGGGTTCGGGTTCTGGGCCTGGTCTGTAACCGTTTCCTTTATCATATTGGATTAGGTTTAGACCCACATGGAGAAGTACTATAAATACTTCTCATACTCCTCTGTAATCTGTAATCTCCTCGATATAGTGAAACTGGCTCTCTCTCGCCCGTGGACGTAGCTAACACACATCGTGTTAGTGAACCACGTAAATTGTGTGTCGAGTTTTCAATTCTCGCTTTCGTATTCTTGCTTTGTCGATTCCGGCGATTTCCCAGTCCGTAGCAGCGCGTTTATAACAAATCCAAAGTGTCTTTTAATATAAGATAAGAAAGCTTTTAACCAAGAAGTGGTATACATAATCAAATTCTGTGATCCCAAAAAATAGTGGTTAGTACAAGGATGGGACGGGATACGGTGACAACCCCTAGGGGGTTGTCAGATTCACAACCAAGGGTATTTTGGGTATGGAAAAAAGGAATATATTAATTACCTTTTGTGTATTAATTATATTGGGAATTAAAAACCCATATTAAATACAATTTTTTTTTAAATTTAAATCCAATACATTAATATCTCTATCTATCTCTCTCTTCCTTTCTCCAGTGGCCACTCCGCATCGACGGACAGACTTTTTCTCCGGCGAATTCTCTCCGACAGACTCCCTCCGACAACCTGAAAAAATGTACCAGTGCGTTAAAAAGTGTACCAATCCATTAGTCTACTGGTAATTAATATACCAGTGCTAGTGGTACGCTACCAATGCGTTAAAAAATGTACCAGTACTAGTGGTACGCTACCAGTACAACACTACCACTAGCATTGGTAGCGGTACCAGTAGAGAATAAATGTACCACTAGCACTGGTAGCGCTACCACTAGCATTGGTAGCGATACCAGTAGAGAATAACACAAAAAAACAGATGATAGTGGTACGCTACCACTATCACTGGTACGCTACCAGAAAATAAAATGGTACCACTAAAAAACCAGATCTAGAAAAGGGGAGTCGGTGACGGGAGAGAGAGATAGGGGAAGAGGGTGACCTCGGTACGGTGGCAGTGGTGGGGGACGAAGGACGGAGAGGATGATTGTGCCGCGGAGATGGCGGAGACGAGATGGCGGTTGAAGGCTCGACAGGCGGACGTTGCGGCAGTGGTGTGGCGGCGGAGATGGCGGAGACGAGATGGCGGTTGAAGGCTCGACAGGCGGCTGAAGGCGGAGGGGCGCCGACGCTGGCGGTGGACGGCTGTGGCAGCGGAGGGCTCTGTGAGAGAGGGAGGAGAGACAATGATGGCTACGGGAGAGAGGGAGGAGAGAGGGAGGATGGAGGAGTTAGGGTTTTTTTTCTTTTTATATGGTAGGGTGTGGTAAATTTTTACCCTTCCAAAAATACCCTTCCTTTAATCTTAACCGTTAATTTAAAAAAAGAAAAAAGAAACAGGAGAGAGAACGTATCCAAGGGCTATGATGTGGGTTGTGAATCTGACAACCCCCTTAGGGGTTGTCACCGTATCTCATCCCCATAATTTGCACTATGTTGTTGTCTCTCTTTAATAAAAGAAAAACGACAATTTCGCCTGAAAAAATCCATCAATGCTCTTGTGTATTGTGGCCCCATATGTCCTGGAATTAGTGAAAATTGAAAATACAAGTTTGTTGTCTGAAGTAGCACCATCACCTAATTCACGTATTGTCATAAACCAGTTGCTCCCAATAACTCGAGTTATTGGGAGAAGGTTATGTTGGATCTTATACCACACTCTAACACGCCCCCTCAAACGAAAGCCAACCCATGGGCTTGAAGTTTGCACAGGCCCACCATACCTTGTGCTTTAATCAACTGTTAATATTGGGGGTCGTGGAGATTCGAACACACGACCACTTGGCCAAACCAGCTCTGATACCATGTCATAAACCAGTTGCTCCCAATAACTCGAGTTATTGGGAGAAGGTTATGCTAGATCTTATACCACACTCTAACACGTATTGTCGCGTCCATATACATAATTTCTACTTATTCTCACAATTCAGTGCTTATTCATGTCATAACGGTAGTAGTTACTCATGCAAATGATAATTTCTTATCCACACAATAATAGTCATTCACGCATGTTGTTGTTTATGCATGCTATTATAACATTTCAAAACAATATTTAGCTTTGAAATATATCAAAACGAAAATTAATATGTAAATTACGATCAATAGTGCAATCGATTTCAAAAATTCAAGTCTAACTCCCTAAATATGACGAATGAGAAAAAAAAATAGAAAAAAACTTATGTTTTGTCATCTATATATATATATATATATATATACATCCTCCCAAGTCCCAAGTCACTCGACGGCCAACAACGTGTCCTTTTTTTTTTCCCTTCTTCTTTCTATAGTGCCTAATTTCCCATAAACTCTATAGCTTTCCCCTCTATCGTCTCTCTCTCTTCTCTTTCATCTCCCTCCAAACTAAACATGGTTGATAACTACTTCGCCCATCCTTGCAGTGCTCCACGCTTATCCTTCGACTTCTCCGACGGCGTACTACTCGACGAGGCCGCCGCTGGAAACAGCGGCGGCGGGGGCGGGGCGGTGATGAAGGAGCACGACCGGCTGCTCCCCATAGCCAACGTGGGGCGGAAAATGAAGCAGATCCTGCCGCCGAACGCCAAGATCTCCAAGGAAGCCAAGGAGACGATGCAGGAGTGCGTGTCGGAGTTCATCAGCTTCGTCACCGCCGAGGCCTCCGACCACTGCCACAGGGAGAGGCGGAAGACGGTGAACGGCGACGACGTCTGCTGGGCGCTTTCGTCCTTAGGGTTCGACGACTACGCCGACCCGCTGAGGCGGTACCTGCACCGGTACAGGGAGCTCGAAGGGGAGAGGGCCGCCGCCGCCGCCGCCAGCCACGGTGTGACGGCGGCGGCGGGTGGGGAAGAAGACGGTGGTGGTGGTGGTGGAGATGAGAGTTCTTCTTCTCGGTGTGGATTGAACGTCTCCGGCGGTCAGTCCACGTACTTCCATGTAATTTGACTACGTCTCTTTCTGTGTGGTGGTGCCACGTGGTGGTGCCACGTTGACAGAGATAGAAATGGACCGCTCTTTTCGACTCTTGCTAAATTTCGAACTTTTTCTTTTGTTTATTTAGATTCTTTTGGCTAAGGGGTGAATATTCTTAATTTATCGATTAAACTGCATGGCTAACACAAAAATATATGCCATAGAAATTGATGGAATGAATACTAAGTATTTGTAAAAAAAAAAAAAAATACTAAGTAGAAAATTACATGTAGTCTTGTCCGTAGCCACATGCTTATGACTAACTTTTGAGTATCCAACCGAGTTAATCTCATTTGATAAGATATTGATCCAACGTTAGGGTATCTTGCCATTTGATATGGGTTTATTTGGAAAATAAAAATTTGTATATTATAAAATATTTTTTTATTAACTTTTAATCATCTATAATATAATTTTATATTAGAAAATTTTGTAAAATTAGAATACATTTTGGTAGTTGAAACTATTAGGACTTTGCTACGGTGACATGCACTTTTCGGTCGACCTCATATAGGATCAGGTCGACCTAATCAGTTGTTTCAGTGTACAAACGGTTTCATTGTGCCTACTTTGGAGATTCATATCTTACAATTGGCTAGATGGAAATTGGAGATTAAAGGCTTGTTATGAAGCTGAAGTGTCCCTCTACACATTAAAGTACTTGGGAGCTCAATAGAAAGTCCAGAATACCATTTTTAAACCTGACCAAAAGGCTATGCCAAAACTGGGAAACTGCCTGAAAATGGCCAAGTCTGGCAACGTGTTTGTCAAGCCTACTTTGGAGCTCAATTTGACAAGCATGGATGCGAGTCAAGTCCAGGGGCCTTTACCACGTTAAATTACGTATTTTTTTATACAAAGGCAAGGCATTGAATGAAAGATTGAATATCTTTAAGGCTTCAAACAAAAGGCTCGAAGTTGCTACGAATGCTGTTTTTCTGGCAGCTTGCTTGTGCTCGAAGTCTGCCAGAAAAACAACATTCGTAGCAACTTCGACCCTTTTGTTTGAAGCCTTAAAGATATCCAATCTTTCATCCAATTCCTTGAATTTGTATAAAAACATACCTAATTTAACGTGGTAGATGCTCCTGGACTCGACTCGCATTCATGCTTCTCGAATTGAGCTAAAAAATAGGCTTCACAAACATGTTTACAGACTTAGCCATTTCTAGGCAGTTTCCCAGTTTTGGCATAGCCTTTTGATGAGGTTCAAAAATGGTCTTCTGGACTTCCTATCGAGCTCTCAATCACTTCAATATGTAGAGGGACACTCCAACTTCAAAACAAGTCATTAGTCTTCAATTTCCATCTAGCCAATTGTATGATATGAATATCCAAAGTAGGCACCATGAACTGTTTTTACACTGAAACAACATATTAGGTCGACCGGATCCTATATGAGGTCGACCGAATCCTAAATGAGGTCAACCGGATCCTATATGAGGTCGACCGAATCTATATGAGGTCGACCTAATCCTAACTGAGGTCGACCGGAAAGTGCAAGTCACCGTGACATGCATGTCACCGTAGGCACACCTGGTTAGTTTGTTACATTCCCCCCTTTACCCTTGGTTGAAGCAAAGTTTATGATTCGGTAAATTTTTTGTTGTTGATATTGAATATAGGTACACTTTTGATTTTTAGTGGAGCATATGCACCATTGTTATTTGTGTGTACCTCGTTACAAAAAATTGAATATATATTTAAACGATTTATAATGATATATCAATCATTTGTAAGGTCAATTATGTGCATTTTAATTTTCATTTCCAATTACCTATTATACCTAATTTATCGGTTTTCCTGACGAATCATGGTAGTGTTTTCTCTCGTGAATTTGGCTTTTCCTACTCAAACTCATACCATTTCCATAAAATTACATTCTAATATCTTTTGTAGAGAGCATAACCTTGATTATAAAAATTTACGCACTCATATTCCAGAAATACAAAAAAAAAATCCACGATCGAACTACCAAAATAAAATCGAATTGAAGTGGGTTAGGATTTCTAGAAAAAGATGTCATTCGTTTGATGATAAATAATAAAGAATATAAAAAACTCGAGTACTGGTTGAAGATGAAGAAGCTACTTTCGAAGTAACAGAAAGAAAAACAACGACTTGAGGATTTGATTCATTCCACACGTACACTTCATGGGCATCCTTCTTTTTAATGTTATATAACCAAATATGAACCTTTGATTTCAAGTGGGGTGGGTCATCTCATATCTTATGGGTGGGATACTGGGATTAGAAAACTTTTTAAGTACCCTATCGGTTTTAATCTCTTTGTATCTTTCTTGTTTTAATTTGAATTTTGATAATCTTTACACATAATGAATGATTTCCTTGTGATCTAAAAAAATATTTAATATTCTAAAATTTCGAAGAAAAAATTCCGTACCCATTTTACCACCCTTGGTTTTAACTCAAATTCTAAAAAAAAATCAAAGAATGAGCTTATTGTGATCTACAAAATTATGTCAATTCCCGGGGGAAATGAGACCAAATATATCACACTCTACCATAGTGGTAAATAGTCCTAGACGTTGTGGATGATTGTACATGGTGGTTAGTATATTCCTACCAACATGTATTGCCACCATTCTATGGTCTATACTATCATATATTCATACCACCATAATACACTTTTATATCACTACGGTATAATTTTGTAACATCCCTACCCTCGTATAAAGGTTTATGTCATAATGACATCAATAGTAATTGAATTACAGTTCCGTCCCTTAATAAAAAAATGGTGAACTTAACGTAATTGAGAGGTTAACTAAATTATGGATATGAGATGAGATGGCTAGTGAAAGTTTTAGACTCAATTGAAAGATAATGAAAGTTTGGGACAAAGGAGCAATTTGGAGGATTGGAGAATTCTAGAGAAGGGGAGATAAAAATATGCCCCTTCCCTCTTCTTCTCATCCTTCTTTCCCTCTCCAAACAACCATCACTACCTTCCCTCACTGTCACCATCCTTCTACTCAAATTTCTTGAGAAGCAAGGCTAGCCGAGACAAGTTTAAGAGCTAGAAATCAGAAGAGAAGGGTAAGAGGGGAAGGAGGAAAGGAAGAAGAAGACAAGGAGCTGCCAGTTTTCGTCCAGCAGCAGGGCAGCCCGTTGGAAGGACGATTATTAAGCCGGTCAAGTTAGGGATTTGAGGTTTAATGGTCTGGTCGGGGTCCGGCCGGTTTGAGTCATTTTAGACTTTTTCTAAAAATATACACAAATAAGGTAGTAATTAAAGATTTGATGATTGAAATGAAATTTATCTTACGTGTATCTATTAAAAATTTATTTTCCAATATATAAATCTACCTAACCTCCATGACACACCTATCATCTCCCTTCCTTCGTTCCTCTTCCTCTTTTCTCCTCTCTTTTTCTCCCTCTTTAAGGGTCGGACTGGAGGACTTTCTGGAGGTCGTTTTGAAGCCCGAATTAGGTCGAACCAGGTCCAACCGGGGGACCGATAGAGGTTTAACCACCTTGCTTCCTTGGATACCATTGGCCCGTTGGGATCATCGTTATGATCTCTGGTTCATCGAGAAAAGTTGCTGGACAGAAGGGGTGCGCCACTGTTTTTCCTGTAGCAGGAAAGCATATAAGAGGTAAGATTCTTCTCGAATTAGTCGTTGAATCGTTCTATAAATTTGGTATGATGTTAAGTATATTATTCTATTCGAGTTGACCGTTAGCAATGCAGTTAAAATCGCGTTTTAAAACTTAAAAACTTACAATTTTACGCTTCTAGGCCACCAAAACACTTTCTTTTCCATATAAAATCTCGTGTGCATAAAATCATACTAAATTACGCTTTAAAGCTTACAAGCTTACGCTTTTATGCTTCTAGTGCACTAAAACGCTTTACGCTTTTACGCTTCTAGTTCACTAAATGGGTATTCTTTTCATGAAATTTATTATAAAAAGGTATATTTTACAGGTAAATCACCACCAATATGATACATTGGATATTTAAAGATACATATCAGTTACTTGGATGCATTCTCAATTTTAATAGAGTAATCTAATTCACCAGTTAGACCCTTCCCAAATTCATTAGCATAGAGGGGAAGGTGACTAATTGTTAAGATCTACGTTTATGAACTTATTGGTAATATGCTATGAGCTGCTCTACTTTAGACATGAATGACAGATATTTATTAATTAAATTTTCTTAATTATGTGCACTCATATTTTACATAGTATATGTAATACTTAACAGTAGGGGTGGCTATATGGTCCGGTCCTGTTAAATTGGACCAAATCAATCTGATCCCAGTCCGGTCTTTTTGAGAATATAAGGACCAAAGCTTGGATTGGATACAGTCCGGTCTTGACCCGGCCCGGTCCCAATTTGGTTTTGGATTTTAGATAAACCTTGTGGGGATTTGAGTGCTTGAGGACTCAAAGGGTAAAGATTTGGTTAAGTTTTGGGTGTTGGGCTCTCTTATCCGGTCTTTATCCAGTTTTCGATCCGGTCCCAAACGGTTTTTTACCTCAAATCTAAGCCCGAAAATTGGATTGGATTGTTTGCTATCCAGATCTGGTCCGGTCCCGGTCTGGGTTATACGGTCCGGTTTCGGGTAAAACCAAATAGCCCGGACCAAATAGCCAGTCCTACTTAACAGATTTTTAGCTATTATACAGTATGCATAAAAAACTTACGCTTTTACGTTTTGATTCTACGCTTTACGATTTTACCATTTTCTGCTTATAGGTAGAATCATGATTTTGACTGCATTGACCATTAGGATCGTAGGTTTGATATCCGAGTGGTCAGGAAAGATTGTTAGAAGTAAGGGAGTTGAATTTGAAGTGAAAAGAAAGTAGCTGACAGGTTTGAACCATCAACTTAAAATGAGTGGCGAGCTCAAACGGCTGATCCAAATGCTCTTAAATTTGGATGTATCTTAGCCCTATAAATCTATTTTAATTAGGAAAAAGAATCAGTCAATTTGATAAAAAATTGATGGAGAAATGACTAAAATCGTGGAAAGGGCTAAGTTGTATGGGCTGTGCAAACTGACGAACGGACCGTGCAAAGTTTCCAGGGAGTTTTCACGGCCAAAACCATGAAATGCACGGCCGTGCAACCTCAGGGGCAGCCCAGGCCGTGTGTATCCTATTTTCATCCAAAATCTCGTGTTTTGGTCAAACCATGGGGGTACTTTAACCCGAATATGATTATATAGACTTCTCATGTGTAATATATCACCGAATGGCGTATTAATTGTGTAATTACAGGAAAGGAACAAGTCGGGGAGTCTTCAAAGGGCAAGGGAATTGGCAAGTAACGACTGGAAACGGTGAGTAGATTCTAACCCTAAATTAATATCAATTCAAATGTGGTATTTGGGTCATGAAGCGACCAAGTACATATCATAAATGTATAGGTATTCGGATCACGAAGCGGCCCGAGTACTAATTATGAATATCGAATGAATGAGTAATGAATGTGATGATGATTAGGTGATGAATGTGATGATGACTGTATGATGAATGTTAATGGCTACTTGAGGGGCAATGATCATGTGGTTGTGTTAAATTATGATATTGATGTGGTAAAATAGTAAAGTCTAAGGGCGTAAAGACATTGATTTGATAAAGTAATTACTCCTATGGGGGTAATGATATGCTATAATGAAATGATACGTGATGAATGATTAGTAAATGTCATATGTGTATGACTATGTGATAATATGTATTAGATGTGATAAATAGTGATTGTGAATGGAAAATGTAATGTATATGTGATATAAAATGTCCTAAAAGGTAATGTTACTGTACTGGAAAGTCTATGAGGCGATGAGGGGATAATGTATAGCCTGAATGGCTCTGATGATACTGGGATAGCCTAATTGGCTATCGTGTGATACTAGAAAGCCTGTAAGGCGGAAATATGATACTGGGAAGCCTATAAGGCGATGATGTGCTTATATGAAATGGTGAGTGTCACTATATGAATGTTATGATTACGTGAAAATATATGTTAAAATGATTGATGATACTGCTTGATACTTGTGATGTGACTAACTAAAAAATTGCTTGATCACCTAAATCAAACCTAATGGCGTCTTGTCATGCACTCTATTTGATTGGATATGGTGACTATATGCCTAGCTCTCTGGGAGAGCGATACAAACCTAGTTATTGACGGTGTTTTATGCATCTATTGGGCGATGTTTTATGCATCTACTGACTGTACCCTCTGTTGCTCCTGAAGTAACCAGTCGAGATGCATTTGTGTATCCACTCCACCCATTTATACGAGAAACCCATCTTGGTAAGTGTAGTGAGAAACTGAGAATGCATTCTCAATTAGGATGGTCATAAGACTTTTTCATGCCTAATTTAAACACCAAACTTGATTTGCCACCCTTTCACATATGCAAACTGTAGCGCTAGGATGATGCTGATCATGCAATCTATGATCCTTCCCCTGAGAATTTTGGACATAAAATGATCTTATATTTCCCGAATTTACTCAACTATTGATACCATCAATCATCACGTCCATTCCAGCTGAAGAAAGGGTAAAGATGATCGGATATTTCCCACACAAATTGGGAACAAAAGGGGAATCATCTGATGTTTTCACGAAGCACCATCTGCATCTACAAATCGTTGGGCTTACAGAACATCAATAAAAATTATGTCCATACCATTTTTGACATTACAATTGCTTACCTCTAAGTAAGCAAACACACAACACAGCATACCGTTGTGGAAGACCCTTCTGGTCTCTGCAAAACCTGCGCCATTCGGGCTGAGGGGGGAATTTGGAGGATGCTCAAAATTGATAAACTGACCACTCCTCTGGACATTGCCAATGGACTGTGTCCCTCTTGCTAGCATAGCTGGACATCAGGCATTAGCCTACACAAAATGTGGTCTCCCCCTGGGAAAATGCCCTGAGATACCCTATGCTTTCATGCATTTTTGTCCTTTGCCAAATATTGGATTCTCAACTAAATCTCTAGCAGAGGGGCGCCGAACTGGATCCGGATCTACCATGGCCTGATAGAATCATCAGAACTATCATAAAGGGGAATTGGACGTGCAAGTTTAGACAACAGTAATCATGAATATCGTTATGTTATGACAAGCATTTTACACCAATTTTCTTTCTTCGAGAAGTGTTCATTTCAGGCATCCCCTAAAACACATTCTAAAAATAGTTTGCTTTTATCATTCAACTACTGAGCCTGCGTGATCAGAGGAGAAGTTTGTCAAATTGGAGGCTGTAAGCTACGAGGTCAAACAAATAGGTGCACATAAACCAAGTGTCATTAGAGCATGTATAATGTTATCTGTAGATTGTAGAAATGAAACACAGTACCTTGAGTAAGTTCTGAAACTGCAACGAGTGCCCAGCAAGGAGTGGTAACTTTCCCTCCCTGAGATATAGGGATCCAGATTCAGGCAGAGGAGATGCTCTAATAAGCTCATAGATAGAAGCCCCCAAGGAGAAAATATCAACTTTATTTAGATGATTGTAGTTATCATTTAGTATCTCTTGGGGCATATATCGTGCATCACCCTCTTCAATGGGAAGGCTTTGGTCCAGACGACTTGCACATCCAAAGTCTCCCAGCTTGTAAATCCCATTCTTCACATAAATATTATCAGGTTTCACATCAAGGTGAGCTATTCCTCTGTCATGTGTATACTGCAGTGCTTTTGCAATCTGTGGAAAACCAGAAATCAGATGAAAAAACTGTGTTTACTTTTCAGGAAGCACCATCCTAGTCTTGGCAACTTCCATTCCAGAATCCTATCACGTTTTTTCAAAAGCAAATACAAAATAAAAGAAATTATTAAACCTGATGCAGAACAGTCAACACTTCTGGTTCTGTAAATCGCTTCTGCAATTTTTTGACAGATAAACTGCAATCACATAACTCCATCTGAATGTATAGCTGTTCATTTTCAAACCAAGAAGAGTAATATCCGACAATGTTTTCATGACACCCTACAACAGCGAAACAGAAATATTAGGAATTATGTGAATTGCATTAACAGGTTTACTAAAGCAATTTACTTTACAGCAGTAGAGCAAACCTAAAGCAGCCAAAGCTTGAACTTCCATTAGCGCCTTCTGCCTGAAATTTTGAAAAACTGGAACTTTAGAGCATTGCCTGAACCACGACTATGTGTACTGAAATATGGACTAATACCTCTGCGCATCCTGGTGCAATTGCCTGGTACTGTGTTTCACCGCATACAAGCAACCGTCTATTCTCTTCAAGACTTTGAAAACACGGCTGAAGTTTCCAGTGCCAATTTGCTAGCAGAAGTCACATGCCAATGGTAATGAATTAGCAGCAGTAAAACGAAATCTATATAAATGAATTCAGTTAACCGGGGCTTTACCTGAATCTCATGAAAATCAGTGTGATATCTTGAAAGGCCATCTCCCCCCACAATAGAAGAAAAGATATCTGTAGACTCCAACGGAAAAGGTTAAGGAAATCTCTACCCGCTTTCAGAACATTAAATCCAGCATTACAACAGATGACCACCAAATTCTCCTAACCAGTAAACAATGTACCTGCACATTTCACTCTTTGATTTCTGAAAGGATCAACAACATTTGCTGAAGCTTCTGCTAGATACGGATTCTGAATGCATGGAGGTGGCATCACCCGGCATCGTAAAGCCACAGCAGACTGTGGTACATAGCTTTGAGACTTGCTACTTCCTATAGACATTTTCTCAGTTACCATTTCTTGTGGTGACCCAAATGCAGCAGTTCCGAGATCCAACATCAGGAGCTGATCTAAGGAAGGGCTGAGATGGTTGTCTGACATATCATCTGTTGCATCTGTGAGAAGTCATAGAGCACTCATTTCTTTTTACACAATAACATCAAAAACCTAGGCAATGTCAACCTCAAAACAAGGGCATTCAACCATCTGACCGAGGCAAACATTAATCTTACCCTGCCGGCGCTTTTTGCTTTTAGCGGTGTTGAGTTTCTCTGGTGATTCAGGGCATTGAGCATTTTCCTGCTGGAAAAAACAAATGGCAATACATCATCTAGTGTGGTTGGAGAACAAGAAAAAGTGAACAATCTCTGGATTTTAAGATGATACCTTGTTCCCATCGAAGCTGTTGAGCAAATTTTGGTTCTCCGGAGTAATATAGTCGGGAGTACTGAAATTACAACAAAAGCCCACGAATTTCATCGCCGTAATCAAGACTGTAGCCTAACTCAACTCAACAAGATCATATCCCCAAATCATAGCCGAATTGATTTCACAAACAATACACCAAATGGACACCCAAAAAAAAAAGAGAAAGGGAAACCCCAAAAAAACGTCGAAGCTTACTGACGCACCAGAAGAAATCCTGACTGAGAATGAAATCCTTGTCATCGACGACGTCAACATCGGCAGCACCGGCGACCTCCGGGGAAGATTGGATGTGCGGCGTATCCGCGGCAACGGAGTCCAGGAGATTCTGGAAGCGAGAGGCTGGATTGGAAGTGGACGAAGCGGCTGCAGACGACGGCGGCTGCTGGTACTTCTGCAAAGGAATCCCTAGCTGAACCTGCAGATGAGTGGTCAATGTTGCCTTCATTTTGTTGCTGTTGTCTCTTCGTCTTCTTGTTCTTCGGCTGTTGTTGGTGCTGGTTAGGGTTTTCGATTTCACCCTCATGAATCAGTTTCACTTGCGATTTGCAAATGAACACTGAACTGAACAGAACCCCCAACGCTCTCTCGCTCCACGATTCCCTGCCTTTACTCTGCGCCTTTTTGAGTTTCTGTGGGAAATGAGGGGGAATTAAGGTAATAATAGTACTTTCCGCTAGATTAGATTGAATGTATTGCAATTTAATTCCGTTTATTATACTTTTGGGCAAAATTTAAAAATGCGCGGGCTCCCAATGCTTCCATGGGAAGAATCGGAAATTGGATTCGTCTCGCGCTCCTAAAAAGTGTTTCGTGTCTAGGAATGGCAATGGACGGGTATTGCCAAACGGGTAAATTCCCAAAATAACGTTTTTTTATTATTTATCACCAATATGGTGTTTTTACTTATATTTACACATTCAACTTCGGATTTCTGATGGGATGCGGTGCATTAGTGCTGGTATGATCGCACATCACTGGACCAATTGAGTTCTGGATGTGGGAGGTCCTGAATTCGATTCCCAGTGGCGCCACTTGAGCGTTCCCAGCGGCACCCTTGGTATCGGAGGCGAAGCCTTCCCGATATTGGTAGCAGAAAGCCCTGATTAGTATGCAGGTATCCCCGGTGGTTTAGTAGGCCTCGTTGTCGCTCAAGCGGCACGTGGGGGTTGAGGTTCCCTGGGTTATCAAATAAAAAAACTTATATTTACACAGATATTGTGTTTTTGTGGGGAAAGAGATGTGGGCTCGCAGGAGACTTAATTTTACTAGATTGAAATGCGGATCCGGGGTGGACTGGCGAGGACCCGCGTAGAACTGGTGCGGGTTCGCATAAAATCCGATAACGTACCAGTCCCGTGCGAGTAAGCGTGACATGTCATCTCTTTATCTCCCCCACCCCAGCCCATTGTCCGCAGCGACGCCAAACCCTCCTCCTCCTCTCCTCTCATCGACAGAACCACCATCGCCCAAACCCCCATCGCCGACCGCCACAAAAACCCACCAATCCCACGCGGGTTCAAGCCGAACTCCTGCGAAAATGACCGAGAGTCACGCGGAAGCGCAGAAGCAAAGAGGCGGTCGAACAAAACCAGATATGTATTTTTCTGGTTTTGATGTCGGACTCCGACGAAGAACAGGCGGCCGCCGGAGGAAGAGGTCGTGGAAGAGGACAGCAGGCACGCGACCGGTACAGAGGTGAGCGATTCACCTGTAGGAAGCTCGCCGCCGGCGACCGGAATCTCGCCGCCAACGGATTTTTCTTTTATGCTTCTTTTTTTTTTTTTTTTTTTGCAGTTCCTAGGATTCTTGACAGGTATTCCACGAGACGACCACCTGCGACGATAGATACAGCTCCGGTCGATTCAGTACTCCTTTGGGCACATGGTCAACATCGTGCCGACTCAGTTTGGCAAAATGAGGTAAGTATTTTATTTCATTAAAGTTCATTAGCTAGTTAGATTAGAATTTTGTGAAATTAGTATTAGTTTGATTAGATATTTTTTTTCTAAATTAGATTGAGGTAAATTGAAATATTATAATTGCATGTGAAATTAGTATTAGTTTTGGAAAGTTGTGAAATTAGTATTAGTTTGATTAGATATATATTACTAAATTAGATTGATTTTACTAGGTAAATTGAAATATTATAATTGCATGTGAAATTTTGTGAAATTAGTATTAGTTTGCATTACATATATTTTAGTAAATTAGATAGATTTTACAATATGTTCTGAAAATAGAATTACGCCATGAAATTGAATTAATATAAGTTTTGTGCATTATAGGCTGGTGATCGTGTTTACCAGACTCGAGGTACGACCAAATTGGTCACGTACCATCCACGTTATGAGCCTTATCTCCAGGATGTCGGTTTGTTTAGCGTTCAGCAGTTGGTCCCTTTGACTGGTTGTATAGATGCATCTTTGATCACCGCTCTAGTAGAGCGTTGGCGTCCTGAGACATCGACCTTTCACATGCCGGTTTGTGAGGTTACGATCACTCTTAAGGCCGTCATAGTAGACGTACCAGATTGTGAGTGGTCGGAGACGTGTACCAAATTGTTAGGACATGCTCCTAATGATTTTAGCGGGGGTGTCGTTAGGATTAGTTGGCTTAGGGAGCATTTCAACAATCTGCCGCCAAATGCATCATCAGAGATTACAGGGCAGTTTGCACGAGCGTATTCCCTATCTTTGATAGGGTTTATGTTGTTCCCCGATCGGACTGGAGCTACAGTTCATCTGCAGTATCTGCTCCTGTTGGAGAATTGGCGGACCGCTGGAGGCTACGCTTGGGGAGAAGCTGTTCTAGCCTACCTGTATCGTGAGATGGGTAGGTCGGTTCTACATATGACGCAGTCCTTTTCCACCGGAGGTGACCTTGGTGGCTGGGTCGCCTTGCTGCAGCTCTGGGCGTGGGATCGATTCCCAGTGATAGCACCACGACATACAGTGACGGATGAACCTATTACAGCGAACGCATCTCCACGTTGTGCTCGATGGCTTCCGGCCATGACCCGTCAGCATGGTGACCAGCTCTTCAGTTATAAGTTGTTTTTTGACGAGCTGGAGACGATCGTGGTTAGTAATAACATTCCTCCTGGTGGTGGTGGTCGTGGTGGAGGTCGTTAGTATTATTATGTATTAGGTGGACTATTTATTTCATGTCATGTAGGATTATTATGTATGATGGTGAACTATTTATTTCATGTCATGTAGGATTATTATGTATCATGGTGGACTTTTTATTTCATGTCATGTATGATTATTATGTATTATGGTGGACTATTTACACACTCGATCGTTCAAGCTTCAAACCATAACAACATCGATCAATCCATTACATATAAGTCGAAAAACAATAACAAACATCAAACAATTACACACTCGCATGTTCAAACCATAACAACATCAACCCATTACATATACGTCGAAAAACAATAACAAACATCAAACAATTACACACTCGCACGTTCAAACCATAACAACATCAAACAATTACATACCATGTCTATTACAACTACTTCCTCTCATGTTCAAACCATAACAACATCAACCCATTACATATACGTCGAAAAACAATAACAAACATCAAACAATTACACACTCGCACGTTCAAACCATAACAACATCAAACAATTACATACCATGTCTATTACAACTACTTCCTCTTCTACCACCTCTCGCACGTCTACCACTTCCTCTTCGCTGGCTCTCACTGCCACTTGCTCCTCCACTAGAAGTTGATGCATCATGTCCACCTAGTTCCTCTCTTGGCCAATCCATCTCGTTGTGAATTATTGTTGTTCGTGGCCTCCCCGATTTCCTAATCATGTGCACGTTAGGATGGAGAGTAGAACCATTGTGCTTCTTCCAAGCCTTAGGTTCACCAAGACGTGTGAAACTTGTCCCATAACAAGCCAATAATGTTTCCAGCTTATAGATGTCATTTACAAACCTATACGGGTTAGCACCCATTCGGTTGCAAGCTGCAATGACATGAGAGCAAGGAATTTTATTTCCTTGGAATTTCCCACAAGTGCAAAATCCCGCTCGATTGTGGTCGTCGAAATGCACTGTGAGTGTGTTCGAACCCGTCATGTTGAAATTGTTGGGAGGAGTCTGTACTACATAGATGCCCTGACGTCGATCAACCCCCGTCATGGAATGTCCCACTGCCTTTTGTGACCATGTCTTCATCTTCTCTTCGCACTTGATGGTGCTGTGAAGGACCACTTCTGATTTGTGCTTCTGTCTCCAACCTCATCTTATCGAATTTCTCCAATAATCGCCAATAAGTATGTTGCACAAGAGAAGCTATAGGAAGTGAACGAATACCTTTGAAAACACCATTGATTCTCTCTGCCATGTTGGTCGTCATTATAGACCATCGAGTCCCACCATTATAGTTATCATGTGCTAAGCTCCAACGAATTTGATTTTGATCCACCCAGTTATCACAAGAAATATTTCTTTCAGCGGCCATCTTCTTAAATTGCTCAACTTGACGATCGAACTTCTCCAAGCGTTTTTCTCGGGCTAACAAAATAAATAACCACAAGAGTTAGATAAATTCATGATAATATTAAATTAAAATAAATAATATGCTGGAGTGTCAATCAATAACGATGAAGAGACTTACTGACTCGTACCAGTTGGTTATACATAATTTTGCTTTTTGTCTTCTTTTTCAAGTTGCTTGCATAGTGTCGCATGCACCACCTCCACTCCCAACCTCTTCCGATGTCACCCATGGCTTCATAGAGTCCCACATGTCTATCTGAGATGATGCATACGTCATTTCGATCGGTCAAACCTTGAACGTGATTTATAAACCATGGCCAACTTTCAGTATTCTCGCTCTCCAGCCATTGGAGAAATCTTCCGGCCATCAAATGAGATCGCCATGAGTAGCACTCCTTTATACTTTCCAGTAAGAAAGGTTCCATCAACAACCATGACTCCTGGACAATTCTTGAATCCATCTATACAAGGTCCATAAGCCCAGAATACTCGGTGAAAGATCGAATAACCTGGTTGAGCTGAAGAAACTCTTACCCAATCAATAACTGATGTTGGCATTTTTTCTCTTTACCACCCGCAAGAATGTTTGCAAATAATCATAGGATTCTTCCCAATTTCCATGCAACTTCTCCAATGCTCTTTGTTTCCCATACCAAGCCTTCTTATAAGTAACTTGCATATTAAATTTATCTTTCATATCGGCTTGCACAGTTAGAACACTCAGATTAGGCTAAGCACGTACCAAATGTTTCACGGACTCAGATATAACGTCGACATCAAGATGGCGATGATCTGTCGGTTGAGTCATATTGCTACAAGAATGCACCAACTCGGCCTTCCTCACAGTCCATTCGCTTCCAACGTCTCGACATCCAAACCGCACATCCAAGGACAATTTTCATCCTTATGCTTCAAGCATCTAACCTTCCAGATTGAAGGTGACGACTCCACCACGTCATACTGAAAGTTGCATTGTGTTTAACCGCCACCTGTGCCGCTTGTTTCGAGTGAAATATCTGGCCTTTGTAGAATTCCCCTTCAAAACCAGTAACGATAGGCATTGGAATTACCCCATATGAATCAACATATGATAATTCATCATCCTCTTCAGTAGCCTGCAAGTAAAAATATGGAGGAAAGTTAGGCTGCTCTTCTTCCCCATCTTTCTCCTCCTCCTCCTCCTCCTCCTCCTCCTCCTCCTCGTCTTCGTCCTCATAATCATAGTCAGATGGCACACTCCATGTATCATCTTCACCCTGATCAGTCTGGCTAATCTTAGCATGTACCTCAGCACCCAAACAATAATGATTTTGTGCCATAAAATCGAAAAGCACATTCAAACCATCATCATCCACAACAGGCATCACATAATGAAATAGAACACCATTCTGTCATTCTGGAAAACGGTAAGTGAAACCTGTGATCATATCACTATCTTGTACTGCTTCGTCTCTACGTCGTATTCTCGGGATCAGATTCTCACAAAATTGATGATATGTCACCCGACATGACACTGTCAATTGAAACCTTACCTAAATCTAAAATTGTCGCCGACAATCATACACCTTTATCTTCTCGCCTGCCACCGACCATTACCGCTGCCCTATTGCTAAAAAAAATATATATAACAAAAACTACTAAAGATTCATTGATATAACTAGAATGTATAAAATATAGGACCGTGAGAACACTATAACTTTAGTATTATCAGAAATACTCCACACTTTAACTTTGTTTGTTTTCAAGCAAACACTACTCATAATCATACAACTTAATAAAAACTAGCTACAAAATCTCACTTGACTTTTATCTTAAGTAGTGGATTATAAGTGAACTTACAAGGTCAACCATAGCATGAGAGAACTGCAACCACATCAACATGCATTAATAACTAAAAATTTCATTCAATCATCAATGACCAACTATACATGAGTTTCAAAACACGTAGGGTGAAACTTTAAAAGAAAAAAAGTTTTTTAGGTAAAACTTTTTTCCTTCATCATTTCTTCTTCTTTTTTCAATTATTTGAAAGATAAGTTTTGTATTGAGAGGTCTCTAATTACTAGAGTATTACATCCTTGGTTGAGCAGGAGCAATTTTTGGTAGTTTTGCATTCGACGTACTACTTCTTTTAACTTTTTTTTCATCAATTAGTGTCGAGGGTCAATGAAATTATGGGTGTCAGAAGCTCTATTTGTAAGCTCAATAACACATCCTCAAATTGACAATCAATTTGACGGGTGAAAATTTTGCTTGTACTAGAGAGGAACCAACATTGAACTGAGCAAACTAAAACTCAATTGGTATCTCCTCCAAAATCTATTTTGTGCAATTAATGAATATCTCATACATTGTATTTACCCCACATTTATCTTTTTATATGTCAATTGTATAGATAATCCATGTCTCTTTTAGTAAATTTTGCTTTTAATAAAAGATACTGTCCACCTGGGACCAGATCAGGTCAGTAACTGATGGGTCAGTAACCCATCAGTAACCTCCTCTCTTGTCGCCACGTGTCAGTCCTTTTTTTATTTAAATTAAATGCGAAAGGACAATAAGGTAAAATTGCTCCTACCTCTATTTATTGCTAACGCTGACTTTTGACCGGATCACATCAGCGTCTTCTCTCTCCTCGAAAAACTTTTAATTTTCCTTCTTTTAATCTTTAACGGACGATTTCTCACTCGTTTTAAGTCCGAATTTAATTTTTTTTTGCACAGTTAGATCAGATTAATTGTGCTCTTCAAAATGATATACACTTTGATATTTTTTGGACATAAAATTTTTTGTCAGTTATTACCAGTCTATACCATATGATATTGACTGGTATTGAGTATTGACCATACCATATGGTATGAAAAAATTTGTCACATCAATATATATTACGTTACCACCCAATACCATATGGTATAGTGTGGTAATATCAATATATATTTCATTACCACCCAATATCATATGGTATAGTGTGGTAATATCAATATATATTTCGTTACCACCCAATACCATATGATGTAGTGTGGTAATATCAATATATATTTCGTTACCACCCTATACCATATGGTATAGTGTGGTAATATCAATATATATTTCGTTACCACATAATATCATACGGTATAGTGTGGTAATATCAATATATAATTCGTTACCACACAATACCATACATTATCATATGGTATAGTGTGGTAATATCAATATATATTTCGTTACCACCGAATACCATATGGTATATAGTGTTATAATATCAATATATCTTATCTAAAAGAAAAAAAAATAAGAAGGAGGTAGAGAAAAAAAATCGTCTTGTGTCGCCTCTCATTTCCTCTTCCGCAATCAAGAACACCAAAATGCTGAAAAAATGAGAAAGATCGAAATTGAGGCCAGCGAGATGATGAAGAGAAGAAATGCAATGAAAAAGAGTGGCTCCAATTTTTATTCGTCATGGAAAAAAAAATAAAGAAGAAGATAAGGGAGCAGATTTAGATCTAGAAATGAGATTGAGAGAGAAAAAGGAAGAGAGAAAGAGAGAGGATCTGGAAAAGAGATTGAGAGAGAAAAAGGAAGAGAGAAGGAAGATAGAAAGTTGCAGAGAAGTGATTTTTATTTCCTTCTTTGAAAGTGCAGCCATTAAATACGAAATAAAATAAAATAAAGAATTTAATGTATAAACGGACAAAAATACTCTTCCCCACTCCGCGTTCGGCCCAACCACACGATTGTCTACCTCTTAGATCTATGGTCCCTATTCATTACTGACATGTCAGTAACCACTTGGTTACTGACCCTATCTGCTGCCCGTCCACCTTAGGAACAAAAAACTCTTTAAAGGTAGAGACTCATTGCCATAATTGGACATTCATAAAAGAATCAAATAACAGGGGTTTCAAACATATTAAATGGTCATTATGTGTCATTGACTATCACATCTTTCATAATCACTACACTAGTTCCTCTAAATCAAACGGAAATTATATTGACTTTCCATATTTCAGTTTCAAGAATATGATGTTTTGACTTTCCTTCAATATGTTTATTGTTTGTTTAATATCAGAAAGCATTTTAGTCTACATATTACTGGTCGAATTTGGTATTACATTATCCATGCATCCGCAATATGTATTTTATCGATTTTTTTTTACTAACCTAGTGATGAATTAAGAAATACGAGAGTCATTACATTACATCCATAAAGGCTAAATTACATGTTTGATCACTCAAATTATATAAATATTTCACGTTTGTCACCCGAATCACTTTTATTTATTATTCACCACTAACTTTACGATCCTTCATCGTAGTCACCGACCGCCAGTCTCTGTCAGAATCCGTCTACTCTGTTAGTGTTTTGATGACGTGACAAACAAAACTGATGACTGGCCGACATGGATTTTTTTTTAAAAAAAAATAATGAGCCCTCTCTCTGTTCTTCTTCTTCCTCGGCTTTTTAGCCATGACCTGCTCCAAATTGGGGAAACTTAATCCACGTTCCAAGTCCCATCTCCAAACTCCCCTTATTCTTCCCTTGCCCAATGCAACCTCCGCAAGGAATGTGAAGCGATCCATTTGAGCGCGGCCCATGAATCCTCGTACGCGATGTGGAGAGGGTTTTCAGGGGATCTCTGGTAGTCGACGAAAACGGCGATGACATTGGCCTCGGTAACCAAGGTGTTAAGGTAATTGTGGTAGATTGGGGAGAAGACGAATTCAATGAGGAAGGCGTCGTGGTGGTAGTAGTCCAAGACCGGGAGCTTCTCCCCGAGTATGGTTTGCTTCAGGAGGTAGATTCTGGATAGGAGAATCACATCCTCGTCGCCGTTGCCGGCGGAGGAAGAGGAGTTATACCGAACATCTTTTGGATAGGATCGTGGATTTCGGATCAGGGAGATAGGGGTGGGCATTCGGTCGGTTCGGTTCAAACCGTGGGAGAGAAGACATGACGATTTTGGTCTCCGTGAGGCGCTACATGGTGTCGTTTTTATAGATGCGGAGGAAAGGGAGGAACGGTTCAGTCAGCAGTTCCATTTGCGATGTCATCAAAAATACTAACGGAGTTAACGGAATGTGACGGCTAGTGACTAACGATGAAAGGATTCATAAAATTAGTGGCAATTAAAAAACAAAAGTAATTCGGATGATAAACATGAAAATTTTCTATAATCTGGATGACCAAACCTGTAATTTAGCCTCCAGGGCATAAACAAAGCTCTTCAGTTTGCCCTCGCCGGCACCCCAAAACGTCGAACGGACTCCAGGGGGTACGATCGTCATTCGATCCTCGCCTTTTCCTTTGCTTCTCAGACAACATCGAGAAAGCAACGAATGAGACCTTCCCTAGTCCCTTGAAGAATCCTCTCTGTCCTCTCCCACAAGCTAACAATTAGAAGTTCAGTATTCCTTCACAAGAAATCTCAGGGCATTCCCTTACCTTCCATGGCGACTCTCTCGGCTTACTCCTCTCCCGCCGCCTGGCCCAACGACAACCCTAACCCCGCAGTCCTCCTTCAGCAGGACTCCACCACCGGGGATGAACAGCAGCAGCTCGATGATCCCCAGTCATACGATTCCCTTTCTTCAATCACGCCTCAGGAAAATCACCAACCAGATCCACTCCCTCAGTCGCCGCCTTCCAATCCAACCCCCGTCACCAACTACAGCAGCCCGATTTCTTCTCCGCCGGAGTCCTCCTCGTCTCCGCCACCGTCCGTCGCCCTGCTACACCTCTCCTTCAATCAGGACTCCGGGTGCTTCGCCGCGGGCACCGATCACGGGTTCCGGATCTACAACTGCGATCCCTTCCGGGAGATATTCCGCCGCGACTTCGACCGCCGGGGCGGCGGGATCGGGGCGGTGGAGATGCTTTTCCGCTGCAACATTCTGGCCCTCGTCGGCGGCGGGGCCGACCCGCAGTACCCGCCCAATAAAGTTATGATCTGGGATGATCACCAGAGCCGTTGCATTGGCGAGCTCTCTTTCCGGTCAGAGGTTCGAGCCGTGAAGCTGCGGCGGGATAGGATCGTGGTGGTTTTGGAGCAGAAGATTTTTGTGTACAATTTTTCGGATTTGAAGCTGTTGCATCAGATTGAGACGATCGCCAACCCTAAAGGGCTCTGTGAGGTGTCACACGGGGCGGGTTCGCTTGTCTTGGTCTGCCCGGGCTTGCAGAAGGGTCAAGTTCGGGTTGAGCATTATGCCTCGAAGCGGACTAAGTTCGTTATGGCGCACGACTCCAGGATTGCTTGTTTTGCTCTCACGCAGGATGGCCAGTTGCTTGCTACTTGTAGCAGTAAGGGTACCCTCGTAAGGATTTTCAACACAGCGGACGGCAGTCTTCTTCAAGAGGTATTTTTTCGTGTTGGTTACCTTCCTCGCCTCTTGCCTTAAACCGTGGTGATTACAAGAGTGACTGGATATTGGTGAATTGCAGTGTGATGATATGGCTACTAGTTGAGTATGAGATTCTTAGTGAATGTAGTGTGATGATACGGTCACTAGTTGAGTTTGAGATTCTTAAGTTTCCTTTCGTGAGAATTTGTGTTTGGTGTACGCTTGTGCTTAGCACTTAGGTAATTTGAAGAAGCATGATTGGTTTAGCTATAGTAAGATAGCTTTTATGATTAAAAACATAGCTTTGTGAAGATGTTACTTGAGTGCTTCTTTCGCTGAACTGCTAGGTGTTCAGTAAATGGCTGCAAGGCTAAATGGGGTAAAAATCTGAACTTTGAACTTTGCTTCCCTGACCTTCCTCCTTCCCACACTTCACCAACCAATTATTGTGGGTTTCTTGCTTCTGGAAAAACTAGATTGTTGTCTGCATTAGTCAGAGTGACTAAACAAAACTTGAGCTTTTATTTGGATTCCCCTTTCGTTTTTCAAATTTTCTTTTCTTTTTACTTCCAATTTCTCTACTGTTGGGTAATTGAATTTGTTTCAACCTCGCTGTGTCACGTCTCACTTGCTTCAGATATATCTTTGTTTGTTTCTTGTGGAGTCATTTCTCTCTTCTCTTGTTAGTTAGTTTAGCTGAGGGTGAGTCCCTTTTCCATTCGAGGTGGAAACTGAATCCTATTCATAACAGTGTTTGTTAATTTTACTGTATGCTGAAAAATCCAACACCTTCAGGAATTTAAAGCTGGAACTGACTGTGCTGGGGTCATTATTATGATATATAACTGAACCAGATGGCGTCTTCCCCCCTCACCAGCTTTGATATAACTGAACCTCCAAATCTAGCTTAGTTTGGAACTGCTTAGCTTATTTGGTGGTGGTATTTATTTTGTTGCTCTCTCTATGACTGCTTCTTTCTGCGGTTTTACCTTTCCATTTAGTTGTTGGAGTGAAGTATCGGAAATTTATATAATTTGTGAATGGCAGTAAAATATTGTTCAATTTCTTGGTTGGCTTGATATGCAAGTACCCGGATACTGATATCTTTTATTAATATGCTGGGTTGGCTCTATAAATTAGGATCTGTTAGTTAGTTTTAGGAGCTCTATTTTGCCATTACACAATCATTTCCTGGTTTTAGCATTGCACTTCGTAACTGATTCTATGTCTAAACATAGGTGAGGAGGGGTGCAGACAGAGCAGAGATCTACAGCTTAGCATTCTCGTCTGCTGCACAATGGCTAGCAGTTTCTAGTGATAAAGGAACAGTTCATGTTTTCAGCCTTAAGTTGAATCCTGGGGCAAAAATGAATGACACTTCACGAGCCATAACTGATACAAATCATGCCGCTGGCTCTCCTGCTTCATCCTTATCCTTCTTCAAAGGTATTTGCTCTCTGAAACTAGAGCCCCCCCCCCCCCCCCCCCCTGCTTTAATAGGAGAGACCCCACGACTCTACCTATCTTCTGCTGTAAAAATAATAGTTGAGATTAGGGGGCATATTAATCTCATCAAAGCTTTTGCGTGCAGGTGTTTTACCAAAGTATTTCAGCTCAGAGTGGTCGGTTGCTCAGTTCAGGTTAGTGGAAGGCTCTCAGTACGTTGTTGCCTTCGGTCACCAAAAGAACACGGTGGTCATTCTCGGGTTCGATGGAAGGTAAGATAAACTGTGAGGGCAAACTCCAAAGTCGTTTGGGTTTCTATTGCTCCTGTGTAAATATTATTGCGTCAAGGTTATATGAACCAGACGGGGGATAACTGAGCGTGTTTTTGTTTCTGGGATGGCTCGCTGCAGCTTCTATAGATGTCAGTTCGACCCGGTGAACGGTGGAGAGATGAAGCAGCTGGAATATCACAATTTTATGAAGCCAGAAGGTAGCTTCTGAAGGAGGAAAACAAGGTAGCCAGAAGGCTTGTTGCGGAATGTCTATACAGTATATGTATGTATGCGTGTATATATAAATTTCTCTTTCGTTTTTACCTCGTTGGTGTTCTGTCGGCAGATGGGCGCATGTTGTAAATATAAGCTGTACCTTGTAAATTATGTTGAAGGCTTAAAATGAAAAAGTGACAGGGAAGGAAGGAGCGAAATCAGCATCCTGTACGTATTGTAAATAACCAGAAACTGTTCTCTTGGTTTTCCCTTGTAATTATTTACAGTAGTACCGCTCTCAGGCAAAACTTTATTTAAGTTATCTCGGAAAACCAGAATAAGCAAACATTAAATTTTGTAATTTGGCACATAAAATTGTCCAAATCACATCGTATAGAGTCACTCTGAGTGTCTGGTCTTAAAAGTACTGTATTAGAGGTTATACAGGAAAAGTCAAAGTAGAGTATTTGAACTAAAAAAGGTTATACAGGAAAAGTCCAAGTAGAGTATTTGAACTAAAAATATAGTTCAATCGTTGCATATTGCTGAAATCGCCATCCCATACTCAAATTAAACCCATTTGGGTATAACCCAAATGAATTGACCCAAATAGGACCCAACCCAATGCTCATTACCCCATCCCATACCCAAAATCATTAGGGCTCGTTTGCTTCATGGATTTGAAAAATGAAGGTTTTAGTTAACACCTCGGTTTTATAAAACCAATGATTGATGATGGAATTGGTCCATTATGGATTTGGACCAAAACCTTGTTTGCTTGTTGGATTTCATGATGGATTTTGCTGAAATATATTAGTGGGTATGAGATACAATTGACCTTGTTGTCCTTGTTTATAATTATTTGTATATTATTGTTCTCATATAAACAAAGCCTTTTAGAATTTCTTCACCTCTCCAAGATTTCAAGAGCTCAAAGCTATCATATATGCAAACAATTATGAAATCAATAGAAGATTTGAAATTTTGAGCATAAACTAATCTTCAGTTTTAAACAAAGTGCTTCAATCATTGTTAGTTTGTTGACCAATACCCACTTACTCCAAATAGGCAAATACAACTTACCACACATCATTAAACTAGTTGATGTACCCTACAATTATAGAATTTTCATCTTTCTTTTTCTCACAAATTGATGCTTGTTAAGTCCAAAAGCACATTCCACCATCTTCTTCGAGTCTTTCCTTCACGTTTTTCCACTCCTTCCCGAGTCTCTCATTATCTCTAGTCTAAAGGGTTAGAAAAATAAAGAGGACAAATTTGTCATTAATAAAATGAGTGGGGATGAAAGAGTAAAGTCCCATAATGGACTTCCCACCCTCACCCAAATCCCACCCCTTGGGAGTTGGGACGGAATTTGCAAGTTCGTGGGGCCCACAGATTTGGACCATCAAAGTCTGTGGGTCCCACGGATTTATATCTCCTAAAACCTTGAAACAAACAATGGATTTTGTTTCAAGTCCATGAGGTTGGGGTTTTTGTGCACCAAATCCATGATGAAAACCCTGAAGCAAACAAGGCCTTAAAAGTGTATATGAAACCATTTGAGTCCGACCCAATACCCATACGAGTCATGACATTGAGGTCAAATTACCCAATCAGTCTACCCATTGCCATGTCTACTAGCTCCAGAGATGGTTAGTGCTGGAAAAGATGTTAGAAGAAGCTGTGGTGGAGGTTACTTGTAGGAATATCAATAGGGCAATGGCAAATCTGGTTTCTTCATTGGGTCAGGGCACGTCTGAGTGGCAGGCAATGAATCGAGGAAGCCAATTTTCCATGCAGATGGGAGAGTTTCAGGAGTTCATTGGTTTGATGGTGCTAGCTTGCAATCTTTGGGAGCTGTAGCTGTGTCAAAGGTTCCAGTGACCAACAAGTTTCAGGCTCTCTTGCATCCTCTGATAACTTAGTAGTTGAATATATCACTGTCTCTAGACTCTAGTCCTTCTTTGCCGTGTGTTAGCAGAGTTTCCTGAGCTACAAGGTGATCCAAAAAGTGAAAGTGATGTGAGGTAAGAATAGTGGTAGAGTCAGAAATCCGAATGCTTGTCAGCTAACCGATTAGACATCAGTTATCAACAAGGAAGTGCTATTAAACTTTTAGATATGTCCTTGCACCATTAACCGAATCGAACAGGGGATATCGATAACCGTCGGTTATCTGTTTGATTATCGGTTAAATCAGTAACCGGTTAACTTAATACCAACCCTATAGTCTGATCGCCTCCATCTCTCTCGTTCTCTCCCTCCTTTCCTTCGGCCGCCTCCATTTCTGAGTGTTTCTTTATTTCCCCTTCTTGAAACCTGCTTCAATTATATGTAACAATTACAAAATCAAAGCAACAGAGTCTGCAGAATCATCACGTGGTAGTTTGGTTTGGTCACTGGCGATCTATTGTAAGTTTGACTACTGTGGCTGTGTGCGTGATGCGCGCCGCGTTACTAAATTATATTAAGTGTTCTTCATATAGTTCCTGCCTACTCTGTCTGTCCGTATATAATAATATTTATAATTTATAATCATTTAATTATTAATACTGCTCTCAACTTCTTCTTCTTCGTGTTGCCATTATCGTTGTCAGTGAGTTGATTTATTGGGTAATTTTACTCAAATTTCATGATTTATATAGGTAACGGGTCGGACTTAAAGGAACTCATATGCATTTTTTATGGTTAAATTTGAGGTGAGTATAATTTGGGTCGGATCCAAATGGGTCTAGACAATTATACACAAAAAGGGCAATATCGATCATCTCATTAACTGTCTCCAACCAGTTCACACCTTTGATGCAGGTGACTGTTTTCAACATTTTTATTTGTTTGGGAATAAAGGAAAATGTGAAGCGCACATTAGACTATGATATTATTCGCTTTCTTTTGAATGCCCAATATAATGAGTCTAATTTAGACCAAACTAAAAAATTAGATACGAATCTACCCAAAACAATACCATCAAATCTAATTTGATCCGTAATAAATTGAGTTTGAACAATACCCAGAATTTGGGTCTGTTTTACCATTTTGGATCTATTTACCATCCTACTTCAATGAGAAATGAGGTTTGACTTGGACTGGATCTTTTAATTTCTTTCTTCTTCTTCTTCAAATTATTCATTTCCTATCTACAAATCTACAATAGCTTCCACCTCTTAATTGTGTAACTTTTTGACAAAAAAAAATCAGTTACTTGGCTAGTTCCCATGTGCCATGTGCTTGCCTGTGGACTTTGGGCATGCAGTGCGGGTAGGTAATGAACCAACAAAACAAATATGGAAAACATTTCTAGAGCAAGGATTGGTGGTAAGGTTGTCAAATCGGTTTAAGTCATTGAAATAGTTAATTAAGGGGTTTGAGGTTTAATGATATGATCGGGGTTCGGCGATTTGAGTCGTTGCAAATATTTTTCTAAATATATATAGTAATTAAAGATTTAATCACTAAAATGAAATTTATCTTACATGTATCTATTACAAATTTATTTTCCACAGGTTAAATCTACCTAACCTCCATGACCCACCCACTATCTCCCTACCTTCGCTCCTCTTCCTCTCTTCCCCCTCTCTTCTTCTCCTTCTTTAGGGGTCAAACCGGGGAGCTTTATGGAGGCCGTTTTGAAGCGCGACTAAGGTCGGATCGGGTCCAACCGGAGGTCTGATAGGGTTTAACAACCTTGTTTGGTGGCCATTCAATAAGACGATTGTTCAACTCAAATTCGTAGGGCATTTACAAGGAATAATCGAGCTAAGAAATTCCAAATTCAAATTTATTTGGCGATGTCTTGCTGATTTGGGAGACATTCTGATTTGTGAAATAAATTGGAGTTATAGACAATCTAAAGTTTGATCAACATTTATCTATTACTTCTTGAGTTCCTTTGTGGAATTTCAACCTTCTTTTATCTTCACTTGTGTCTGTGGATTGGTATCAGGCTTAGGAATAACTGTGTTGATGATAGGTTCAACACTCATGTCGATCGTGGTCCGCCACCCTCGATGCTTCCATATTCTGTTGAGTGATTCGGTTTGGTTGCATTGGGTTTCTTCTATCGTTTCTGATTTGTAACATAAATTTGCGTATTAACTATAATGATTATTGACCGATTTAACTATAATGATGTTTGCCCTGATTACAATTAAGGTGATCGTAAAAAAGAAAACAAAGGTTTTTTTTTTTTTACTCTGTTCCATTGTGTAACTGACACTGTCTCAGTGTTTCTAAAAGGAAAAAAAAAAAAACATATGTATAATGTATACATGGGATTCTGTTAAACAGGTAGTATAAAAGTTTAGTTTGTACTCTTTTGCATTCTCAGTGTATGAGAACACCATTAATTTTAGAGTCTGACATGGTGGTGGAGATGGTTAGTATAAAAGTTTAGTTTGTACTATTCTGCAAACCAATTAATTTTTTATATGCAGTGGTTCTTACGGTTAGTTTTAGTTCGTACCAAATCGAAGCGTTGCACACCTCCATATGGAGATGAATTTTTTTGAAATAACCAACAAGTTGGATCCATATGAACCAACAAAGGCACGTTGAAGAACATACTGTGTTTTGCTACACCTTGTATCTTCGAATCCATGCCACTCATAAAGAACCTTCGCGTCTATGCAAAATATCCAGTAAATTTCTTGTCAGACGTGTTTCCAAATCCTGAAGTTTCACAGCCCGCACCACCCTCTTTTCTTGGCCTTGCTACATATTTCCAGGAAACTGTTGATCTTGTTTGCATTGATATTCCACAGAAAATCACAACATATATTATCTTTTCTCATTAATCACATATTGAGGCAGTAAAAACAAACCCATCCAATATTTCAATACACTTGTAAAAACCGATACTACTAGTTAAAATTTTCCAACTTGGATTAGCAGCTTTGTTATCCAACTTCTAACCCTCTAAGTGATCTTATCTACAAGAACATTACATTCACTCCTTTTCAATTTTCTTAATACGAGTGGGACTTTAAGATCTTAACATATATGGAAAATCCCCAGAGGGAATCCACCTATAGTAAGATATGATATGACCTTCATTTCTTCTCTTCAAATGCCAGCACAATATATAGAGCTATCATTTTGAAGGGTTGCACTGCAAATCTTAATCCTGATAATTAAAAATCATACAAAACTAATTGTAAAAAAAAAAAAAAAAATCATACAAAACTCTTTAGTATCCCTTCAATTCCTCTCAAAAAACCATTTAAAAACACAAGCAAATTGCCGGCCGCGAAACACAAGTGGGTAATTTCGAGGGACATATATATAGCGAGAATGGCAAGGAATCCGGTCACGTTGGTCTAGTTGTACTACCGCTGGTCTTCAACATGGAAGTTGTTTCGGGTTCGAATCCCTTGAGTATAGCCGCAAAATCTCCCGCTCAACACAAACCCATGCTTGAAAGTAACAAGATGGACACCTCTTTGCACAGCGCAAGTAGTAATATAATGTGGACGTGGTGTGACAACATTGTATTGTCGATGTGTTGAGGCAACAGTACATTTTATATGTTTGCAAATTCCCACAAGTAACCTACCTAATAAATAGGAATGCAGGAATCCGCACAGGATTCTGTTCTTTGCCTTTGCTTGCAGAGCTAGTCTTTGCTGCGCACTTATCGGGTCGTCTTCTCTTCCACGTACAGTTCCACTCCACGGCCGCAGCTGCGCCTCAATTATTTGATCGATTCCCATACTCAATAGTGCTGAATAATGTGCTCCCAAGTTTTAGACTTTGGGTACAAGCTATCAGAAAAGCCAAACTACACCCGAGGCTGAGGAACTAGGAGAGAGACCTTGCCCATCAGTTCACTACACGTCTACACCCATGCTAATTAAGTTGTGAGGAACTAATATATAGTGACTTCAATAGTGCTCCAGGCAAAATTTAGAGTACCGCATATCTTATGGTGCTTACTATCATGTACCCCGGACAAAACTTATGGTATGCGGTTCCGAAAATCTTGCATGTGGTATGAAACACATTATCCAGATCTCAAATTAACAGGATTTCGGAGCATGATCCTATATTCTAACCCCTTGATGAGTGAACGGTATGTCTTTAGTTATCCTAATCATAAGTTATAAATACTAAAATGGTGCATACCATTTGTTGGATGTATATCAACGAATCATGACCGTCAATTTTTGTTTCTAGTTTAATTGATATCTTAGTGTATGAGATTTATAAAATTAAGACCTAGATTTTAATCCTTAAAGATTAGGGTTTAGAATCATGACCCTTGATATGAAAACTCTATGTAGACCTCTAGCTAAACGGATTTATTGGTATATAAATGTCACTCAGTTACTGACTCTTAATTCTTGGAAAGGTGTGTCGAGAAATTACATCAAATTGGATAATATAATATTTTAATTGAGATCATAGTAGGGGTGGGCGTTCGGTCGGTTCGGTTCAAACCGAACCGAACTAGTATATGCCGAGTTTCCGAACTCATCAATACTCCAACCGAAATATATCTCGATTCGATTTGTCCGAACCGAAATATATTCCGGTTCGGTTCGGTTTTAAGACCAACACCGAAAATGCTTAACCCATACCCAGTGGCGGACAGTGTGGAGAACTAGAGAAAACCAAAGTCCCACCCACCCCTCTCATTTTCCCCTTCCCCTCTCTTTCTCTCTCTCTTTCTCTCCCAAGTCCCACCCACCCCCATCCGCTTTTCCCCTCATCTCTGGCTACAATCATCTACCACCGCTGTCACCCAACTCCCTCCTCCGCTGAGCTCACTATCAACTACCACCATCGCCGCCAAGCTCCCTCCACTCGCAGGGTCTCCCTCTCCAATCGCGACCTTTCCAATCCTCAGCCCTCGATGCTTGCATATGGGTTGTGGGCGGCTGTCGGCCTTCAAAATCAGTCGACGCATAGCTCGATGTAGCAGCGGTAGAGAGGCGGGATGCTCACGTCGGCGATGGTCCCTCCTCTGTTCAGGCCACCACTGGATCTGATGCCGGTAAAGCTCCAAGCGACGATAGATGGTCGGAGTGATAGTTGCAACCACCTGGGAGCAGTGAGAGTGGGTGGTCGGAGGCTGGCTGGCGGCAAAGAAGCAATCGGAAGTGGATGACCAATGGTGGTGAGGGTCAGAGTCGGGTGGGTTGTTCGTTGTTGGCGCCGATTCTCCTCCTCCTTTCTTTTTCTGGTTGCTGGGATAGGGGATTAGGGTTGTGGCGGTGATGGAATCGGGCTGGGTTGTGGCCTGTGGGGGAAATGGGAAGTGGGCTTGGGGAGACGACTGGGCCACTTAGGGAATGGGCTAGGCTGTGAGAACTCGGCTGAGCATATATTTCGGGTTCTCGGTTCGGGTTTCGGAATTTCGGGTTCGTTATGACCACCCTGGTTTCCGAAATACCCATATTCTGGTTCCGAATTCCGAACCGAATAGTAATAGTTCGGTTTCGGTTTCAGTTTAGAATCGGTTCGGCTTGGTTCGGTAAACCCGAACCGAATGCCCACCCCTAGATCATAGACCATTTTCACTAATTTTTTTTTTACATCGAATTATAACGACTTTTCATATTACGAAAGGTGTGTAAAATAATTTGTTCTGCTTATATGTGAACTGAAGGGTGGAGCATAGGGGAGAGAGCTACGAGGCAGGGACTAGAGACATTTTACTTCTTGACACTCGACAGAGAGACAAAGAAGGAGATGACGAAATGTGAATTAAAGGGGATGAGTGACTTTTTTTTATTAATTTGTAGGTTTTTTGTTGGTAATTGACTTATTTATATTGAGCATATCACGGTAAAAAATTTCAGTTTAGATCATATATATTATAGTGCTTCTAATCATCCCAAATAACATTTTTTTTTCAAAAGATATCATAGATTGATCAAAACATAGGTAGTTACACTCTGAAAACCAGCCAGGACTGGAAATTAAAAAAGCGACTCATAGTCGGATACAAAGAAAGGGCTTTCCTAGCAACCATATGTGCTACCCTATGTCCCTATTGTTCTCCCGACCTACAAAACGCACACTAAAACCAGGCTGAGCACGCAAATGATGGCCAATCTCTTCCAGAATAGCACCCAACCTGCAATCTCTTACGTCGGCTTGATTAATTTTGTCAATGATCACCTTTGCATCGCCTTCAAAACGGACCTCCACCAAACCCAGCTCTCTACACAAAATAATAGCTTCCCTAAGCACGAGCAACTCCACCACCGTAGGATCATCCATTTGAGCAAACTGAACCCCTCTAGCCTGGAAGAGTGTCCCCGCTGGGTCCAAAAGGACCATCCCACCAGTCGAATGCGACCCACCCTTCGTAGCCCCATCCCACATGCAAACTATCCGGGAATCACCCATTTGCACTGGAGCTTGCAACACCGAATTCAGCTCCCTAGGATCTTGGTCCGCAGGAAGACCCACCCACTCCTCATATTGTTGGTTAAACTGGCGCATGAGAGCCGGAATCCCAAATTGCTTGCATTCAAGGACTAATCATCCCAAATAACATTGTGATATGAAAATAGAAAAATCCTTTATATTATTAACATAACATTATATTTATTTTTAAAATATTTGCAGTGATACATAAAAAAAGAAATTTGTTCCTTTTTTGCAATATTGTCAGAACCGAACCGGAGCATGACCCGGTAATGCGAACGACTCGCATTTTAGTTGTCTAACCGGCATTAGACCGTTTAAAAACCGTTAGAGAACCGGTACCTAATAAACGTTATCAGTATAAATAGTGGACATTTCTTAATAAGAGCTCATCTCTTTCCTTCGAAATTGTGAAATGGAAATAAGAATTCAGTTTGAGAGCCCATCTCTTTTGGTTTATTTCAATTTTCAATTTTCTGCAATATTTTTAATTAAATTTAGTGGCTGAATGGCAAAAACCGGACGGGCAGCTCGGTCGGCTCGAATGGTTAACCGCCTCGGCCGCTCGCCAACCGCTACATAAAACCGGAGCGGCTTTTAGACTGTTCCGAACCGGTTTTATAAGCGGGTAGCGGTTTTACCGGTCGGGCCGAGCGGCTCGGCTTGACTTGAATAACACTACTTTTTTTGTCTTACTTCAACTAATAATTTGGCAACTATTTTTCAATAAAATGATCTTATGCCTCGAGAAAGAAAGAAAAACATAAAAGCACATTACCCAACTGATCACATGATAATTAACGGTTAGCTATCGCATCTCTGTCGTCTGTGTGTCTCTCTCCCCTCACTTAGTCTCTTGAATATTCTTAACGAGATAAATTTATTTATCAAATGTAAATATAGTCCAACAGTCTTAAGCTGACCCAACCGACCCACTCTAGACTCTAGTTCTGCATTTTGTTAGAATTTAACAACAACAAAAATATATGTTGTCTATTAAAAAAATATTCTTTACTTTGAGTAACATAATTCTGCTATGTGTATATATAAACAACTTACAAGGCCAATACATAGCACATCCAATCTCTTCTCCTTCTTCTTCTTCTTCCGCTTCAACACTTCAAAGTAGCAAAACACTCTCCCGAACTAGCTAGCTCGCAATGGCCGCGCAAGAAGCTGAAGCAGCAGTCCCGCTGAAGCTCCACGGCGCGGCGATGTCGGCCTGCACCGCCCGCGTCCTGACCTGCCTCCACGAGAAAGGCCTCGACTTCGAGTTCGTCCCCGTCGACCTCTTCTCCGGCGAGCACAAGCTCCCCCCTTTCCTCTCCATCAGCGTAAGCAAAACCCAAAACCCAAATCCTTCCCCCTTTCACTCCATTACTTTACTAATTAATTAATTAATGTTTTCCAATCTCTCCATTGTATATTCTTCTTGCAGCCTTTCGGCCTCATCCCCGTTCTCCAGGACGGCGACCTCACCCTCTTCGGTCCGTCTCCCTCACTCACTCACACCCTTCCATTTCGTAGTAATTTTACTATAATCGTCCTAACTTTAATGTGCAAATTACTAAACTACTGACCTTCTCGTTACGGCCCCCACGGCATTTTTTTTTATTACATTTCGTATTTATATTTTTCTAAAACAAATAACGCATAAGAGGACGAAGACAATCTTATATGTTGAGTTATGACGATTTAAAGTAATTTAGGACGACATTTAGCAGTTCTCTTTCATCTATTCATTCATTAATATTTTTTTTCTGTACGACGGGAGTAGCGTCTGTCAAGAAAGACAAAATCTAAAGAAAATACAAGACGCGTTTTTTTTTTAAACGTAATATCGTCAGTATGACATTAGTACGCGCGGAGAGGATCTCCCTCTCTCAGATTTGTAGGTGCTTATTTATTATTTTGTTAAATCTTCTGTTACGGTTTACAACGATATTTATAGGTCTGCTAGAATTAACAAACCCCTCGCTACAATTACACTTTTGGTACCTATATATTTCAAACAGAGTCCAGAGCAATTACAGCATACATAGCGGAGAAGTACAAGGACACGGGCTCCGACCTCCTCCTGACACGTCACGAGGCCGGTCCCGCCGCCGCCGCCGCGGCGGTGAAAGTGTGGACGGAGGTGGAGTCGCAGCACTTCAACCCGGCCATCGCTCCGATCGTGTACCAGTACTTCGTGGCGTCGATGCAGGGCGGGTCGCCGGACCAGGCGGCGATCGACGGCCACGCCGAGAAGCTGGGGAAGGTGCTCGACGTGTACGAGGCGAGGCTGGAGAAGAGCAAGTACCTCGCCGGAGATTCCTACAGCCTGGCGGATCTCCACCACGTTCCGTACACCTACTACCTCATGAAGACTCCCGTGGCGGCCTCCGTCGTCGGCGGCCGGCCGCGGGTGAAGGCGTGGTGGGAGGATATCTCCGGGCGGCCGGCGTTTCTGAAAGTTGCTCAAGGGATGGAGTTTGTTGCTAAAGAGAAGTGAATTAATGGCTTATGGTATTTAATTAAGTAATTAATTAATTGTACGGTTTGATTCTACAAATCGCAATATATGTACGTTGAATATCATCGTTTTAGTAGTTGGTTATTCTAAACACTGGTAGTCGGTTTAAAGTAGCGACATTATTGGAGGTCTTGAGGAGTATGAGGTTAGACATCGGATTGATTTATTTCCGTTTTGCGACATATTTCAATCGTCAATAATCGGCCTCTTCTTCTAGAGCAATGTACCATTGAGACACTAGTAGTAGTCGGTTTAAAGTAGGGACATTATCGGAGGTCTTGAGGAATATGAGGTTAGACATCAAATTGATTTATTCTCGTTTTTGCGACATATTACAATCGTCAATCATAGGCCGCTTCTTCTAGAGCAATGTGCCATGGAGACGAGGTGACGAATCCAGACAATCCAGACAAATGACGACACAACTATTTAGCTTTCACATTTCGAAAACGTCGTGCCGAAAATGTCGTGACAAGGGTTCTTTTATGTAGTGCTAGTGTCGTTTCTTCCAAGCTAACAAAAAATCAAGCAAATTGCAGGTACTAGCAGTAAAATAAAGTGCAGAAAGTAAAAGCAGTAAAGAGAACAACAAGTAAACAGTGTAGGAAAGCATGAAGAAGTAAAGACGTTGTTTATGTTAGTCTTACCTAGAACGACTCACATGCATGTGGTCTTGTGATTTGTGAAACATACATTGACAACAATAATACTCTAATCTATTAGCCAATAATAATACTTCTGATGCGGTACAAGTGATTTCTTGGCGTGCAAGTCACAACAGAAGCCTCCAAAACAGCAACAGTGTGACCAATACGCTAGACCAAGATTGTCAACCCGCAGGTCGACCTGCAAGTCTACAACCACACCATCCTAAATTCTAAATCGCGGCAGACAAATCGTTAAAGATCCCGCTAAGTTCAGCATAAGCAATGTAACCCCGAAATTTGTATTGACGAGTGAGAGCATACGAGACTACGGGAGAAACTCGAGTACTTGACCCGTTTCACTCTTTCTTTGTTTTCCTTATGTGCTATCACTGTTCTAACATTTCAGTTGGCAAAAAAGCTAGAACTTCAAACCACGAGGAATGATTATAAGAAGCGCTTAAAAGCTACACCTCTGTACAAGAAAAAAAAAGAATATGAATTGCTAGGAAAAGCTACAAAATTGGATTCCACCATCTAGTTCTCATTGCACTGTTAGTCTCTGAAGATGATCCAGGAACACCTCGAAGCTCACATCATCTGTAAATAGGATGTCTCCACCGGGCAGAGGTGCATCCGTATTATACGTGGCAGATGGATTCAGCTTAGCCAGAAGGAACCGTGCCTGAGCCATGAAAGGAAAGGAAAGCTTGTCAAGTACATCTCAACAGCAAGAAATTATAAGCCATTGTTTCAGAGTCGGTTAGAGACACGAACCTGTGAACCGTGCTGATCACAAACAACTAAACGAGGAACTGGAAACCTTTCCTTTACAATGCTATCTGCATCATCGGAAGGAGCTTGTAGCAACTGGGCAAACGCCTGCAAAGAATGTTGTTGAGAGAAATCAGATGCTGGAAGCAAGCATACAGCACATAACAGTAAAGATAATATGGAGTCCAATAAAATGATTCACATACAATTCGAAAATATTATAGAAGCATTAAGGTCGCTGATCAGAAAAGCACATCTTGTTATTTATGTGAGCAAATGACCAACAAGAGTGCTACAAGATTTTCGAGTTCTGGAAAGAAAGGGTCGAACTGGAAGTATGGAGAATAAAAGGTTGGGGTATATACATAAACTTAAATAAAATAGGTTCTGAAGGTATTTGGAAGATGAATTTGGATGAGCAGTTTGTTAATTGATCAACTGGAAAAAAAAATCCAACTGGCACCGTAGAAGCTTCAATTTTAAATGGAAGTTCATAAAAGGGGATGCCCTCTTCATAAAGATAGAGTACCTGATGCTCTTGTTGACTATGGTACCCTGCTTTTCGCCACTGAGCAATATTTGCACCATGGAAAACAACAACAGTAAAGTAAGAGTCCAATAGAAGAATCCTATCAGCTGAAATAGCCGCCACGTCCAAAAGAGCAGGTTCGGGTGCCGAATGAAATGAGTATGAGATTAATGAAGGCTGAATCATCACAATTGAATTGGCTACATTCTCTCTATTCAATATCATCCGAAAGTATGCAGTCTCATCAGGGCTATTGTTGAAGACCTGCAGATCATTGAAATCAGGTCGTAAACAGGGTTTTCATTTCAACTCTCCAAACTTTATTTTTTATAAGATTCATCTCTCCAAAATTAATTAACTTTCGATGATGCATGCAACAAGTAGATACATAATTGCTACCTGGACGAACTGAGAACGCCGTAAATGGAACATAAACTGGGGAAATATTGAGAGCCGTGGAGATAGACTGAACGAAGATGGACTATCCTTCTGATATTCTCCAAACTGAGAGCAAAGATGAATTAAAGCCTTATCCAACCATCTTATTGGATCAAACTCAGCCTGCAACCAGTATTAGGAGCACAGATTTAGAGAAAGCATCATAGCCAATTGAAGCACGAAATCAGAAAATTTAGTAGCATCTTTATAGAAAAGAAAGAGAGGATTACTGAAAAATATCTATTGAAATGGTGGCTGCCAAGGTTTGAATCCAGGACCTCCTGAATCCAAACCTGCACCTTAACCATCGCCACCACCCCTTGATGGTTGGAAAGGATGTAATGGCAGATATAATCGAAACTGTAAATGAGTCAATGGTTGCAAAATAAAGCAAAATATCTTTCATTTCACTTCTTAATCTACATTGGTAGGAAAAGATGGATTTGAAATCAACTCTTAAATTATAGTTTCTAAATTCATACGAGAACTAAACATACTATTATGATATCGAATGGAAGCTACAAGTTCACTGAGGACTATGAGGCTTCCAAACTAATACATCACCTTTATTCCTCAAAACTGCTGCAGAGGAGCTTATGAGTTCAATGGATAATAGTCTAATATAACTACACAATATTTCATTTCATTGACTAATCCTAGGAGTAAGCCTAACAATAAAGGAAGAGTCATTCCAAATATATGCCACTTAAAGTCTCACACCATATCTTCCTTGAACAGAAATGGAATTCTTGTAACGATTAAGACAGAATTTTAAGCATCAATAGAGGGCTGCCAATCCTATACATATACAACTCGTAGCACGACTTTCAGGAGAGACAATCATAAAATGCCACATAGTCAAAAGAATAGAAAACAACAAGAGGTTAAGAAAGAACATTCAATCAGTAGTTACCTCCACTTCCATTTTGAACGAGACCAAACGAGCCATGGCCACAGCTGCTGCTTCTTGGTCGAAACCAGCAATCAAGTCCTAAGGATTTCAAACTAGTGAGAAGTATGAAGACTTGAAGAAGAGTGTTGTTCACCATTGACACATGATAATTTAGAACTTCAGGAGTGAAATGCGTTTGCAGAGCCATTAATCATCTTTATCCTACAATCAACATGTTTAGCCCAACCTAATCCAAACATGTGTTTTTCTTGTAGATATCTACCTCCCTAACCTATATTGGATTTTCAAAATCAAGCCCTGCAGAGGAAATATTAGAATATGTATTGTTGTAACTGGTCAATCCAACATGCTTCGAGGTTAATATCATAGGGGAGACTTGACAGAAGTCAAAGGCTAGCTCTACATAAGAACCCTGGATACCCTGAACAATTATACCTTACAGAGACTATGAGATGACCCCTAAAAGTATGTGTACCCTGCCCAAAATGCATATCCCTACAAGATGTTTGGCTTCAGGTGGAACTATGCCTCTGCGACTCCACTCTATTGGAGGGAACTTAGTTTTAGCAGATTGTGTCTAAAACTATTACAGCTTAAGCAATGTAGCAACAGGATAGATTTCGACCAACATCAACTAATAATTGTAAAACAAGGACATAAATGTTTTAGTACTCACACACTGTGCCACAACAAAGCAGCAAAAATATCACAAGGGATTTCAGATTAGACGATCTCCAAAATCAAAATCACACCAATATTGTTTTCATGCCAAATACTAGTCATACTACCTACAATATTAATACCCATCCCAAAGATCGACATCAATTTTGTAACAACAACCAATCCAATTTCATTATTCAAAACAAAAAAAAAAAACCAATCCAATTTCAGAGAGTTCATTGAGATAGCAAGTGCAAAGGTTCAGAATTACTTTCATACAACTCAATAAGACGTCAACTAGACTAACTGAAGCAATAAGCTCTCAGTATTGCTTTTCCGGCTTGATTCACGACTTATTAGAAGAATTATTTTGATTAGAATGAGAATAAGTTCAAGTAACTTCATTGCCCCCAATAAGTTTTACCATCCTATTTGAGAATAGGCAAGAAATTTATTGACATACATGCAATCTAATCCACAGGGTCAATTCTTTCAGCTATGGAGTTGCATCTGGTTCAACCTGAAAATCTTCACTTTAACCATATTAGAAGGATGAAGAATTAAATTCTAATCCAGGCAGACATCAGCTGCATATGCTGCATCTTCTACGATTGCAACAAACTAGAACTTTCTTATAAGCAGATTTCAAGTTTGAACTGTCATCATAGAAAAGAGGATAAGCAATGGAATACTCTAGTCTCTACGAGGGAAGAAAACTCTATTTGAATATACTCCTCAAAGAAAAATAATTAAGAGAGACTCGGCATGAACTTTTAAGAGCGGAACAGCAGTTACCTGTATAGTCCCAGGTCCAGTAACCCATCTCCTTGAGAGGGTTGTCGCACGAACTCTCATTTGACCATTTGCATGTTGGTAACTGTGGCACAAGACAATTGTAAGCAAGGATCATTACACCTGGACATCTAGGTATGTCAATCTCTCAAGAAACCAAAGGCTAGGAGGTCATACTAAGTCAAGAATTGAAAATAAAACTGATTGCTTGAAGGTTGAACTGCAAGCTCTGGTGTCTCTTTCTTAACGATGTCAAATATCAGACATAAAGTTGTAGATTTGTCCATGCCACACATCTTCCATGCGCTGGTATTTCCCTGCCCAATGACAGTGTCAGAGGATAACTGCCCTTTCTGCAAAAAGCAAATTAAAAGTAAACTTAATCAAACCGATGATAAGGAAAGAAAACGAATACATCCATATACCATTATATGTACCTTTCCAAGAGATGCACACGGACCAATTATACCTTGAACTTTGATATCCTTTGAGCAGTTTATCTCAAAGATCCCACTACATATAAGAATCAAAATGAAAGAAAATGTTATATTACATTCAACTTCAACAGCCTAAAATACATTATCGTCAGAAGGATAAATTATCAGACTGTATTGAGGTATAAAAAACAGCATGAGAATGGGGTAGTTCTTGTGTGCTTTCAAGGCCAATAAAATGAAACTATATGATAATAGTTTACCACCAAACGCAAAAAAGTGCTAAACTATATCACAGGTTCAAGGTGAAGAAAGTTCCATTGGAAAAATAAATTTCTATGCACAAGGCAAGGCATAAAATGTTTCTGGGAAAAGCAAGCCTCTTTCGGAATTAGCCAAACCAAAAGAAAGAGAAAAAGTAACTCAAGCAGAATGTCATGCGACAAATTACAGCCTCTTAGAGGGGACTGATACAAGATACCGTCTGCCATCTTATTGACATGGACATACCATGCACACTGCCATTCCATGTTCATATGTCACATCTACTAGATTACCCTACCCGCTCTAGAATCAGGCACAGGTAGCTGCACTCACAGCCATAGATGTTTCATGCATATTCAGCCACAAAGCTATTCATCTTGATTAAGTTAAGTGCATTATCCATATCCTGAGATCTTTACTGGACTGACATTTTTAATTTACACAGAATAGGGAAAGAGTGAAGGGTGCTCCCTAATTTCACCATGGACAATAAGACCAAAGTTATACTTGCTAAGATACTTTACTTCATAGACAGAACTCCTCTTGTCTCTGGATAAGCTTAAAAGTTCAGTATCATAACAAGTTTGATATTTTCACTATTAGAAAGTTACAAACTGGAGATACTCATCTAAATGAACAAATCTTCAAAACATATTTCATTGACATAACAAAGCCAACCATGTTCCTTTCATTTGTATCATCTGAGAATATGAACAGTCGGTTAAGTGCGGAAGTACAGAATATTTGGATTTTGTACCAGTTTATCCGGGCCATTTGCAGGAAAATTAGTTGCCTCATTATAACCATCCAAAAACAATGAGTAATTATAGTATCAGGAGTATAAAATGTTTCTTTGCAGTGCTTGATTAAGCTTCATATTAAACTAGTTTAAGAAATCACACACGGAAAAAGGAGTAAACAAGCACATGGAGCATATCGAATAAAACCTAGGAAACTAAGGAAGGCACGTCATCTTCAATCCTACTGATGCAAGTTGAATCACAGCAACACAAATCCGAAGACACATTACACTTCAATCAGTGAGAAAGAAAAAGCATTTGTACTTTGATGATAGCCCAAGGTCATAGTCGCCTGATTGGAAAACACGTCTAAGTGACTCCTTGAATACTGAATGGCCAAAGCTTTCTGCAAGCACAACTAGGCCACCAGTTCTTTCAACAGCAACTTTGAGCTCAGCAACTCCCACCTAACAAGATTGAAAGACAAATAAAATAAAAACCCAAATTAAGTTAGGATTGACTCTTGATCTATTAAGTTAGTTAGTATGTCATTACTATCAAGTATTTTTTCAAAAGCGAAAGTTGCGTGTAAATTTGAACCAAGGTGGACCACACGTTTACTACTAGACCAATCCATTGGAGTTAAACTACCAAGATGAAGTTTCAGGGGGGAAGAAAATATTGAATTTTTAGCACAGCAATAGAAAAGGTGAAAGTTGCCTCCTCCAAGAGATGGGACATTGATTGGAAAAATAAGAATAAGAACACATAATGGCACAGTAACAGGATTCCCACCACTGCATTGCTACTGAAAATTATTTGCAGTGCCCAAAATATAACTACTCCATCACAGTTTCAGAATACTGGGATGCTGAGGACATCACATAAGATCCGGGATACTAATGGAATATATTTCAACCTTTGTATAGAATATACAATCATAGACAAACTAAAAAGAAAAAGATACAAACTCAATGCCACCCGACCATCTGAAAGCAAACTACGACTACAGAAAACTAGATACTTGACATTGGAATTTGCTCATGGCCTTGGTGAAGAAGTCAAATAGTACCTGATCAAGCGCACAAGCAAAGAGATCCAATATGTGGCCTTGATGAACAAGTTGCTTTGCAAGTCCCTCGTAGAATCTGACAGCTTTGTTATAATATGGTGCAGAATCTTTATCCAAGTCTTTGTGCGAACGAATTGGTTCAGAAAGATTCTTTGATACAATCTAGAACACATAAAGACAAGAGGATGAATTATCAGCAAAAAAAGCAGGCTAAAACACCGAATGAGAAAACCTAAGGTGAAGTACAAACTGAATAATGGAAGATGGTCATTCCCAAGAAGAGTTACAATTAGCAAGCAAGTCTTTTAATAGGTTACGCAATGCGAGAATGAGTTTGATAAGTAATTTGATCAGCAATTCGATGAGAAGATGACAATTTGGGGATCAGAGAAGGATTAGGGAATGGCTTACAGCACCAGGACCCTCTGTAGATGGACCACCCACGAAGGCCATAATTCTAGCTCCAGAACCAGGAACACAAGCTCCCAACAAACAAGCAGCTACACTCAGAGCAGTGCTGGTGCATCTGGTAGCCCTCTGATCAGTTGGTACTTGCCAGGGATCATTCTGCAGCTCCTCTAGAACCTTTTTTGTGTGGTGCGTTGGAAACAACGAAAACGGGAAATGAAGACAATTAAGAATTCGCCATTGCCAGAAAGAAGGACAAAGAAGGATCATGATTGGGCATTTACCGAATTCAGAGCGAAGCCACAATCGGAAGCGGGCAGAAGAAAGCGCGAAATGCTCTCGGTAGAGAGCCCGTCTCTGGCGCCGGCAATGACACCAGTGGCAGGTTTGGGCTTCTTGAGGAAAAAGCTCATTTGCTCGAGCAGCTGTTCCTTGGACACATCTTTGGAGCCCTTGAAGACGTAAGTCTTGGCAAGCTGACCGAACCCCAACTCGTGAACGTGAACCAACGTCCCGAAAGTGATCAGCCCGACGAGGGAATTGTCCGGCAAAAGGTCGATCGCCTGGGACAAGGCCGACCTGAGGAAAGCCATCTCCTCCTCGATGATACAAGTGTCCACCACGAACATGTAGACGGGGGAAGAACAAGAAGAAGGGTTTTCGCCCGGAGATTCATACTCGATCGATGTGTACTGCGGGAAGAGCTCGGCGGGGAGATGCTCTTCGCTGATGGAATCGTACTGCGGGGGGAAGTGGTTGCGCTGGAAACAGAAGGGGCAGATCCAGATCTTGGCCGCGAAATCGACGATTGCGAAAGGGTTGAGCACGGAGCGGCAGGTGCGGCAGCGGAGAGGAGCGTAGGGCAGGACCGGCATGTTGGGGAAGGGCTTGATCGGAGTGTATATCGCGGCGATCGGAACGACGCAGTTGGCCGCTTCCTGTTTGGTTCCCGGAAGCACATTCCACGGCATCCTTACGCCGTCCTGAGTCTCCAGCTCCAGGAATTCCGCCATTTTTTCTCCAGTTGGGGGAAAATTCGTTCGTTCTGCTTCTGAATTCCCGAAGCCCTTCTTCTTCTTCTTCTTCTTCTGGATTATGTTCCGAATTTCGATCGTGGTGCTTTCTGTGTATCGAATCCGATCCCGAGACTGCGCTCTGCACAGAGAGAGTGTGTAGCCTTCTGGACGGCGAATCAGTCCATTTCTTGTTCTTGCAGTGAGTGGCGTTTCCAAATATATCCGAAGTAGAAAAATCGGACATTGAGTATGTTTGTTGACTGACGTACAAGTTGTAACGATATTGAAACTAGGGGTGGGCATTGGGTGGGTCGGGTGGATTTTGACCATAAAATGCACCCACCCGCGCTTAAACGGATTGATAATTTTTAACCCACCACCCACCCACATTTAGTCTCGGGTTGGGTCGGGCGGATGGTGGATGATGCGGGTGGTTTTGTGGGTTCACCCACATCACAACGTATATAATATAAAGGAGTCAACTTGACATGATAATAGGTGAAGAGAATCATCGAGGGAAACAAGAAGTTGAAATAGGGCGAAAAATGTCAAATTAGTTCTTAAATTGGATAGAAATTCTATTATGAAAGAGTTTTCTACAGATTGAGACGATTATTAGGTGCAAGGAACTAAGGAAAATAATTCCACAAAGGAAAGAGCGGTAGGCACAAGAATTAGAGGAAAAAGTAAAGGGAAGAAGAGGGGATCTCTATTTGGAAGGTTGGCTTTGAGGTTCAAACTCCAGGAGCAGTCCGAGTTTATATCTAACGTCTCCATTCTCCTCTCTCTAGCGCCAACGACTTTGATCTTTTTGTTGTTGGGTTGAGCGGGTCACCCGCACACTCACCCACAACCCACCCACCACCCGGCGGATGGCTCCCAGCGCAACCTGTCACCCACCCACAGACCCACCCACTTAAAGAAATTCGGGTCAAATGCGGGTGGGTCGGCCCAAACCCGCGGATGATCCGCCCGCATGCCCAGCCCTAATTGAAACCGTCTTTGCTGAAGTGTATGTTACTCGCAGTCTGAACAAGAAAATAGTCCGTTGAAATCTCAATTAAACTATAATTTAAGTAAAAAAAAATATTCGATCACAGACTTATTCAGAACAATATATGGTGCGACTTTTTATTAGAACATCGAAAACCCTAAACACTTCTAAACGAAGATAGGTGTTTTGAGTATGGAGGCTCTTCTAAAATTTTGGGAAAATACTATTTACCTCGGTATAGTATATGAGATTCAAGAAACTCCATATTGTGCATAGGGTCGTTACTCCAAGCAATCAATTGAAAGTTATAGCACTAAAAAATCGAATAAAATCAGCTCAAATGTTATACCTTCGCATTAAGACGAGAAGTATTATTCACTACTATACCTTTGTGTAAATAAGAGTACATTTATCGTATCTTTCCGTCTATATGCTTGTATAGTTAATAATTGATTTTACTACCAATTGGAAATGAAAGTATAAAGATAGTATTTTTCCAATTTATATGGATATGTAAAAATACTAGGCTTATATTGACGTAGCCAGAAATTCATTGGGTCCCAGCCCCCAGGTCCAAAATAAAATGAAAAATTATTTAGCCACTCGCCCATAAAAATTTCCAAATTTTCCTTTTCAGAATGACAGAATCTCAGAGGCAAAACATGAATATACATACCCGCTTCAAGCTCTAGAATTAAAGACGAAAGTTGAGCAACTGTGTATTACAAACAAAATTACCATGAGCAGGTCACAGAAGGTCTAATGTAATATACTAGGAGATGCTTGTCAAGAACTAAAATTAATAAATTCACGCCCTATAATTTTGATTCATAAATGATACAGGTCAAGAACCTTTGGTCGGATCATCAACAGGTAGATCATCTTCATCATGGTAGATGTTCTCTGCCATTTGCCATATCTGAAGGATGTTATCTTCGGCGACGCTTGCCACAACCCAGTCTTCACAAGGATTCCACGAGAAATCTGATATCTTACTGGTGTGGCCGCCGTGGATGAAGAGCAACTCCGGTGGACCATCTTCAGCATCCTCGGGTGTCTGCTCCTCATCAATCCTGCAACGACACACATGCGACGTCAAACATCATCGTATAAGCACGTAATGGTAGAACCACTACATAACAAAAGGAAAGAAAGTGAATTTGGGTTTTGGGATAAAGACAGGTCGTAATATGTTCCATAAGTCCTGGCATCTCAAGGTTTGAGATCCTACAGTCTCTTGCATTCATCAAAAGGTACAAGAAAGAAAAGAACTCATGCTTGAGACCAAAATGTATGGAGAGCCTTCGGCCCTGCTGATTTCTGAGCTATTGTTAGATGCAAATGCAGCTAATGAAACAAAAACCCTACTTCAGTTCTAACAATACGCAGCGTGCATGCAACCATTTGTAAATGCAGTAAAAAAGAAAAACTGGCATGCTGATCTTGTTTCAAATGTGATCAGGTGACCTTTTCTGCTGGTTCTCTTTTAAGAGCTGCCCACATACCTCATGTGAGATTAATGCAACTTCAAAGCACTTCAGTGCTAAAAAGATGTGATCGAGTGATCATAAGGTTCGGGTTCTCTTGCTTTTCATTTATCACTGGTGGGAAGGATGATATTCATTGCAGCAGCCTCGGTTTTACTTTTACAGTTGTGCGTTTGTTCTCAAATACGATTCTTTTTCTACATGTTCCCAACACAGTGTGAAATCTTAAAGCAACATTTGTACTTTCAGGTAATTGCATTCAATCCATAAGCATAGGAGCGTGTTTCATGAATCCGTACAGTAAGTATCTATTTCATGATCTTTTGCTTGCAATTTTCATATTTAATAGAAAGAAATTTTAACCGAAGTTTCTGTTCTCAAGAAATCACCTTGAGCATAATGCTTTAAGACTGCCGAAATGTGTAAAGTAAATTATTGTTTGCTTCTTGATATGTTACATACAAGAGAGTTTCAAGCGCAGATCCCATGTGAAGTGGAAAATATAAATGGTGGTCCTGGTTTATTTCTTAAATGGTGGTCCTGGTTCATTTATAATTTCAAACCAGTAGATCTTTATATTATTCATCCTTTTTTGTATCTAGAAGTAGGAGAGTTACCCAAACTTGATGTTAGTCATAGAAATCTAGAAGCATCAACCAAAAAAAAAAAAAACAATTCACGGGTGGCTAAAGCGAATGAACCAACCTGCTAAGATCCCAAACCATGAGCCTCCTTCCAAGGCAACAAGAAGCTAAGATTGTCTCATTCTTAGGATTCCAACCTACCTGGAAAACCTCTTCCCTGTCAAAGCAAAACCAGCAAATAAGAATGCAGCAAGATGACATCTCAACGCATCACATTTACAGCTTCCAATTTATTTAATCCACAGAGCATTCACATAAGAAAAGCAATAATGTTGAGACGAACATACTTGTGACAATCAAATGTGTAAAGCGCAGTGTTGATCTTGCGCAAGTCAAATAGTTTGACCATCTTATCAGTGGATCCAGTCGCCACAACCCATTCATTGAAAGGATTGAAAGCCAAGCAGTTAACCTAGCAGGAAGTCACAAAAACAAACATATCAATTCAAATATTATGCTAAACATATACCCATAATATGAAGCAATAAACAAAGGCAAAATGAGAATTATCTATTTATCATCAACCTTCCTAAAAATGCCAACTTTGAGCAAGGAACTTCATGAAGTGCCAAAACTCTCAAGCAGTGTGCACACACCCTTTCACGGAGATTAATAAGTCAATTCTGGAATCAGGCCATTACCTCACTTTGATGAGCAACAACGGATTGGACAGGCTTGGTTGCTGCTGGACTTCGAAGATCCCATATAAGCAAGTATTGATCATCCCCCACAGAACCAAATAAGTATTCATGCCTCAGATGCCAGGCCACATCTTCCACAACACCTTCATGTACCTATTCAAATGAGCAGAGCTGAATGAATGTTTAAAGGAAGTTGAAAAGGGAAAGGACTGCACATTCAGACATTCCAGGACATATAGGGAGGTTTCAATAAGTGGGGCATTCAACAACTCACTCGCCCTGATATTTCGTACGGTGACTGCATTGAAGGTGAAAACAAACACTAAGCAAAGAATGAAGAGAATGAAGACCTTGAAAATCTGGGTGGCATCAAGAGACTTGTTTTTAGGAGTACCATTGATGTCCCACAAGCAAATCTGGGCATCATCCGACCCACTGAGCAAATGCCCTTCCTTGAACTTACTCCAGGAGAGACCATACCCTTCAGTGTTGTGACCTCTCAACCTCAAATCAGGGCTGCAAGCCCCATCCAGAGGAGGTTTAGAAGGGTGCTTGCTGTAGTCAAACACATAGACCTCGGCGCTGACGGTCTTGGTGGCAATTATGAAAGGGTTTTGAGGCATGTAACGAGCCCTGTTAACCTCTCCGTCGTGATTAATCTGCTGAATGATTTGAACCTGAAAGCCGGAAAACAAACAATAAGAGATGGGAAACCCCAAAAAGGAAAAGAGAGCATAGCCCAGAAATCGAAGGGAAGGTTACCTTGCCGTTAGCAGCTCCAAATCCGCCGGCGTCGGAGCGGTCGTCGTCGTAGTGGCGGGCGTCATTCTCAGCGTCGTCCAAAGGAAGCTGAACCTGAGCGAGCATGAGATAGTTGGGCTCGTTCTCCGAGGTGTGGGTGCCGAGGATCATCTTCTGGACGGAGTAGTCCTTCCCCGGCGGCTCATCGCGGTCCGGCAACCACTCCACGGTGAGCGACGGCCACTCGAGGGCGTGGGTGATGACCAGGTCGTAGAGGAAAGGAGTGTTCTTCTTCCAAATCTTGTACTCTTCGTTAATCAGCCTTTCCTCGATCTCTCCCCTCATTTCGTCGTCGTCCTTCCCCATTGGGCCCTTTGCACTTGTCTTCACTTCAAATTTCGCAGACGGCGGGGCTGGATTTGTTGTTGGCCAACTGCGCCGGTCAGTTGGTACGGATTCCGCCGATGGGTTAGGGTTTCCTGTATACGTTTTTGGGAGCTGGAAGATGGTAAAGGGTTCAGTGACGTCGTGTTAATTGGGGATTTCGAGTCCCCTCTTTGTCTTGGGAATTTGGGTGAAATGAAAAAAAAAGATAAATTAATTTTTACCAAAATGGAAATGGGTGGGAATTGGGGAAACGGAAAGACATTTTCCCGCCAATACGCAAAACAGAAATTAGTTTTCTCGGGAGAAGAAGGTTAACACCAATTATGAGCCAAACATTTTTCGATCTATGAGAGGACGAACTAAGAAAATATCAAATTACAGAGTCTAAGGAGCCATTGATGTATACGAAGAAAGATTACATTTGCAAAAGAAAGATTACAACGCCAAATGGAACCAGAGCTAGAACAAATAGAGTTGCAACTAAGACAAGAAACAGGCTAGATCCTCCTCAACTGAAAGGTGTAAGCACTATGCTTCAATTTCCACCTTGCTTGATTGTGTCTAGCCAACTTGAATATTCCAACAGCTTCCTGGGAAATGAGCAATGCACTGGCAAAATAACTTCACAAATAAATCTCTAAAAAATGGACAACCAACAAAAAAAAAAAAAAATTGGTCTGGCGTGCCTAAGTGAATATCATAGAACAAATTTGCTATTTGGAATGCTAATGCAGGTTTTACCTACAATTATTAGTGGGAACCAATATGCTTCTGTAAGGGTGCGTTTGGATAAGTGTATTTTAAATATAAGGTATTTGAAATACTAGCATTTGAAATGGATGTATTTGAAGTATTAGCATTTGAAATACATGTAATTCAAATTCATTGTTTGGATACTCATTTGTAATTTGTTTGTATTTTTGTATTTATGATTTTCAATTTCAATTTTTAATTTTCTGGTCACTTACTACAAATTTTGGTAAATTACAATTTGGTACCCAAAATTATTTTTTCTTACAATTTAGTACCTAAACTTTTAAAATTTTACAAAAAGGTCCTGAAATTTTGATGGTAAAATTACAATTTGGTACCTTTATATGTTTTGCCTCACACTATAGTACCTAAACTTTTCATATTTTACAAATAGGTCCATTCTTTTGTTAGGGGGTATTTCAAATCACTAGTTGTTGAAATGTATTTGAAGTTGACAAAAAATACACTAGACATGTATTTGGAAATCACCCCATGAATTTGACACAAATCCAAATACCAAATGTAATTAATATCCAAACACATGATTTGGTATTTGAAAATCCAAATCACAAATACCAAATCCAAATCCTTGTATCCAAACGCACCCTAAAGGAAATACATATTGTGGATAATATCTTCCTCGCACAAGAGTTTGCGAGTTTGTAAGTGGAGTTGTGTGGGCTGATAATCGGTTCGGTTATAATCGGAATCATATTTAGTTGGTTCTCGATTAACCGTTAAGCACTTTGTGCTTAATGTTAGTCGTACCGTTTAAATTACTCGGTTAATCCTAATCGTATAGTCGGTTTTTGGTTATTTTGTCGGTTAACCAGATAGCCGTTAATCAAGTGATTCAGCAAGGTTATACCAAAATAACTTATCGATAACTTAACCAACAAAAGACCTCCTTTTTTCAATTATGAAATTTTCTATAATTTTTCATACATACTCATTTGTTCTTTTCTTAAGTTGTTATCATTGAATAAAACATAATTTAACATAGATTTATATTAATACATAATCAACACAATCCAATACAAGTACACAACAATATCATTATACTGTCAAACTTTATTAAAGAACCATACAACGTAAGAGACCAAACAACAATTACTCAACTCGTAAACCCCACCCAATTACATGGAAGTTTAATGTTACTGATTATTGTTGAGCAACTATATGCAAGTCTAACTTTCTACTGTGTATGTGCTCATTCTAAAACTTTTCCTTTGAATTATTCTCATTTGAGTCTAAGTCACTATTACAACTAGGATTGGCAATGGGTCTTGTAAGCTTTCAAGCAACCCATTATTTTCAGCCAATGTTTGACGCTCATGGAGGTCTATTATTTTTTGCTCTAACTATGAGGATGGTCGTAATTGGTTAGTCGATTAACCGTTTAACCATCGGTTAGTTATTAGCTAAATTTGACTACCAAGAACCGACCATTTACTATTTAATCGGTTATCGGTGTAACCGTTAAGCACCGATTCCAGTTCGGTTATCGGTTACACCGTGAACGGGATAATCGTTTATCAGCCTTATGTCTTCTAATTGTGTTATTAAGGTGGATCTAACGAATATTTTGACTATGTTAATTGGAATTATATTTTTTATCACATTACATATGGGCTTTCCTAATTAATTCTCGAATTGGATTAAGCTTTGTGTGAAAATAGCTCTCTCTAATCTAGACTTGCCTTCCTTTATTTTTTAATTAAATTAAGAGAGAGTTACAAGGTTATTTGCTTTCTAACATTTATATTCATACTAGATATGCCTGCTCGCTTATGTTTCGCAACAAGTGGAAGAAAACATTGTAAATGTGTCTATGAAAGAATTAATAAAATTTAACTAATACGATATAATTTCAAAAACATTAAGAATTACTAAGTTGTTGTGAGAGAAGTTCGTAGTAATTTGTCACGTTGACCAATAAAGTTATGAATTAAAGAATGACAATCTATATATTTGAAACTAGACAACTTTAATTTGAGAATTTACAAAATTTCTACGTTTGAAAGAAAGGACAAAGAGAAAAAAGACGGAAAAATGTAGCATCTGGTTATGTTGGTTCCTACTCCAATGCCACTTTCATCATTTTAATGAGAGCGAGAAAGAGATGAGTACAAATGCTAAAACAAATACGAACAAAGAGATCGAGTTCAATATAACAAAAAAATCCTTAAGAAAGGTTAACCAAATTAGATGATTTTCCCGTAATTAGCCTATATGAACTCGAACAAGACAGAGATGACTAAACATGTCAAACTATATGCAAATAAATCGATTGATTTCAACACCATAACAACAACAACAACAAAAACAAAAACACATATTAGGAGATAGGAAATTATGAAGAAAAGAAAATAAAAAGAAGTAGAAATGTAAGAAAATAAAATAAATACTAATAAAAAGGTAAAAAGAGATAATTAAAAAGACTTAATAACCTTAAAGTTTATTTACAACAAAAAAAATCCTAAGTAAACGCTAAACTATGACATTTATATAAAAATATGTAAAAAAAGAAAAGAAAAATAACTTTATCAAAATTGCTCTATGCACAGGCTACCTCTAATGCTGAAAATTATTAATTCAGAACAAGGGGAATAGGGGTCCAGATCTTGTCAGTAACTGATGGGTCAGTAACCCATCAGTAACCCCTTCCCTGGTCCCCACGTGTCAGTCACTTTTTTATTTAAATTAAATGTGAAAAGGGTAGTACGGTAAAATTGCACTTACTTCTATTTATTATTGATGCTCACTTTTGACCGGAGCCTATCAGCCCCTCCTTCTCTCTCCTGGCAAAACATTTAATTTTCCTTCCCTTAATCTTTAACGGACGATTTCTCACTCGTTTTAAGTCGAAATTTAATTTTTTTTGCACAGTTAGATCAGATTAATTGTGCTCTTCAAAATGATATCCACTTTGATATTTTTTGGACACAAAAAATTTTGTCAGTTATTACCAGTCTATACCATATGGTATTGACTGTATCATATGGTATTGACTGGTATTAAACAAGAGCATACCATGTGGTATGGTAATATTTGCCACATGAATATATATTTCGTTACCACCCAATACCATATGGTATAGTGTGGTAATATCAATATATATTTCGTTACCACCCAATACCATATGGTATAGTGTGGTAATATCACACAATTCACACAATACCATATGGTATAGAGTGGTAATATCAATATATATTTCGTTACCACCCAATACCATATGGTATAGTGTGGTAATATCAATATATATTTCGTTACCACCCAATACCATATGGTATAGTGTGGTAATATCAATATATATTTCGTTACCACCCAATACCATAGGGTATAGTGTGGTAATATCAATATATATTTCGTTACCACACAATACCATATGGTATAGTGTGGTAATATCACACAATACCATATGGTATAGAGTGGTAATATCAATATATATTTCGTTACCACGCAATACCATAAATTACCATAGGGTATAGTGTGGTAATGTCAATATATATTTCGTTACCACCCAATACCATATGGTATAGAGTCATAATATCAATATATATTATCTAAAAGGAAAAAAACAGAAGGAGAGAGAGAAAAAAATCGTCTTCTGATGCCTCTCATTTCCTCTTCCTCAATCAAGAACACCAAAATGCCAAAAAAAATGAGAAAGATCGGAATTGAGTCCAACGAGTTGATGAAGAGAAGAAATGCAATGAAAGAGAGTGGCTACAATTTTTATGCTAGAGAAAAAAAATGAAGAAGGAAGATAGCAGATTTAGATTTGAAAATGAGATTGAGAAAAAAAGTAAGAGAGAAGGAATAGAGAAAGAGAAAGGTTATGGAAAGAGATTGAAAAAAAGGAAGAGAGAAGGAAGAAAGTTGAGTTGCAGAGAAGAAAGATTCCCTCTCTTTCATTGAAAAGCCAGCCATTGAAATGCGGAATAAATAAAAAATTAAAAATACGAAAACGGACAAAAATGCCCCTCCCCACCCAGCGTCCAGCCCATCCACACGATTTCTCCCTCCCCAAATCTACGGCCCGCGTGTTGTTACTGATGGGTCAGTAACCAGTGGTTACTGACCCTATCATGGACCGGGGAATAGGGTATTTGATTACATGGAAAGTTGATAACCATTGCTCTTTTCCTCCATGCTTTAAATTAATTATACATTTTTTTAGAGTATTAAATTAATTAGATTATTATCATGAGCCATTCACCAAAAAAGGAAAGGCAACGTAACAGGATCAAGCTTGATGACTCGTTCAACGCTTCATCCCCCACCATATGTCCCCAAGCATCATCATCATTCATTTTCACTATAAAAGATCAAACCTGCTTGCTCGCCTGTTTTTCACTCAAAACAACCAAGATTGCTGACCATCATCAGAAAACGAGACACCATAGAAGAAATAGAAACAAATTACAAGCAGCAGCTCGCAAGTAAGCCAAGATGCAGGCTGTCAAGGAGAAGATCCAAGATATGAAGGACATGCGCAAGGCCAAGGCTGAAGCCAAGGCCGAGGAGAAGGTATGCTGCCACCAACGCAGTTGTAGCTAATCCATACAGTTTCTGACGCAAAAGAATGAAGGATCTCTGTAATTATATATTGTGCAGGCGGAGCAGGAGGTGGCGAAAGCTAGGATGGAGGTGGCGAAAGAGGTTCGATTGGCGAGGGAGGCACAAGCAGAAATGCAGCTCCATGTCGCCAAAGCCGGGGAAAAGGCTGTGACACAGACTCCTGTGGATGCTACCGCTGCTGCAGGCACCACCACAACCACCAGTACCACCACCACCACCGAGAAGGCAACATAATAGTAATGATATAAATCTCTTAATCCAATATTAATATCGTTTCTTATGTAATCTTTGATCTACTTATGTGTATGTAGTGAGTGGTGTAAGAGGATACACATAATTAATTAAACACTAAATACAATTATGGTTTCTTCTTTCTATCATCTAGTTCTAGTTCTGGTGTCATATAAAACTCAAAACTGTGCAATGCATACAGATGTAGCAAGTATTGTGCATGACAAAATGAGTTGAAATGCCATCAGTTACCGTACATATAATGTGCCCCCATCATGAAACTCAGATGGTGGTTGCTTCTGCTGGCTCGTCTCGCTATCTTGCAGTAAATACAGGTTCTGCATCTTGTGTAGGCTGCGTTCTCCTGGTATACTTTAGCAGCAAACCCTCCGACGAAAGACCAGGTACTTTCAAGTCCCTGAAAGAAGTAATCGGCTGAATCATCAAAAGGCTGAGGAATACATGAGAGTTGACGTTAAGCATGAAACCAAAACGTACTGAACGTAAGAAATTTAAATCGACTTCTCATCACCTGATGTAGTGCTGTAAATCCTTCGACTCCCATTTCGGCCGCTCCCTGAAAAGGACTGAGAAACGCTCGGCAGGATTTGAAGGCAAGGAAGCAACACTGAAACCTCGAACCCACATCTCTATTCCAACTTTTTCAGTCAGGACTTCACCTTCCAGCATCTCCAAATTCGCGTTCATTCCGTCTGGGATTTTCTTTAACCACATTTCCATAAAACGCTCTAATTTCATTTTCCCAACTCCCAAAACTTGTCTTGCGAAATGCACGCACACTCGTCTTGCGTCTAGCGTCCACACACAGCTTTTTCCTCGAGCCTCATCCACCTCACTTCCATAAACATGTAAACAATGGTAGGCAAGCTTATGCGGGAATCCATCGGTGACCAGAGAAGTCACGACTTCATCTTCATCAAGTTTATCAAGTGACCAGTCATTTAAAATTGAATTCTGCAATAGCATTGTCAGAATTTCACCCATATATTTTTCATCCACAATCCTCCAGAAACCATCGATTTCCACAGCTGAGAGAGCTTCTAACCCGTTCCTCAATTCATCATCACTGGCTTGAATCTTGTTAACCAGATCATGCCATGTGCACAATCCCATCTTACTCTCCTTTGAATCGTCCTCCATATCATCTGCCTGCAATGCCTCCATAGAACTATAAGGATTTTGTGCAAGGAGAGTTTTGAGCCTGTCCAGCCTGGGAGCTGTCTCGATGAGCTCCATATTACCAGGTGAAATTTCAATAACAGAGGCCACAGATTGCTGCCCGTTTTGAGTGAATTGATGGCGAGAGGGTGGAATAAGAAATACAGAGTTGGAAGTTCCAACAAACTTGACAGCATAGGTCTTTGACAGAGTGCATAGAACAACATCTTCATTTGGCTCACCTCTTAATGTTATGCTGCAAAAGGAATAACACATTAATGTACGAAAAGATGCAAGAATGGCAAAAAATAATCAAAAGGTTGTCGAAGTACCTCTGGTGAAGTAGATCAGGGAGAATCTCATCATGTAGCTCAAGGAGCATATGATTGTCGGAAGACCCAAAAAGAGTGTCATAGGTGACAGATAATGAAGAGTTTGGTTGGACATTCAACACAGCTTCAGCTCCAGTGAGAATGGAGTGTGGTTGTTCCATGGCTGCAGGTATCAAAGACAGGAGAAATCAGAAGAATGAATCATCTATGAGAACTAGAACAACAAGATACGATCACTTTTTTCTCTCTCTATCTCTCTATCTCAGAATGCATCAAGCAATAGAAAGTGAAATTAAAATTTTGATCAAAGGGGAGTTAGTGAAAGGATAGTTTTCAAGAAGCAAGTGATGAGGAGTCGAATGAGAGAATTAACTTGGAGCAAGTGGCAGGTGAAGACTGAACCAGCAATTGATCTCAGTACTGCAGAAGAATGCAGCGCGCTTGTATCTACATTACAATGGCCAGCGTCAAAGCCATCAACAATCAACAAACTTGTCCATATCAGTGATGTTAGGACTTATCCTATCAAATATAAAGAGATGTTGAAAGAGGAATTAACCAGAGTCAGAAGTGCTCTTAAGACTATCAAGATAAGATATCTCATATCTGTCTTGACATTCGATAAGAAACAAAAAGCCTATCTATCAAAAGCTAGGGCGCTATAGCTTCGTCTGATTCCAAACCCTTCTCTCTCAATGCCACTGACTGAAGTTCATGGCTGTCAAACCATCTCGTGCAACTGAGATATGCAACTATTAGGACCACACACTAAACAAGAAATCCAGGAACCAAACAACCTCTTCTCCAAAAACAGCATGCTTCTAGCGATTCTAACAAAAAGGGCCACTCTATTATAATCTAAATTCACATATTCAACACTCGAGATCATTCCTTTCTTAACCATGAATACATCCCGTCGAAGAGTCGTGATGCAAACCACTACCCAAAAGGAAGCATCGGCTATACCAAGCAAAGGAGAAGTTCGATTCACAGGCACAAATCAAAGCAAATAGCGAAATGAGTCGAGCAACCTAAAGGCAAGCCACAATTTAGGATAAAAAAGCAAAAGCCCCTGGAAACGATACCGGAAGAAAAATCAAACCAGGCCTCTCTCAAGATCCAACATTCATGTCCATTGAATAAGCTCAAGTCTCCTACTCGACCTATCGGTAGGTCGTTCTCGCATTAGGTTAGACTCCTGGAGTTCGATAAAATTGCATACAAACGAAACTAAATCGATTAATTCACGCACACTCGTGATATAAAAAGAATCAAATTCATGAATAATCGGCAGAAGTAGAGAGAGACTACCTGATAACTAAGCGGCGCCGGGGATAAAGAAAGGAAACGAAGAAACGCAGCTCGAGCCTCGAAGCAGGCGGTGGTGAATTCACTGTAGTCGCCAAACTGTGAGAAAGTTGAAACGACGGCAGCCGCAGCCTGAGAATCGCCGGGTTTTCTTCAATAAGTTGTTAGGTCTACCACATTCTCATTCTGTTTGGCTTTCTTCTTCGTTGCTTCTCTTTTGCATCAGCCCCAAAACCCCACTCCGCGCCATTTCTCGATTCAACCACGGAGTTTGCCGCTCTTCTCCACTTTCCCTCTTTTTTAGAAGTTCGACTTATATTAGATTGGATAAATTCCAAGTTTGGTCACTGAATATTTCATGGTAGATAGTTAAAGATATTTTCTTTCATTTGTGGTCACTATGATTAGTTACACATTTTAAGTTTGGTCACTTTTCATTACTTGCCATCAATCTTTGGTAATGACATCAGTTTTTTGCTGACATGTCTAAGATAAACACCCAATCAACCTATTTTAACCCTGACATGTGGAAACCCGAACCGCGCCACTTCCCTACCCGACGACCACCTTCTCCAAAATCCCTTTTGATCCCGCCTCCCCATTCATACTCAAGGCCTGATTTTGAGCCATTACCAATTCCTCCGCTTTAGCTTGCATCCAAGTAGGGGTGGGCATCCGGTTTGGTAAACCCGAACCGAAATCGAAGTGAACCGAACTGAAACCAAAATACGGTTGTTCGGTTCGAAATTCGGAAAGGAAATGTGCATACTTTGGAAACCAGGGTTCAGCCAACCGAATCGAGGTTCCGAGTTCTGAACCGAAATTCCGAAATAGACCCACAACAACTCAAATGAACCTAAAGCCCACAATTATTACAATTAAAAAAAACCCAAAGCCCACTATTATACCTCACAACCCACAACAATCCACTCCCCACAGCCCACAATTCATAGCAAAACCCTAGCCCAACCCAAAATGAACATTGGCTTAAGGCCCCCTCCCAAATGAAAACCACACAGTGGCCGCTGTTGTCGCACCGTTCGGCGGCCGCCATTCCCCTCGAAGCGACGACTCACGTCCCTCGCACTCCCCTGCCTTTCGGCTCTCCGACGACCGACGCCATCAAATCGACCATCGCCTCCACCCTCTTCTCCTTCACACTATGTCGCCATCCCACCTACTTCACTGCATGGAAACCCTAAAAAAGCCCTCATTGAAGAAGAAGAAGAAGAAGAAGAAGAAGCAAGAATAATAGGCAAAAATCAGAAATCGGAATCCAACGGCTACTGACGGCAACATGCAAAAATCATAATCAAGGAGGGAGCTGGTGGTGGACTCGCTTCGTCAATTGCCATCTGAATATGCACGCTCTCCGTCTCTGAATCTGCTCGCACATTCGCCACCTACCCTGAGTTGTCTCCGTTAGCCGCCATCGTCGCTTGACTTGACTTGTTCTCGCCATCGTTGTACGTTGTCGCCGAGTCTAGAGACCAAGAGAGGGGAGGAGAGATCGTGGCTGCATATTGTGCTTTGAGAAGAGAGAGACATATAGGTAAAGAGAGAGATAAGGTAAGTGGTGGGAGTGGGAAAGAGTGCTTCACGTGAAAAGAAAAAGGTGGGGAGAGAGTTGCTTTTTGGAACTTCGGGTATGGTCTTGAAACCGAATCAAACCGAAATATATCTCGATTTGGATGAACCGAACCGAAATATATTTCGGTTCGAATTCGGTTTGTGTTGTGAGCTACTTCGGGGAGTCGGTATTTGTCTGTTCGGTTCGGTTTGAACTGAACCGACCGAATGCCCACCCCTACACCCAAGTACCTCTTTCTCCTTTGCTTTGAGGGTCTGTCAGCGCTTGTTAATAAGGAAAGAATCAACGAAGCTAAGAAATTGAAAGAGGTCCTTAAACTATACGAATCTGAATCAGGACAGAGGGTGAACCTTACCAAGTCTGAAATCTACTACAGCAGCAACATAACATAAAGGAGGATAAGAGAAGAGAACTTTGTGCAGAAATGGGCATTAAAGAAGTGGATAAGCTGGCCAAGTATCTAGGTCTCCCAACGGTGGTGGAGAGGTCAAAGAAAATTGTGTTCCAGCACTTACAAGAACGGGTGAGAAATAAACTTACAAATGGAATAATAGGTATTTCAGCGATGCAGGAAAGGAGACTCTGATCAAAAGCATCGCCCAAGCGCAAGCTACCTATGCGATGTCGGTCTTTAAAATACCTGATGGTATCATCGATGATCTTCATAGCCTAATGGCTAACTACTGGTGGGGGTAGAAAGGTTCCGAAAGAAGAATTCACTAGAAAAAGTGGAGAAAGTTGTGCAAATATAAGGAAGAGGGTGGAATGGGTTTTAGGAATTTAAGGATCTTGAATAAGGAGATGTTGGCAAAGCAACTCTGGAATATGTATATCAGGCCTAACTCTCTTGTGGCGAGGTTGATTAAAGAAAAATACCACCTAAGAACCTCTATACGGGAAGCTAAATTAGGGTGGTGTCCGAGCTATATTTGGAGGAGTTTGTTGTGGGCTCAAGACCTTCTTAAAGTTGGTTGTAGATGGAGAATTAGTTCAGTGGAGGTTGTCAGGATCTGGGGGACAAATGGGTCCTAAATCTGGAAAATTTTGAGGTATTTTTCATACTGGCCGTTCAGGGATTGGGATGCAAGAGTGTCAAATCTAATTGACTAGGAGTCAAGAACGTGGAGACAATACTTGCTGGAAATTATCTTTACTCCTAAGGAGAAGCAGACTATTCTGGCGATTCCTCTCTCCTCTACAAGTGACAATGATACTTTGTGTTGGACAGAAGCTGAAGACGGGAAATACACAGTTAAATCTGGGTATATTTTCGAGCAAAGAAGTGAAGAAGAGGAGGTTGTTGGATACAATGAAAGAAACGAAGAAGATTTCTGTTGGAAGAAACTTTGGAAGGTGAGTATGCCTTGGAAACTTAAAACATTTTTATGGAAAGCAACTCAAAACATCTTACTTGTGGGTGTCAAAATCCGCAAGAAAGTGAAATTTTTGGGGGATGAATGTCCAAATTGTGGTCTTAAGGAAACCTAAATCATTGCCCACTCGATTGTAGTTGGAACTGCCGAATTTGGAGCAAAACGATGTTGACTTAGATTTTCTACAAGGCGGATGGTCTTGCATGTAAAAAATGGCTCTCTCGTGTTATTAATAACTATCCTGATAAGGAAGTGCGTGGCTCAGCTGAGTTCTTTACTGTGGTTTTCTAGAAGGACATGAACAACTTCCTGTTCAACAAGAAGTTCTTGGAGGAGTGACAAGTCTTATCTTGAGCTGATGAGTTTTATTTGCTTGAAGTACAGGGAAAAGACCAACCACACTCAAAGTCTAGGCAAAGAGATATTCGAAAATGGAAGAAACCCTTTGTTGGAGTTTTCAAATTAAACACATATGCAGGGGTGAGCAGCAGAGGTGAAGTGGGACTGGGGTGTATCCTTAGAGACTGGGAGGGTAATGCAGTCTTTGTTGCTAGCAGGAGATTCAATGTCAAGTGGAATCGGGATCTTGCTGAAGGTATGGATATTCTTTCTGGTGTTAGATTGGTGAAGGAGAAGGGAATTGGACCTATTGTTGTGGAATCAAATTGCATGAAGGTTGTCCAGCTGCTGAAACAGGGCAAAATCTGCATAACTGAACTGGCAAATATATGTTCGGATATCTTGAAGGAGACGGAGAAGCTAGATGTTCGTGACTGGACTTTTGCGTATAGAGAGTCAAATAATGATGTTCATTTGTTAGCTCATTTAGTGTCAGATTCTGATGAAACTCGTTTCGAGTGTGATAGCTTGCCTGTGATGGTAGCTGATGTTGTAGCCCTTGAAGTAGTTGATTCTTGACTTCAATGAATCCCCATCAGTGATTTCTAAAAAAAAGAACCAATATATGAGTAAATCTCTCTATTTAACTTTTTAAGCAACCCTTTAAGAATTTAAGTTTCTTACAGACTCTAATCAATAGAGTATCTTGAAATTCTGACTCCCAAACAATTTTATTCAAATTCGTAAATTTTGGATGATATATCCAAAATCTGATTTTTTAAAAATTTTATGAAGGGATTTAGTAGAGTTGTTCGTCTTAATCAAAATAGGATAGTGATAATAAATTCCAGGATCCAACGAGTGCAGAATGCTAGCAGTGCAGACTTTCAACCATTTGGGATTAAGAAAAATCATATTCAACTTTCGAGCTATATGATTAGCCTCCTGCTTATTCATCCAAGTAAAGCGTGGACCTCACTACTTTATGTTCCTATACCTTTAAATCCACCTTCCATTTCAAAATTCTAACATACTAGCATCCACCACTGGGTCATTACAAGCTTCAACCAGATAAGCAATTTCATTTAAATCCCAAACAATGATTGAGGGAGCTGCTATATCCCTAATTAGTTGAATATCTTTATACAGTTTCCTTCTGTCCATCTTGGGGTTAGGAGTATACACAAAAGCAGCAAACTAATGAATTAGATACCCCACCATTACATGGAGAAACCGATAAGATCGATGAAGTACCCGAATGATACACATCCTTTCTCCATGCCAACCATATCTTACCCAACCCATTGGATTTATTAGCAACTTTAGACTCATAATATGGGAAACGCACGTTCTTGAATGAGTTTTTCCATAGTCAACAGTTTGTACTCTATGCTCTAGTATGTCTACTACTTTTATATTATTCTTATGTATTATTTTTCGAACCTCTTTCTTTTTGTTAGCGGCCTTGAACCCTTTAGTATTCCAAATTGATATCTTCATCAATGAATTTCACCCTATATACCATCTCCTTTTACCTTTGGTGTAGGGGTAGGCACAACAACCTTTGGTTTTAGCAACAAACTAAGATATGTCTTCACCTAGAGCTATACATTTGTTTGATGAGTTAATCGATGGTTGTTTCCTTGCTACTACTTGATTTAGTTAACTAGGTAAACTCCTAACAATTACAACTAGTTATCTACCCCTACCAACCTTTTGCTGAGTCATTTTCAGGCTTCGAACATATGTCGTTGACCCTCAAACAACTGGAATAAAACTCGTAGTAACACTCCCGGTGGTTGGAGGAGTGGAGTAAACGCTACCTCGAGGCTCAATATCCTTAACTACATTCGCAATACTACATTATTCAACATGTACTACTTGATTCTCACCTTCGGCATCACCTAAAGGAACCAAACTCACGACTATTGTCCACCTCATTCACTATATTATCAACCAAATTTTGATAATTATTCTTCTCCTGTTCCACATTAACTTTCTCACCATCAAACTTAGTCTTTGGCACCCACCTCTTATTATTCATAGCCAAAATTAAACAATCATGTCCATAGACCTGGCACGAAGCATAGGTAGCAGGGAGGTTTAGGACTTTAGGTACTCTACCTTTACCTCAAAGGAAAGTTCATCATCCGGCTAGAGACGAAAAGTAGTCGAAAAACCAGAATATGCTGCTAAATCCACACAGACCTTTGCAAAACCTAGATGACCTCTAGCATGATTTGCTAATTCTTCAATAACGTCGATGCAAGAGTACTTGAGACTCATTGTAGTCCTTCTGATTACTGTTATTCCAACGCCAATCCCCAAATCTTAGTCGTGATCGATAGAGTCTCCACTTTCGGAGTCATCGGTGGAATTCTTGGAGCCCAACGGTGAAAAAAAAATACCTAATTCTCCTAATAGTTTCAAGGTCCTGATTTAAACACCCATTCCCTAGTAACAACAGAAGGCAACTGGAATACGAACAACTTTAGACAAAATCGTGAAACCCTCACTGTACCATCCCTGCCCTAGAGATTAGTAGTCCAACTTTGCAATTGAGCAACCTTATATTGAGAACCCACAAACTAACCAATCAAATAGTCAAGTCATCGCTCTTCACCCTTTTTCTTCTACTCACGAGGTAATCGAAACTCATCGTTTACTCGCTCCAAAGGACGACAGCTCATCCGATTCTCATGAGCAACTTCAAACAACTTGGTCCAAGAACTTATCCCTCCCCCCCTAAACAGTTGCCAGTACTAGAGCAGATTCCGGCGATGAGTCCACCATCGCTAGGATGGCAAGCCCCGGAGAGAGAGAGAGAGAGAGAGAGAGAGAGAGAGAGAGAGAGAGAGAGAGAGAGAGAGAGAGAATGAATGAGCAACCTTTTTCACCAAATTTTTTACTGCTCGCCCATCGATTTTTTAAGCGAAAGCATGATTTTCTCACTATCCAACCTGAAGCCACCCGATTATACACATGCATATGTATGGTTTTTAAAATGATTATTATTTCCATACAATAGATTGTAGTTAATATACAACTATATTATTGTCATGAATTGTGCTATTTTCAACTAATTGTCTTCGTTTTATTATTTATTGCTGCACTTTTTCACTTATCTAAGTGTAACTATTAACATGTAGTCTGATGTTTTTAAATACAAATTATTATCATGGATAATCGTATATATATACCCGAAATTTGATTGGGTATTGGTTTAAATATCCTACCCAATTGTCAGAACAGCTAAATATACGAGCAAAATCCAAAATTATTTTGGATAGTGGAACCAATAATATTATATACGTACGCACCATCCCCACACCCACACTCGTCAATTTCCAATTTTCCATCCCACACTCTTGACTAGACAACCAAGCTTTTCTGTTGTTGCTACGATGAGAGCAACATAAACTTCCCCAACTACCGCAGCTAGCTAGGTACAGCAACATGACTTCGAAACAAAATATTGTCAGCGGCTTACAACAATGACACGTATCCTGATGAGTTCGTACTTCCATCTACTTTTTACATGCTCATCAGTAAACTAGTGATCTGATCCGATGTACATCCTATCCTATGTTCGGCAAAATAATAAATACCCAGATCGCATCTCAACGTACAGCAGCAACGAGAGTTGTATCATGTATGTATAATAATATTATTATTATGTGCATGATTTTGGTCCCGCCCTGCGCCGATCGTTCACCAAGCAAAGCAAAGCAAAGCAGCAATGCTACGGTTGAGGAGAGAAATAATTGAAGGCAAAGTACATGCAGTTAGGTGTGGGCAGATCGAGAAATAAATGAAACATTTAATGGCCGGAGAGATGAGTTAGGTAGCTAGCTAGGCCGGCGAGAAGGCCAAAGAGCGCGATCTGATAATTGGGTGTGAGGTGTAGGCTGTGAAACGATTGATGTTCGATTAAACACATCACCGGATCATCATCAACATCATCGTTTAAAAAGGGCAGCAGCAGCAGCAGCTAGCAAGCCAATTGATTAATCTCGTCGACGATTGACAACTGGCTTTTGGGGTGAGGCTGAGTTTGTCGTATATCATTGTTATCATATCATGATTTTTGAAGTCATAATATCTTTTTTGAGACCAAACTATATAGAGAGGAAGTAAAATGACTCCCAATTGTTAAATCCCTATCGAAACTCCGGTTGGACTCGATCCGACCCGAGTCGAGCTTCAAAACGGTCTCCAGAAAGTCTTCCGGTCTAACCCCTAAAGAGGTAGAAGAATAGTGGGGAAGAGAGGAAGATGAACGAAGGAAGGGAGATGGTGGGTGGGTCATGGAGGTTAAGTAGATTTATTTTGTGGAAAATAATAGATATATGTAAGATAAATTTTATTTCAGTCGTTACATCTTTAATTACTACCTTATTTGTTTATATATTTAGAAAACGTCTAAAACGACTCAAACTGGCCGAACCCCGATCAGACCATTAAACCTCAAACTCCTTGCTTAACCGGCTCAATGACTTAAACCGGTTTGACAACCTAAATTACATATCAAAATCTAGGTTCGTGGAATAATCACATGCATACATTAAGTTTTTTTTATATAAAGTATATTATTTTTTTTAGAATGTCAGATGTTATTTTTAGATTTTGTTTAGATATTCTTTATAAAAATGATGGAAAATGAGTAAAAACTACTCATATATATGGATGACCAAAGTATTGAAACGGGCTGAGTTTAAACCAAATCATATTACGTGCGGATATGGTTCAATTAAGTTTTTCCATGGGGGCGAATGAATTATATTCGAATAATAAATAGCAAGTTAAAGGTCGGTATAATGAAAGCAAAAGACTGAAAAGAGGCACCCCACAAGAAGTTTGCAATATTCCCAACAAGAAAAGAAATGGCCCAGCTAGGTTTGTTAGGTAAATAAAATGGAAATATCATTCCTTATTTTGAAACTAATAATTTAATTAAATAAAATTATGTATTAGTTCTCTAATTTTCATATTCTTTCGTGAGATCATTTTCAATTCTTAGTATAACTAATTCATCAGGACTTTCTTGTATCTTTTTATTTTATTACGAATTGAACTTTTAACACATAACTTCAACAATCATTATACATGCTTCGTGTATGCATAAATCCATGAGATTACTTACCGGTGACTAGCCCAATCAATAAAAGTGAATTCACCATCGTACTCACAATCAATTAATCATATATAGATCACAAATACAATCTATAATATGCAATTAGATTAACTAACATGGATAGATGGAGATCCCCCTATTATTCGAAGGCCATGTGCCCAAGGGGCTCCCTGTCCCAACACTAGGAGCGTACAACGGTTTGAATCAAACTGAACCAGACCGATCCTTGAATTGAACCCAAACTCAAACTCAAACTCACTGTAATTATAATGTGGCTTCAACCCTTGATCCCACGAATTTTATAAATACCGTCATAAATAGAACGAATTGACAGCACTTAATTGGACTAGAGCAAATACAATAGCCGCCCTCTTTGCCAACTGCCAAGCCAGCCCTCGCGTGGTTGTGTATGTGTGCCCTTTCTCTTTGCGAGGCCGCTATGTGGCCGCTGCTTTCCCTCACGAATACTTAATTACTTACCTTCTTCTTCTATATATCTTGTTGTACGTGTGACATTTGTGCAGTAAATTGAGCTGGGAAAGAAAGCATTTAAAATCCACCCCCTTCCATTTCATCTCTCTCTCTCTCTCTCCTCGCTGCTTCCATCACCTCAGACCCTTCCTCTTTATACAGCCTGCAACCCGCCAAAAGAAAGATATACTAAAATACTAGGTAGAGAGAGAGAGAGAGAGAAAGAGAAGGGCAGAGCAGACAAGATGGCTACCACGCCTGGATTCCTCACTGATTGGCCTTGGAAGTCTCTTGGTTGCTTTAAGGTTCGTTATCATTACCCTCCCCCCTCAATATATTTCGTATCATGTCACAAAATCCGGTTAATTCGATATCTACGTAAACGTAACATTTTTTTCCCCCGGCCCCACAACTTCAGCATGTGTTACTGGCACCGTGGGCGATCCCGAAGACGTACGAGTTCATAACGGGGAACGGAGGCGGAGAGAGGGATCTCTCCACCTTCCTCATCTTCCCGTTTTTGATATGGAGGATGATCCACAACCAGTTGTGGATCAGCTTCTCCCGCTACCGCACCGCCAAGGGCACCACCCGCATCGTCGACAGAGGGATCGAGTTTGACCAGGTTGACCGCGAGGCCGGATGGTGAGTTATCGGTAATTAAATAATACGGGGATTAATGTTAATAATGAGTTAAAATTTATTTAATTCAATGTGGCGTGCACGCGCAGGGATGACCAGATCGTGTTCAACGGGCTGCTGTTCTACATCGGCGCGATGTCGCTGACCGGCGCGACGCACCTGCCGCTGTGGAGGCTGGACGGCGTGGTGATCACCGTGCTCCTGCACGCCGGCCCCGTCGAGTTTCTGTACTACTGGCTGCACAGGGCGCTGCACCACCACTTCCTCTACTCTCGCTACCATTCTCACCACCACTCCTCCATCGCCACCGAGCCAATCACCTGTACGTTCAAATTCCCATCCCTCTCACCTTCTTTTTTTCCCTCCTCTCCGTACTATCGATTCATTTAATTACCAGGAAAAAAAAAAACAGCTAGCAAAATAAAATGGGTCGGTTAATGTTGGATTCTTTAAATGGGGAAATAATGATAGTATGGGGTTGGGCCGGGCCGGGCCGGGCCGACTCTCACTCTCACTGCTCTCCCCGTCGACGTGCTGTCCGACACATGTAGTGGGGAACTTGGGGATGGGGAAACATATAAAGAAAATTTCGGGTATCGCGATACGCGCGTCCGAACCCAATTTATTACGAGTCAAATGAAGTCTGTGAAAGATTATTATATCTTGGAGTATATTCATATTCGAATTTTTTTAGTTTGGATTTAAATCGAACTCGTTTATATTGAGTACCAAAATAAAAGGTGGTTATCCGACGCTGATAAAATTGAAACATTCGAATATCTGTCGTTTACTTTGTTCTACGAACATTCGAATTTTTTGAAGACAGTTACTGAGATTGTTGATATTTGCTCTTTTTTTTTCACGTATACAAATTATATAGACTAAAATAGATTAATTTGGGTCCGACCCGCATGAGTTGGGTCCAAATTAGACTCAATACAAAATCAGGTTTAGCCTCCAAAATTATTAAGAAATAAGAATTCATATAAGTTCATTTAAAATCCGACCGAAAGCTCGTATGGCGGTCTTGACAACTGTTCCAAATTATCCAATGAGTCGACCTATTTCCATGCCGGCGGCGATAGATGGAGCTGGTGGGGAAGAGGGCGGGTTGGTTGGTTGGTTGGTGGGTTAAGGGTCGCAATTAGTTTTCCTGATGGGGGTTGCATGCTTTTCTGGGCTAGCTGCCACCATTAACTCTCTCCTTCCAACTGCTTCTCTTAGGATCTACAAACAAACATACTCATTACTCAACCAACATTGTTTGCTGTTTATTTAGTATTCTGTTGGTTTTGCTGTTCATTTAGTATCCTGATTAATGCATACTTAAATTTGTGACAATATATACAATAATTATTATGTTATGATATGAATAGAATAGAATCATAAATGGGATTATTATATTCTGGAAAACGAAATCAAGCTACCTTCCTAACTACTAAATTACTTCATTTATTCTGGAAAACGAAATAAAGCATCCCATCCTAGCTAACTATGTGCTCTAATTAAATCTCAAGCTCCTTTCTCCATCGTAATTAATTCTGATGCAACATTGATTTCTAGGTTTTACACTGCCGGGGATGTCTAATTTTCTCTTCGGAACTAATTGACCGAAACATTAATAAAATGGTCCAAAGAAATGGCATTTATACAACAGTACTCTTACTGGTATATGACAACGAAAGAAGTTAAAAACATCACAGAAAGAAAATATCCATTTTAAAGTGAAATCACTTAAATACATTTTAAAAAAAATACAACATCGACAGAATAAATATCCAAGATATAGCCAAACCTTTTTTTAAGTCATGAACATAAATAGCTAAAATCTATTTGAAATAGAAATAAAAAGTCAAATCATTCTAGAACGTTTTAGATAATAAAAAAAACACGCGATCTTCTCAAAATCAGTTGAATTTGTGTACATCAGATCTGATCCACACGATCGACAACGCGACAAATATATCGTTAGAAACCTGACATAATACGCTAACGTGACCCGCGATTTCGCGCTACTATATGCAATGCGACGAAATATATTGTTACAAATTTTTGTACATCAGATCTGATACCACGCGACAACGCGCGCGACAAATATATTGTTACAAAACCTGACATAATACGCTAAACGTGACAACGCGATTTCGCGCTACTATATGTGTGTGTGTGCAGCCGTGATCCACCCATTCGCGGAGCACATCGCCTATTTCACCCTCTTCGCCATCCCAATGCTGACGACGATCCTGACCGGAACCGCGTCCATCGTCTCCTTCGCCGGCTACATCACCTACATCGACCTGATGAACAACATGGGCCACTGCAACTTCGAGCTCGTCCCGGCTTCTCTCTTCTCCGCCTTCCCGCCGCTGAAGCTCCTCCTCTACACGCCGACGTACCACTCCCTCCACCACACCCAGTTCCGCACCAACTACTCCCTCTTCATGCCGCTCTACGACCACCTCTACGCCACCGCCGATGAGTCCACCGACGACCTCCACGAGAGGTCGCTCAACCGAGGCGACGAGTCCCCCGACGTCGTCCACCTCACCCACCTCACCACTCCCGAGTCCGTCTACCGCCTCCGCCTCGGCTTCGCCTACCTTGCCGCCTCTCCCGACGCCGCCGACGGCCGACTCCGGCTGCTGCACCGGCTGCTCTGGCCCGTCACGCTCTGGACCATGGGCTTGACGTGGCTCTATGGGCGGGCCGCTTTTGTGCTGGAGAGGCACCGGTTCGGTGACGTCAGGCTCCAGACCTGGGCCCTTCCCAAGTACAGGATCCAGGTTCGTTTACGTTGCGTATTATATACCTTACCGCTTGAGTCTGCCTGTCGTCGCATGTCGTCGTCGTCGTTTTTGTTGTTACGTTCTCTCGAATTCGTGGACTTTTTGAAAAAAAAAAGTTTTTTCTTCTTCTCCTGGTCGATATTGTCATCATGTCGTGTTTTTTTTTCCTTTCATATCGTTGTTGCGTTTGAGTTCTGTACAAAATACGTGTAATCGCGTGAACTTTTTTGAAGTCTATGTCATTGCATGTCGTCGTTTTTGTTGTTCCGTTCTCTCGAATTCGTGGACATTTTGAAGGGAAAAAAAAGTCTTTTTTTTTCTCTTCTCCTGATCGATATTGTCATCATGTCGTGTTTTTTTTTTCATGTCGCTGTTGCGTTAGAGTTCTTTTACAAATACATGTAATCGCGTGAACTTTCTGAAGTCTTTGTCATTGGCTCATAGCATGTCGCGCGTATTTGCATTCCGTCCTCTCGAATTCGTGAACTTTTTTTTGGAAAAGAAGTATTTTTCCGGATCGCGCGACGACGACTTGTGTCGTGTTTATTTTTTTGTTTATATCGTTGTTGCATGTTGAGTTCTTTACAAATACGTGTGTGATCTGCAGTACGCGATGCAGTGGCAGAAAGAGGCGATCAATTCGCTGATAGAGGACGCGATTGTGGAAGCTGAGGGGAAAGGCGTCAAGGTGTTGACTTTGGGGCTATTGAATCAGGCGAGTTGAGAAAGTGTTTGGTGTGTTGGGTTGGAGTTTTGGTGAATATTATTATTATTACTTATTTTATACAAAGGGATTGATTTGTTTTTTTTTTTTTTTTAAATGAGGATGTTTCAGGGGGAGGAATTGAATGGGTACGGGGAGATTTACGTGAGGAAGAATCCAGGGCTGAGAACTAAGCTGGTGGACGGCAGCAGCCTGGCTGTGGCTGTTGTCCTAAACTCCATCCCGAAAGGCACAACACAGGTTGCAATTAGGGGCACCCCTGCCCTCTTTAAGGTTGCTTCTGCTCTTGCACAGTCTTTGTGCCAACGTGGCCTGCAGGTAAGACATCTAATCATAATCTGTTCATTAGATGTACTTTGGTTTAATTCATGGTCTAGTAAGAGATAAAGCACTAAGAATATCCGGAGTATCATATATTCCAGAAGTATACCAGTTTGACCGATATATATATATACTCTGTCTCGTTTTTTTCACCACATTCACATCCCTTCCTATTGTTGTTCTTGTTGTTGGTCGTGGGCGAAACTGAAGGTTGTTGTCCCGACAAAGAAAGAATACGATAGGCTGCGACAGTCTTTCGGCACCACTTCCCACGCTAATCTGCTTCTCTCCAAAGCTCACTCTACCAAGGTGGAAAAAAAAAAAACAGTAGCTAGAGATTCATTTGTTTGAAGGAGAAAAAAAATTCCAAACAACTCGAGTTACTGGTATATAATAATTAATTAATGAAAGCATTGTAGGTTTGGCTAGTGGGGGAGGGATTAAGTGAAGAGGAGCAGAAGCAGGCGGGGAAAGGAACGCTGTTCATTCCTTTCTCTCAGTTCCCACCAAAGAAGCTGCGAGAGGACTGCTTTTACCACACCACGCCGGCCCTGACCGCGCCCAAGTCCCTCGAGAACGTGGATTCTTGCGAGGTAATCTAATCGACGAAATCGTTAAATGATCTTTTTTTTCTTCTTCTTTCTTTCGTAATAATTAAGACACTACGTACGCGCGCATATTTAACACACGCACGAAAACATTGTGCAGAATTGGCTGGGAAGAAGAGTGATGAGTGCATGGCGGGTAGCGGGGCTGGTTCACGCGTTGGAGAAGTGGGAGGAGCACGAGTGCGGCGACCGGATGTTGGACGTGGACAAAGTTTGGGAAGCAGCTCTGCGCCATGGCTTTCGTCCTCTCCATAGTTCTCCTCCTTCTCCCGTTGTAGCATATAATTAGCCATACTACGTATTTTATGCTATAAATTACGTACACATATATGGTCAAGGATTATGATGATGATTTGGGCGGATATCACTTGTTGCACTTCCTGCAAAATGCCCTTTTAGTAATGTATCTATTTATACATTGTGTAGTAATCAAGAACAATTATTATCGATGTTTAATAATAATAATAAATTAATTATCGTATTTTTAGAATGTCTCGTAGATAGGTTGGTTGCTTGTATAAGCCATGAGGAATTAGGGATCGCAAAAAGGTCTTATATTTGAGTGTTATTTAAACCCAATTAAGTTTTGTGTACCTTTACTTCTGAGGCAGATTCGTAGTCAACTTTTTGGTTCAGGTCTAAATTGGACCCGTATTATTGAGACAAAATAACCCGCAGATTCGTAGTCAACTTTTTGGTTTAGGTCTAAATTGGACCCGTATTATTGAGACAAAATAACCCTCGATTTTGATGCAAGTTTTGCCTTATCTTTGTTATGAAACAAACAGAATGGTGGAAACAACAACACTAAAAATGTGTAATTGAGTTGAAACAATTAATGATATTGTTGATTTTTTTTTTTAATGTACATTCATCTGTACCTAAATATATAGACCTTTTAGGATCTGATCCAAATTTAACCAAGTTTAAATCCAGACCTGAAATTATTGAAAGTACATTTATATCCATTTGGAGTCTATTCAATACCCATATTAGCATCACAATTGGATCAAATTATCCACGAATCGACCCATTTCATGCAGGGGCGGACCTATGTTATAGGGTGGTGTGTCAATTGACACACCTACAAAAAAAATTTCGATAAAAAAGTAAGGTTCGTCGGTGCCAAAATTCGGATGGTGTGTGAATTGACACACCTCCAAAAAAAATTTCGATAAAAAAGTAAGGTTCGTCGGTGCCAAAATTCAAACACAAGACCTCTTGATACAGCTCTATATTGGACTCATAATCATTCCATTAGACTACAAACATATTAGTGTTGTAACTTTGCTAAAGAACTTATTGTATACGGAAAGTTTATTAATGTGTAAATAATTTCCTTATACGGAAAGTTTTTTGAATCCCCCACCCAATCCCAATTTTGATTGGAATAGAACTAATATCCATATAAAAGAAACCCTATACCTATCTCGATTACAATTTATAAACGAAACCAAAAACTCTCTCACATGCACAGGACAATCCCTCTTCCTTTCTCATTTGAATCCCCCACCCTATACCTAACTCATTTGTTGCTTTTGATAAAACAATGTTAACGAGTCTTGCCGAGTTCTATCCTGAGGAGTTCCCTTCCTCTGTGTTCACTCGACTAGATCAACAATTAAGCGGCTACATTTATCATGTCAAGCAAGATGAGACTTTCAAGGGACTGCGAGGAATCGATGAGCTAGCTAGGCGAATGGTGGAGACAGGAAAGGATACTACTTGGCCATTGGTGTACTTGATGTTGAAGTTAGTGTTGACTTTACCTGTTGCGACTGCAAGCTGTGAAAGGGCATTTTCAGCTATGAAGTTTATCAAGAATGATCTTCGGAACCGGATGGGAGATCAATTTCTGAATTGCTTGGTTGCATTTATTGAAAAAGGTTTGAGTAATAGAATAAGCGATGAATGTATTTTACAAACCTTTCAGAATATGAAAAGCCGTCGTGGCTCCTTGTAAAAATAAGAACTTTTATAATTTATGAATTATTTTTATATTTTAATTTTATTATTGAACCACCTCTCTAAGAATCCTGGGTCCGCCACTGATTTCATGTTCATTGCATCTTGTCGAGACACCTAATTTGTAACAAACTACCAAAACGTTTGACTGAATGCTTATCATCTCCGTGTTAATGCATCCATTACTGAATCTTATTGAGCCATATCATGAGTTTTCACTGGAGGAATTTAATTTTCCTCTTCTCCAACTCATCCCAGTTCATTCCCAAAGCTCCCAATCTTAAAACCACAACCCCATAACTCGATCCCAAAATCCCAAATTTCCAATATTTTTGCTATAAATATGTTCTCATGTTATTGTGTCAGAATCAAACATAGATTAATAAGAACAATATTTCTTAAACTCTAATTTTCTTCTCAATCCTCTGCAATCCCGGCTATTTTTTCCTAAGGGTCTCAGTCGTTCTATCATGTTATTCTTCAATTTTGCTCTTCAATCCTCAATCCCCAATCCCCAATCCCCAATCATATTATTTTTCTCTTAAATTCCTAATTTATCTTCTCAATCCCTAAATTCCTTCTATTGTATCTTATCACGGGAATCACAAGTGCCTGAACAACCGCACTTCTTACAAAATCCAAACATAAAACCGCAATCTCGAATTCCTAATCTAGGAACCCCAATGACTGAACACCAACCGCACAACCCTAATTTCATCCATATGAGAATTGAGAAGAAGCAAAGAAAGCTAGAGCCTAGAAGATCAATTGCCCTCACTCTCACAACTATTTACTCGATGTATGAGCCAGTGGATAATGGATATGGTATCGGCGAGGGAGCGGAGATGAAGTTCGTTTATAAATTTGAACGATAGATTTATGGATTTGACAAACTAATTTGTAAATTAATTTTTCAAAGATCGATCTCCTTGCAACATTTTGAATCCAAACTCTAAAATGTACTGTCTACACTTTGTGTAAGTAGATATATGGTGCATTCTATCATACCTCGGGTAAGTCCTGGCAAATCAGGACCCGATCCGAACCCGCGCGAAAAAGAGAATATGGGTTGAGGTTTTTATAACCCGAAACCCGATTAACCCGTAGTTGTTGGGTCGGGTTGGGTTGATTTGTAGGTCGACCCGCTAGACCCGTTCCATTGCATATGCCACTCCCAAAATGATAAAATTACTCATAAATTGGTGAGATTTAAAACAAAATCGTAAGAATTTGAAATACAAGTTAATTGGAGTGCAAAGATAATCAAACATCATTTGTTTATTGTAATAGTTTACTTTCGTGATTGTTTTTTGGCGATTTGTGCATTCGTATTTCTTTTCATTAGCACTGAAGGAGTTGAGCATTTGTTAATTGACATGTGTTAGGTAAACTACTGTCACACATATGTAAAAATTTGTATTTTTTAAAATTTTATGAAGCATGTTTGATATTATTTCTGGGAAAGCTCATAACCCGAAATGACCCGAACCCCGATGTATTGGGTCAATATTTGACCAAAATAAACCAACCTAACATGACCCGACCCATGACAACTCGTAACCCGAGATTCTCAATCCGAAATTACCCAACCCGACCCGATTGCCACGTCTACGAGTAACTATATGGTACCACATACTCTTGGCAAGAAAATGCTATATAGACCTCAAATTAACTGGATTTTGGAGCATTATTCTATACCCTAACTCTTGATGAGTGATCTTAGGCCTTAATTATCTAAGTTATAGACCATAAAAACTAAGATGGTGAATGTAGTTTGTTGCAAGTCAATAATTCGATTATTGAAATTCATGGAATTGATGTTACTGTATGAGATCTATAGAACTAAAACATAAATTTTTATCTTTAATAAGTAGAATACGGTACAATATCTCAAATTCCGATCAATTTATGGTCTTAATATTACTTTATTACTCAAAATATGTCATAACATTTCTTATTAAATATGTATCTATAAATAAACTCTCAATTTCAATAATTCTGAGTGAATACACATCTCGGTGAAAGAACTATAAAACAAATAATTCACACTAGCTTATAACCCGGCCCGTTGGCCGGAATGTTTATATTTGATTTTTATATTTTTTGTGTTACGTTACAGTCTGTCAACCTGTTTAATTTTATTGACAATCTTTCAATCGAGATGATACATAAAGAAATAATATATATGTCGAACATTCAGAGAAATATCATCATCATTTGTGAATTTAAAATATAAAATGTATAATTGATCCCATTTTCATAATGATAATTAAACCCAATTAAAATGTTATTAGTTAGTTGTATAAAAGCTCACTGGAATTCCCACACAGCTCATAGATATTTTGAAACTGAATCTAAAACCTCACAATCCTACTAAATGGTCCAATGCTCTCATTTTGGGGGCAATATGCCACTCAAAAAGAAATTGAGAGTTGTAGGTTCAAGTCAACTATATACTAACAACTCAGCTAAGAGGGGACCATCAAAACTTAATAGCAAACGACAAAAATGGGTTACCTCCAATATATTAATAGACTCGATCAAAGTAATAAGACGCAAAATTAGACACTCCTTATCTACCACTTCAAGTAGGTTGAATAAAAAATTGAGATACTTCATTAAATCAATAAATGATTCCTCGTTTCAAGATAGAAATATGTTGTGGTAGCTGCAAAAATCATAAACCTAAAGATCCAATAGCCACCACTCTCCATTGAACGAACAATTTTTTTTCCTACTATATCTTCAATCTCAAGAAGCATATGTTTCAGCCAAGCATTCACTTTCTAATTCTCGTTCTGCAACTCCATTTCTGCTACTTTGATGGACCTTCTCTCTGCGACCCTCAATTTCTCTTCCAATTGGGGTTCTCGTCAACTCGCTCTTCAACTCCTCAATCCTCTTCCTGTGTTTTTCCAACTCATCATCCTCAAGGGAAGTTGTAGTAAGTTCGCTAAAACCAAAACTCATCTCCAATTCCATCAATATGCTCATCTCCCCCTTGTTTGACTTCACCTACGTCAGTACACTTCCATGCCCTTCAATACATTCTCCATTTTCATTAATATCCTCATCATCTCTCACTTCTCTCTCTTCAGCTGTTCCAATTTTGCTTCTGCGTCTTTCAATACCCTTTTCAATTCGATCACTACCCTCAGCAACTACCTCTTCTCTGCCTTAACCTGCTGCAGTTGATTTTTTCTTCCCCCACCACTTCCATTCTCAAACTCAATCCCACCTCTTCTACTCCAAGTTCAACACCCCCAACTCCTAGAGTGTTGCATGAAAGCTCAATTTCTAACTAATTCTAAAACAATATCAAAGTTTGATTAGTGAGTTGGACCATAAAAATACAAATTAATGAGGAAAATTATGGTTGCGGAGAACATTAGTTATGACAAAATCAAACATGAGCGGAAATATTGTAATTGAAAAGAAACCTTTTTTTTTTCTAATTTTGATATTATTTTATTATTTCAATAGCTAAGCAAAGAACAAAAATAAAGTATAGGAAACACACAACCAAAAAAGTAGATAGGGCACTAAGAAAGTACAACTGCCCCTGTTCTACACAAACATCTCATTTGCTTTCAAATAAATATAGTACCCAAACCATCGTTCAAATTCATTTCCCATATTTTATAAATCATTCATAAACAACAAACTTAGATAAATCGAGATGGAAGTAATAGCCTACCAGTTCAAATCGATGAACCTTATATTAAGATAGAAACTCATTGAAGTTGAAACCTAATATTAGAAAGAGGAGAAATGACGCAGGAGATCCATCGGGCTTTAAACATCGTATCAGGCAATAAGATCTAAAGTAATAGATATTCTGCATGTTCTTCTCATGAGACAACGTGAAAATAAAAGTCTTTTTGTTATTAATCAGAAAGATAAAACCATGAGACATAGAGAAGAACTAAATGACTTACATGTGCAAAGCAATTAACCTTGGCTGAAGACCGAAAACCTATTAAAGGTCAATGCCTGGTATAGGAAGAGGAGTAAAGGCGAAAGATATAATTAATCAAACATTGTCTTTAGCAATAGAAGCGGCAAAATAGTTCTTCGGGTAGTACATCGGGGAGAGACAGAACCATTGGATGATGCTAGTGCAGAGGAATCGAGCGAGACTGTCAAGGCCAGACCATAACTACTTGATTGAACTTCATTCTATTCGCCATGGATTGATATGAGACTTGAAATCTTCTACTTGCCCAGTTTAATTGCCCAAGAATAAAACTGCAGTGCGAAGAGATACTGGAATATTGATTTTCAAATGCGCCCTTATACTGGGAAGTGAAGCACGCAAACTATTGCACGATAGAGAAAATTTCGAAAAAATTAGAAAGAGATAAAAACAAAGATAAAAAAGCACAAAATTTAAATTTATATTGAAAAATGCAAGGACACAACGTGTAGTAAAGGAAATAGTTTCTTTCATGTTAGCCAATTACCAATTTACCTTTAGCAAAAATTAAGGAGAGAGCATGAATTTTAAAATGGATAATATTACATGAAATTCTACTATGACAATTGAAGTATTAAGCACCATGAAAATACATACGGTAGACTCAGTGCGCTTGTTATTCATGATGAAAAAGTTCTATGCTTTTTACAATTTAAATACATGTATGTTTTGTATTAAAAAAGGAACAACAAATATATTTAATACAATTGATTATGACTACTATCTTTGTTTGAAGAGACCTGGGTTAAAAGTTCACAAAACTCTACTATATATTATTGGAAGATGCCAATTATCAACCTAAAAAATGAGGGACAAAGTCCCAAAATGCATAATGGAAAATGTTGCAAACGGGAAAATAAAGAAAGCATAACCAATAATCACGGCAGGCTTGCAAGGCTGACGCGAAGAAGATAAAAATTCTGTTTTCCGCAAGGGTCGCCTCCGCCGCAACCGTCCCGCCCTCCGCCGCCTCCTCGTCCGCCGCCCGCTGCCCCGCCCGCCGCTCGCCGTCCCAATTACCAACAGGCCCTATTGGCCATATCCACCACCACAGACTGTTAGTGTTGTAAGATTAAATTAGAGGAGATGAAGGGAGCTTCTACCCTCTTCCAGTCATGGCGGACTTGTTCCCCCAGAATCCCCCCAGGTCCTTCTCCCCCCCCCCCCCCCCCCTCTCTCTCTCTCTCGGTCTCTTCTCCTTCTCCAGCTCATTCTGCTGCTTCAAAATCGCAGGGTCCTTCCTTCTGCAAACGGTCAAGTACCCAGAAACCTGCTTCTGTCGGAATGTTCAAACGGTATCCTATCAGATTGTGAAGGGTAGCTACATACCCACCTCCCAAGCTGTTCAACCTAAAACTCAAACCACGGTGCTTCCTCTCTCTGTTGCTTCTTTTTCCTCTCGCCCGCCATTAAGCTAATTCTGCATTCCTGTCTTCTTATAATTTGCACTAGTTCAGTTCCAATGCCGCAAACTGCTTTTTTGACCAGTTCTCTGTAAATTACTGTTCAACTTTCAGGTTAAACCAACCCCAGAGATTGATACGGTTGGTGCCTTCCAGAAGCTACCCATGGTGATGCCGTCTGTTGATATACTTGCTTCTGCATTGCGGAAAGCCAGGAGAGTCGAACCAACCAAAGGTGATTTATCAGTCGACCATACCTCCATTCTCATTTGATGGTGCTATTAAAATGCATTCTTTCAACTCCTCCATCAGACTTTGATTGTAAACGTGTCTTTTGGTGAGTATTGGTTACAATTCAGCAATGCTTCTCTCTCATATTTGCCATCACAATTTTAAATTATGACCTGTAGGCATCGCTAACATTGCGAGGAGGGAGAGAAACCGAGGTGCAAAGCAGCTTGATGCGTTGATGAAAGTGAGCAATTCTATGGCTTCTGTGATATTGTAAATGACGAGTGAATTCCATTTTACTTGAATCATCGAGGGGGGAATATGTATGGATTCTTATTCTAGTGTTACGCTCACCAGGAATTGGCTGCTCCTCTGAAGGCATATCTTGAAAATTTTCCGAAGAGGAAATACTTGCATCCTTATGAACGATCGCTTGTGGAGTTGACTCTTGGTGATGGAGTTTATGAGGAGGTATTTTGCTGATCCATTGCTTATAAATGATCCTTTGATGTCTTGCAATTTGCAACCATATGTAATCTTGAATGTTTAATTTCTTCTTCACTTCAACACATTTTAAAGAACTGCAGCATGTCAAAAGCAAGAGTGGGAATTCGAAATGTATTCTTTTTATGTTGGTCATTAGCTTCAGCAATTTGAATTACTTTTTCCATAGGTTTCTACTTGTTCCTTCGAAAAGTTTTGAGTGTTCTTTCTTTAGTTACTTGTACAAAGCATGCTGAATGCACGGACATTAGAGTCATCTTGCAGTTATGCATTCAGCTGGATTTATCAGGTGTTGAAAAAAGTGGATGCTTTAAAAAGGAAGGTGGTGGTTGTGGGAAAAGAGCATGCTTCTCTCTGTGCTAAGGTTAGAGCCTGTACTAACAAACTCAGCACTGTACATTCACGTTACTCTTGTCAGTTCTAGTCGATTAACTGTGCGTATCTATTTTGGCATCTGCTTTTAGTTTTTCTCTCTATTATAATTCTGTGCTGCTGATTAACATAGCAATGCAGTGTGCTATGATTATGTTATATTAATGCATTTGCGCTTTACCTGTTGCATTCATGTCTTCACTCACTAACTGAGATATGACTCCTGGCAGACACTGAAGAAACGGGAAGCTGAGGAAAGCTTAAAAGAGGTAATTAATTATCCATTCGCTTCAGATTTTTCACCTGGTAATAGTTAGATGAGAATATCTCCACATATGTCTTGCAGGGTCTAGAAAAACTTGAAGGTGTTTTCACGTCGGATGGGAAGGCAGTTGATGAGTTGATGAATATTGCAAAGGTATCATGGTAGTTGGTACCAGTAGAGTTGATTGTCTTTTTAGTAGTTGTTTTCGGTGTCTTATCTTTCTGGTGATTTTAGTCATCCTCATCATGTTAGTTTATGAGATTATTTAGAATGGTTCATGAGGGCATCTGTTATTAAAATATATATATTTTGGCAGGTAATTTCAGAGTATCTATCACGTTTACTTGTTGAATCACTAGCTTTGAGAGGGAAACAGATTATTTGATGCACATATTATATTGACTTGGTGGTATATTTTAGCAATCTCTTTTTAGCAAACTGGAGATGCATTTGGCTTTTTGTCCTCCCTAGTCATGCATGCTCTCATTAATTCAAATTTTAGTGGAGTAGTCCCTTCTGACGGTTATATATTTCACAGAGTCTGCGGGCCATGCCAGTGGTTGATTTAAAGACACCGACTTTGTGTCTGGTTGGAGCACCCAATGTGGGGAAATCATCATTGGTTCGGGAACTATCTACTGGGAAGCCTGAGGTTGATCTGTTATTTTGAAATTATTAATTTTCAGGAATTTCAGCTCTTAGCATTAGATTGCATGCTGTAAATATTTGATAAATCTTGGTGATTAAGGCTTTCTCAATAATCACATTCTTGGGCTCTTCCCTTTTGTGTGCTTTCAGGTCTGCAACTACCCTTTCACGACTAGAGGAATTTTAATGGGTCACATTGCGCTAAACTTTAAGCATTTCCAGGTTAATGATTTCTCGTCAACCTTCTCCATTCTCCTTCCAATGCCCTCCGAACCTCAATCCCCTTTCCCATGACTCCAAACACACAGTAAAGATACTTGGGCTAGCAAGTTATTTTTTCTTTTTGTCTGACCTTGTTCAATTATTCTTATTTGTTCTTACTGCAGGTCACAGACACTCCTGGTCTACTGAAGAGATCTGACGGTATGGGATTTGTGTATTCATGCTGTAGTTGTTGATTCGTTAATATGCAACTCCTTTTACTATGATGGATCAAACTTGAAGAATATCTGGTGTTGTTAATAAATTGCATAGTAAATCCACGGATTATAATATGGGGTGTGACAGGCCTTGGTTTTATTATGATGCTTTTCGAGATTGTTTTACAGGTGCCCAATGTTGTTTTCTTGCTCTCACTATTTCCAAATTAGAACCATGCCATCTGGGCTCTGTAATTATTTCCAGAGAATGTGTCTTATTTCGGCCTAAGTTTTGGTTCCTCTCTCGGACAGTAAAACCTATCATACATGCTTCGTATGCTTTCACCAAATTTACCAGGACAACTGGACAAGATAAAACCACGTTTATGATGTTTTCAATAGAATCTATTTGTCTGTCGGAGAAGCTGGTATTACGGAAATATGTGATTTTGATCAACCCCTCACAGTTAGTACTTAGTAGTTTGCAAATACTTCTTGACTGCCTATACATCACTGATCATTGTAAAAGTGTGTTTTATGGTTCTGCTTACCAGATCTAATCTTTTTCTTGGAACCCTGCAGAGGACAGGAACAATTTGGAGAAATTGACTCTTGCTGTCCTATCTCATCTTCCAACCGCCATTCTATATGTTCATGATCTTACAGGGGAATGTGGGACCTCACCCTCTGATCAGGTAACATGTGTGTAAAGATAATTTAGAAAGAGCCAGAGAAGCACTTCTACAAATCAATGTAGTCAAAATCGCGCTTTAAAATTCAAAGTTTACACGTTTACACTTTTAGGTCATTGAAACCCTTCTATGTACAACAATCGTGCTTTTCCCTTGCAATTTTCAGTCAAAATCTATGCTTTAAAGCTTAAAAGCTTATGTTTTTATGCTTCTAGGTCACCGCAATGCTTCTATGTAGAATTGTGATTTTGACTGCAATGCTGCAAATCAGTATTGGTCTTCGAGCTATTCCATTGCCTTCCCTGTGGCATTTCAAATCTTACTTATGCATAAGAGATTCTCAACTATGTGCGGGTTTGTCTGGGTGTCTATTTCATTTTCAGCTCGGGCTAAGGCCACTGGCTTGGTTTTGTTCGTGAGTTGATCATCAGTAGATTTGAATCTAGATCCATTGTACTGGCTGATAAAAGCAAAAAACAAATATGGGTTCATGTGCTTTCAGAATTTTGCTTTTGACTATGGTTTTTTGTTTACAGTTTGTTATATACAAGGAGATTAAGGAGAGATATAGCAATCATCTTTGGCTGGATGTAGTCTCCAAGTGTGATATATTGCAAGGATCTCCTGTGTTCTTCATCACTGATGATAATAATGCCGAGGTAAATGCTGCTCCTGAAGCGGAAAGTTATCGCAAGATGGGACCTGCTGGTGCTATCCATGTATCAATCAAGACAAAGGAAGGGATGAATGAGGTAATTTTTTTGCACATGCTGATGATGGTTCTCGATTTAGACGAAGAAAGTAGTGTGTGGAAATTGGATACTGAGTCTGTTTTTCGGGTTCCCTGGGTATAGCTAGTGTTTTTATATTAGAGCTCTCATCCAAATTGAGAAAGTTCTAAGCCATATCCATGAACATTTAGGGTCTCTCTCTCTCTTTGCTTACAGTTTCATCCCAGTCATCTGCATTTGGGAAAGCCCCTGTTACCCCATTGTCTCTGGCTTTCCTCTCTCTCGAAGAGAAATTGTCTTCTAGTCTTTGCTTACAACAGTATTCGAGGATTAAAATGCCAATGCCGGCTACCATCTGACTACGCTTACTGCTGTGCTCCGCGTTGTGCAGCTAAAACAGAGGGTGCATGATCTCCTGCTTGCTCAGATGGACAACCTCAGTAGTGACGAATTGACCTCAGAAAGTCTGCACCCTTGAGCTTCACTTCCCTCAGAACAGTCGTGAAGTGTTCCGAAGTTCCAGTTTGGGAGGAAGAAGGGAAGGTGGTGCCTTGCATGGCAAGCAAGAAGAGTGGGTCCTTTTTGTTTCTTTGTTTTACCTGTAATATTAGAAGAATAAATTACTAGAACGAATCAGGATTAATAAGATATGAAATTCTTCTAGCACTCTAAACCGTGGACGCTAAACCAATAGATAATATTTCATGATACTAACGATTGAATTACTGTTAGATCCTAGAACACCTTACCGTTGATTTTTCCGGTACAAATATCAACACACATAAACACTCTCCTATTAAATAAATCCCAAACATGCCCTGCCGGCCTGTTAAACAAATTCAAGTGGATATTGTCTCACATTAGCTACAAAACAAAATAGATCACAAAACCAGGAATTAGCGCTCTCAAACTCTAGCCTAGTACAAAACTAGGGGGGAAAAAAGAATGATATCTACGTCGGATCTCAGCTAATATATAACATGTCATGGTACAGGCCTCAATACAACAAATCATCATCGCCAGCGTCAGCGTGCCCATGATACAGAATCTATCTCATCTCTAGCTGACTTGTACAACTCCAGCCTCTTGGCACACTGTACCCTTCTTTCCATCAAAGAAGGATCTTCATCCAACAACTGAGCCAGCTCCTTCCCCTGAACATGGCACCACAACCACAAGGAGCATAATGTAAACTCAGACAGACATTATATGTATAAGAAAAAACGACTCAATACCGTTCGAAAACATACTTCTTTTTTCCCTATCTGCATGTAGAAGTGGTGGAGCAGTGACTGCTTCGCTTCCTTCACTTGGCAATACACGATTGCCTTTGGGATTGTGTTCCTCAGTGTCTCGGAGACCATCCCGACGTACGATGACACGTTTGACCCGATCCTCCTGAAGTGTCCATCTGTGTACCGGTCGACATTTGGGGACACAGGTCCACCCGGTCCGCTTGCTGCTTTCTCTACCTCCTGGGGAAGCCTCCTGAAGAACTCCACTGTCAAGTATGATGACTCCATGTCAACCAGCCGAACGACAGTCTTCTTACTGTCATCCCGGAACCTCTCCAGTGCATGATTAGCCGCTGCTGCCAACTCCATTTGCAGTGTTGGAAACCGTCTCAGTTCCTGCCTCCCAAAAATTGCACCACCGTTAGAATGTCAACTCATCCGGACCACAGAAGAAGGAAGGGAGGCCAGCAGATGTGAGAGGGGGTTATACAAACAAGAAACAATCCCAACCTGAGTCTCCCCAATTGATTTCCTGACCAGCTCTTTCAGCACGAAGTGAACCTGAATGGCAATGTTGAGGAAGCTACCCATTGAGAAACAAATACGATTTTGATGTCGTATATACTGTTCAGAAACAAGAATGAGCTGAACTTACAGCATCCACAGAAGCCTCAGCTGGGCCTCTAAAATAGTTTAGAGAACTCTCGATTAAACGTCTGTACCCTTGCTCTGGGGCAATCAGATGGGGCTGATAACCATCTGCCTCAGACACTACTTTCCTGACATTCTGCATTGAAAGATGTCGATCGAATGGAAGCTTTCTCAAAGCAGCTGGAAGCTGATTGTCAAACACCCCATAGATTCGATCTCCCCCAGGACGGCTACAGGTAAAAAGACCAACCAACAAATTCACATTTCTTTGATACGGTGAGAACTAGAATAACACCCATGACAACAACAAAATTCTTGATAAAGCAAATGGGAGATTCACCCTCCATCCAGATGCTCCTTGAATATCCGGTCAAATGCACGCAAAAGTTCTAGAATCAGGTATAGTTGAGCCTAATAAGAAAAAAATTGGTCAGTGTTTCATTGAAAGCAATTGGAAAGTAAAGAGCTCAAATCGAGCTACCTACCCCAGCGTCAGCCGCTATAGGCCTACCCAGATGGTCCATCTCGGATTCAAGCTCTTCAATTGTTTTGTTAATCATGGATGTAATACTTGGTATACGAGCCCTGATCACAGCTTCCAAATGCTGAAAACCAGTGAAACATGATTACATTATAATAAACGACATCCCAGGAAGGTACAAGATAAGCACCCATTTAAGCAGCAAAGGACCCTTAAATCGCACCTTTGAAAGTAGTTTCGCAAGATACTCGGAACCCATTTTGTTGGCTAGATGGCTATAGTCAGGACTGGTAGCGAAGTACTCCCTTTCCTTATGCCTTGCAATTATCATGTCCACATTTTTATTTATATCAGCCTGTGAACGGTTCACGATTCCGACCCAAGGATGTTGCAATCTGTAAGATCTTCCTTCAAGCACCTAAAATGGAAAACAAGTGACAAAGTTTACATGTTTGTATCCATGTAATTCAAGCACCGAGACAAAATTTGCAAGGAACTAAAATGGAGTAAGAGCAAAAAGGAGCATGTACATCGAGCGCATTAGTTCCTTTGTCCATCAAATCCAACTTTGTCAAGACCCCAAATGTTCTTTCACCTGGAAAATTGACAACAATGAGAAGCATTCTTAGGTGCTTACGAACTTAAAATCAAGACATACAATGTGTCCAGTAATATAGAGCTTAACCGATATCAGAGCGGAACTACAATACCTGGGGCGTCCACTTCCCTTGCAAGTTTGATAGCATCAGATGTCGCTATATCTTGGTTAGCCGGAGATATAGCAAGGATAATGCAATTTGGCTGCAAACCAAGTGAAAAGGTAAGTAAAGCAAGAAAAGAAGATTACTTTAAAGTTTAAAGCACAGCAGCATTATGCCAGAATGTTCCCTTCAAGTTGAGCAAATGGATCCACAAAAACATCCCTCCAAGAGAATATTTAGATAGTCGTTCGCTTCAGACTGTGGCAGCTTTAAATTACATATAGGCTGCTTCTTCTCCGCAAAGCCACTTATCTCTCAATAACCGTCTTAAATATTTCTCAACAAATAAAAAGGAAACCAAAAGCAAAGGTGCATGGATTCCAAATTTCATAGTAGGATGGGTTCATAGAGTACCTTCTCAACGTAGCTACGAACCATCATCTCTATGTCTTGAACTATGCTCTCAGGCTGGCCCTCTAAAGGAAAAGAAAAAAAATCATTCTCAGCGGTCAATGAGATGTTAAACTAATTACACTAGAAGCTCCACACATAGCAGAGCTCAACACAAACCAGCAAGAAAGTAGACTCTGCTACGTACCAACAGCAACTTTTGTCAAACCAGGTAGATCAATGAGAGTTAAGTTAACAACTGCAAGGTAGAATTAAGCAAATCAGCAATTGGGTTACCCCGAAATTGAACCAAAGGTATCAAAGCTTCTCCACAAGTATTATCCTTGAGCAAGACGAAAGAACAACAAACAGTAGGCGGTGATTGTGAAGGATAAGTAGCAAGCAAAGCAACCCACCATTTGGAGAGTAAATGCTGAGATGAATCGGAACAGGAGATATCTGCTTCGATTTCCCAGTCACTCTATCCGTCTCATCCTGGATTTCCTTGCGCACAACGGCTGCACATTGAACCTCCTAGCCTCTTTAGTTGTGCAGGAGAAAAACCGAAAGCAAGCACAGCCTCGATACGATAGAATTACCCACCAAAATCAGAGAACTTCCTGTTAGGAAGGTGGAGGAATTCGGCATACTCCTCTGCTCCTTCTTCAGTCTTGTGCAGCTGCAACACCAGCGGCCTCCTCGTCACAATCCCTGCAAATCACTCACCCCTAAACATAAACAACAGAGAAACAAACCCCCAGAAACGAAAACTAAACGAGCCCGCGGTGAGTAAAACCGAAAACCTGATCCTCTAGGGAGAAAGTCCCTGCCAACAATGCTTTCAAGGACGGAAGACTTGCCGGAGCTCTGTTGGGGAAATTGAGGGGGAGAGGGTTAAAATTGGGAGGGAGAAGGAAGTAAAGGCAGAGGCAGAGCAGAGAGTACAATTGTTACCTGTCCTCCGACGACGGCAACAGAAGGGAGCGCTTCCCAGAGGGAAGAGAAGGAAGTATCGCCGCCGCCATAGTCGCCGAGCGCTGTGCAGGCCCTCTGAATTCTGTTGACCAAACCTATCAAGCTCTCCATGGTCGTCATCCCCACCAGAGAAGCTCAGCTTAAAACACAGACTTCGAAGGAAGAATGGACAGAGACACGATGGATGGATGGATGGATAATAGAAAATTCAAACAGAGAGGGAGGGTTCTAGAGAGAGAGAGAGAGAGAGAGAGAGATAATTGTGGTTTTGTGTTTGTGTGGGTGTAGGAGTTGATGGTCAGAGAGGGAAGTAAAAGGTAGCAGCAGGGGCAGAATTCAATGTGGCGAAATGGGAAAATTCAAATATTTGTGACGTCATGCAGTTTTCATAATAGTGTTGGGTCCCGTGCGTGGCGGCTTTCGTTCCTTCAATCTTATCTACTGAAACCATGGTTGGCGCTATCCGTTGGTCTGGCCGAGTGGGGTATTTTGCCTATTTGGGATGGGTTGGCTACTTGGCTTGGTAGCTCATTGGTTTCGCACTAACTAAAAGTTAGGGTCTAATAATCAATAGAAACATTTAGTTTTGATAATTTTATTTATTCCAACGGATTGGCCACGATTAATGGTTTTTAATGAGAAGGATACGCTTGTCATTATGAAAATTTATGTCGTCCATTTATTACGCGTGCCTTATCATAAGTATCATGAAGCAAACCACAAAATACAGACAAGAAAAATATAACAAACCAAACTACAAAGAACATTAAGTAGGCTAGAAAACTTATTGTTGATGTTGGGACTGTAGTCGATGTTGAGTTTTTTGTTTTTTTTTTTTTTATGTTGGGCACCAGAGTCTGTTGACGGACACTGTTTCACTTCGAACTACTCTCGTGATGTAAGCTCTGGTTGCCTCCTGCAGAAAAGCTCTACCGACCGATCTCAACGGGGACACTCTCCGACGCTCCAGTTAGTTAGTGGTTAGAGTGGAGATGAATATGACCTCGAAAAGATAGATGAGGGAATGGAGTTGAGAATGAATATCTACTCTAATTATAGTAAGACTTCACGAGTCTAGTTATGAGGATTTTTGCTTACCTTAACCCGGAGACAAAGTGGCCTTTTATAGAGGCCTTTGGGCGATCATTAATGGGTACGTGTTTTCGTCTAAAGCTCGGGGGTAAAGAGAAGACACATCATGAGAGTACGTGGCCAAGGAAGCTGGGTGACCTGGGGTGAATGACCTCGGGGTTGTCGGAGTGATCCTATGGTGGCCTTGGTAATCCTGGATTATGGGGAGGGGTTTGGAGATAACCAGAGGTGATACAGTGGTAAACGGAAGCGACCCAGGGGGTGATCGGAGGTGACCTGGTGGGTGACTGGAGGTAGGTGTGGGCAACAATCCGATCTAGACCGGATCGGAGCAAACTCAAGAGAATTGTGGTCCAATCGTGAAAGATATTTTAAGTCAAGGACGGAGCCAATAGTGCATTTAGCCGATCCAAATGTCAATTATGTCTGTTTTTCTTTAGTATTTATAAATTCATGGGATCAATATATTCGATTCGGTGTGGTCTGGTCCAAATATCAGTTTTATTTGGTATGAGCCAACCCATTGTCCACCCCTAACGGGAGGTGACCCAAGGGTGGCTGGAATGACCTCAGGCTCAGGGTGGCAGAGTAACCCCAGGGTGGCAAAGCGACCCGATGTTATGGACCCTGACTCTGGCCATAGTGACACCAAGGTGGTCGAGGTGACCAGGAGTGGTTGACCCTAGCGGTGGTCAGAGTGATCTCGGGGTGGTCGAGGTGGCCCGGGTTAGGGACCCCGAGCGTGGCCGGAGTGACTTTGGGGTGGCCTAGGTGACCCGGGATTGTGGACCTCGGGATGGCAAGAGGTGACCGAAAGTGGCCCTGAGGGGGTGGCTGGAACCTGAGGGTGGCGGGAGGTGACCCGGGATTGTGGACCTCGGGGTGGCAAGAGGTGACCGAAAGTGGCCCTGAGGGTGACTGGAACCTGAGGGTGGCGGGAGGTGACTTGGGGTGATTAATCCTGGGGGGGAGTGACCTCGAGGTTATGGACCCCGTGGGTGATCAGGATAACCTTAGGTGATCTGGAGTGATCGCTGATAGGTGAGAGTTGTTGAGTACGGTCGATATAGAAAGATTTTCGTCAAATTAAAATCTTTTGATTTGGCATTCATCAGCCTTTTTTTTTTATAATCAGCCATTCTTGATTTCTTATAAATCTATTTCATATATATTGATGAGACCATATGTTATTTATATATTTATTCATACATGTCAACTGCTCATGTATGTTCATTGATTAATAATGATTGTCTCCAGTTGATGCGAAAGCTTTCTAGGATTAATTACTAGGTCATCAGTACAAGAATCATGCTTGAGTCCTTTGTTAAGGCTATCTCTTGCATGTGTAGTTTGCAAGATGATAAACTACAAAGTCGATAAGCCAAACTCATAACAGTGCATTCGACTTCTGCACTAAAATGACAAACTTCCTAATCATGTGATTTCACAATGATATAAGAATATGATGTGGAATTGATGTTTATGGAGAACAATAATCATCTTTCGAACTCACAAATCTAAAATGTTACCCAGCAAACAGTGGAGACAATTAATTAAATTCCATATCTATTTTGTTCTGTAAGAACAGCAACAACAAATGGGTCAACCAACAAGAAGTTCGTTCTAGGCAGCCAAGAGCCAAGAGTTGGTTCCGCAACATCAACCACCAAACGCCCTCATAGCTCAATCTCCTCTTTTATCTGATTTACATTAGTCACACTTCCTTCCTTCCATCCATCCACAAGTATAGACTACCGAGATCCCCTAACACCATTACTATCACCTTCCCAGTAAGTTTCTTAACCATAAAACGAGTCGAAACCAGCAGCACGACACAATGCTTCGCAAGAAACAAGTACCCCTGTCGTCACAGTGAACAAGACTAGACAAAATCATCAACAAGCACAACCTCCTGACTGGGCTTGGGCCTGCGACGCATTTGTGTTCGAAGACTTGAGGTTCACGTCAACCATATCTTCTTGCTTAGCTGATGAAAGTGTCTCCATCCCTGGAAGGGCTGCCGCAATCTTTCGAAACAGTGGCTGATAGACAGACACAATACAAGGAGAAGAATCAACCAGCGAGCAAAAAGAGGATGGCTCTGCAAATCTAAAATATTCAATAGTGGCACAACCTGCCTCTCAACGAACAACCGACTTACTTACTTTTATATTGAAGCCCGCCTTCGCGCTGGTTTCGATGAACATCACGTTCATCTCGCGAGCTTTAGACTCACCTTCTTCTATGGAGACTTGCCTATACGAAAACACAAATTTAATGAATCACAAGCAATCTTCCTTTCACATCAAATTTCGACAGAAAAAAGAAATTCTCACCTCTTGTCGACGAGATCAGTCTTATTCCCGACCAGTACAATTATAACATCGCTGCCCCGTTCAGTGCGGACCTCTTCAATCCACTTAGAAGTGTTCAGAAATGACTGTCTGCCTGAACCGTGCTCACCCCAAGAAAATATTAAAAATAAAAAAAGGGACAGAATACAGGTAGATACTGAAACTGAGCACAGAGGAGAGATGATGTGTTGGATTAGGAAGCTTTTCTATGTCCACATAGAGCATGCCATAGAGCAATGACAAAATATGAGCACATGAATGAGGAGTAAGTTCAACAGAAGCAAGAAGAAATCACATACTTGCAACATCATAAACAATGACAGCCACTGATGAATCCCTTATATAGCTCGGAATGAGGCTCCTGAACCGTTCCTGTCCTGCAGTGTCCCTGTACTAAATTCCAAGGATGTCGGACGATATTAAAAAGCCATGGAACGTTCATCCCTATCATTTGTCATCAGGCAAAGAAGAGCTTGCAAAAATGCTCAATATCAAAGTGAAGCTTATTAATGGGTATCAACCAGTTTGGGCACTGACACTGCGTCATTGTAAAGTCCATTAGGTTTTGAAAGTCCTGATATTAATTAACAAACAGATTTCAGGCGAGAAACATTTTAGTTGACAAAGCACAGGTATAATCTATCAGATAACCAGGAAGTCTGCATTCAACCTAAAAGCAAGGACCACACTCTTTTTTTACGAATAAGGACCACATTTTCTCTTCCAACTTAACAAGGAGTGCAAACTGGAAATTAAATAGGGAGGCAAGGATGCACTTAAAAACGCTAACATGGCAATAGTCATGTTGGTGACTATACACAGATGCTTTATGCATGCTTCTCTCTTTGTAGTATAATTTGAACAAGCAGCATTCCACAAACCTAGTCTTATATTTCCAATGAACTGGAAATCAGATTCAGTATGGTGCCAGAAGTCTAAGGGATGGATAATTGATATAAAGGTTAGATTGCAAGAGTGAAGGTTCAAATGTCTACACTAAATATGCTTTTGGGGAATCTCACCAGAGCTGCAATCGAACAGTTCTGTCTTCCAGATACATTGTCTTCGAGAGGAAATCAATACCTATGGTAGCCTGATAATAATAAAAAAGCAACAATATCAAAACACAAAGGCATACGAAAACAAGATCCAATTCTCAAACCCAAATAAATTGTTTGCAAGAGAGAACAAGATTCACAACATATAAGCACTCAGACAGGGCAAAGTTAGCTTGATGGTAGCTATAACTGTGATTCTACAGCTCTTGGGTTTTGAGCAATCCACAGGACTTATGTATGGGGATGGATACTCTCATGTACTTTGAGCAATGAGCCTTGAAGTGAATCAATACCATTGGAGAGCACAAAAGAGGTGCCAGAGGCGAAAACACACCTATGAATCCCAACATACACTACACCGCGCTGATTACAAGTTGTCATCAGTGGCTTCCCGAACACATTCACTATGCTGCTGGTGACAAATTTGTAACCATGCCCACAAAATTTTAAATTTTGATTACAAGAACCATCATGAATGTACCAATCGGTCTGCAGACGCAATGCCCCTACCGATCATCTAACTAACCAGCACTACAGATTTATACATTGTCGGTAGCTGATTATCATATGTTTAGTGAAGCTTCAATTAACAACCAGATAAAAACATTCATCCTCCAAGATTAGATTGGAGATCAAAAGGAGGAACCCTCCAAGCAAATCGTACGTTACGTTGAACAACCAAAATCCTCAATACATCAAGGAACAGAAGCCACTAGCTCTGCAAACACCAAAACCACTGGATCAAAGGAAATAACAACAAAATTGATAGGTAACAGATAGATGTGTGGAAGACCTACAGGCAATTTTCTATTCCCCTTTGATAAAAACAGGAATTCCTGGGACCATCAACACAAGATCCGACCAACCTATAACTAAGACCTTATGAGATCATTCAAATGGAATGAATCAGAGATACTCTCACGATCCAAATCTGCTGAGCGTAAACATGGATGAGAACCTCCATTCTGATGGTGATCAAACAGGTGAAGACGATTGAAAAAAAAAAGAATGAATTCGGTCTGGGATTTCAGGGCGGAAAATTACCTGATACGTAGTGTCGAATTTGTCGTACATGAAGCGGGTGATGATACTGGTTTTGCCCACCGACTGATCGCCCAAGAACACGAGCTTGTACTTGGCTAGCGCCGAAACTGGAGCCATGATCCCCCGTCTATCAGTACGATCGGAACGAGAATATTTCCGATTGAGAGATCTCGCCGGCGATTGTCCTGCAGTGATGCTTTCCCACCAGAGAGATCGAGGGTTTCGGATCTCCAGAGATCAGAGACGGGTAGAGGTTGAAAGGTTCCGTGTCCGTGCAGTGCGTCGCGCGTTATGGATTTGAAAAGGGCCGGGTCTGGAGTTACTCTTACTCGTCTTTGTTTTCTTTTAATAGGTTTTTTTTTAAATAAATATTTTTTACTCTTCACTCAAAGAGTAATGAGTCTAGCTTTTGGTAAGTCTTGAATTATCCTTATTCACAAACTTTGCAAGAAAGAAAACGCACAAAGCTTTATTGTGTTCATGGCAATGTTAGGAAACCCTCTAGTAAATTATTTGGTAGCCGATCAAAATCGGAAAAATCGATGGTCAAATAATATTTTTTTGATTTTCGATTCTACGATAATATGCTGTCATTTTGGATGGAATGACCGAATGAGATGAAACTAGATTTTTAATGGGTTATATATACTTAAATGTAAATTTACTAAAGGATATATGTAAGGTAAATTTCATCACTGATGAAAATTTTAAATTACTACCTTATTTGTATATATATAATGTATAAAATGGCTCAAACAGGTTGGATCCTGATCAAACCAGTGAACCTCAACCACTTGATTGACCGACTCAACGACATAAATCGGTTTGACAACCTTAGGGCCCGTTTAGTATTGTTGCTTGTTTTTGTTGTCTGTTTTTTTTTTTTTGTCAAAAGATAATCGATATATTGATCAAAAACATAGGTAATTACAACCTGGTATTAAGCCAGGCGAACAAATTAAAGCAACGACTCGTAGTCGGGTACAAAGAAAGAGCCTTTCTAGCCACCAAGTGGGCTGCCCTATTGCTACGCCGACCTACAAACCGAACAGAGAATCCTCCCAACGAACCCAGCATCCCTACAATCTCCTCAAGAAGTGCCCCCACTCTATTATCCCTAGTGTCTGACTGAATAATCTTCTGAATCAGCACCTTGGCATCCCCCTCAAAACGCACCTCCGCAATCCCCGAGTCCCGGCACCAGAGAACAGCTTCACGAAGAGCAAGTGCTTCAGCAATCAAAGGGTCCTCAACGCCATCAAACAGAAAACCTCTGGCTACCAGAATGGCCCCCCAGGAATTCACCAACACCATCCCTCCTGCCGAGTGCGATGCGGCCCTGGTAGCCCCATCCCATAAGCAGATCAGAGGACAATGGAGAACCTCAACCTCCGGGGCAGCAGGAACAAACTGGGCTTTCTCCTTCGGTATACCAATCCATTCCTGGTATTGCTGGTGGTACTGCCTCATCAAAGCAGGAATCCCAAACTGTTTCCCTTCGAACACTACCCAATTCCGGGACCTCCAAATTCGCCAGAGGACAGCCGTCACCGCCATAATCAAATGTTCCTGTTTCAGGAGGTTCAACAATCTCTTCAGGAACAAGGGAAAAGTGTGACGTGGCAACCCCTGCCCAAGATACTCCAACCCGGCGTAATCCCAGATGGCTCGGGCCACAGGACACTCCAGAAACAGGTGCTCCATCGTTTCGGAATCCGCCCAGCAAACAGGGCAACGGGGGAGCACTTGGATTTTTCTCTCAATCAGCGCTTCAGTAGTTGGAAGGAGCCGATTCAGAATTTGCCAAAGGAAGACCCGAAGTTTTGGGGGGACAGGGGCCTGCCAGACGCGAATCCAACTAGATTTGTCCATCCAACTGACCGAGGACCGGCCTTGGTTGTCCATCCTTTCCAACTGCCCCGCTAGGTGGTAAGCCGATTTCACAGTGAAACACCATCCTGCGTTCCATGCCAAATAAGCCAATCCGCAACATTGCCACGAGGGAGAGGAATCTCCTTGATGAGCCGGCAGGTGTGAGGGTCAAACCAACGAGCCAAACCCTCATCGCTCCAGGAGCCCTCCTCATTATTAATGACAGATGCCACCCGCAAGACCTCATTCTCAGGCAGCACGCAAGGGTTAAACAAAGGGACCAGTGGGTGCAGACCGGGAACCCAGCTATCCTGGAGAAGAGGGGCTGTCTGACCATTACCAATCTGCCACCGAAGGCCCTGGCTCAAAAGCTGTCGCCCAAACAGAATACTCTGCCACCCCCAGGAGGGCCGAGACCGCGCCTGTGCTTCAAGGAAACCACTCCTCGGAAAATACTTCCCTTTATACACTTGGGCTAAAAGCGAATCAGGTTCACTCAGAATGCGCCAACAAACCTTAGCTAACAGGGCCTGATTAAAGTGCTCAAAACGCCTAAAACCCATCCCCCCCTCATGCTTACTACGACACATATTGCGCCAAGACATCCATCTCACCTTATCATGTCCATTTTCCACCCCCCACCAGAATCGGGCAATATGTCTATCCAAGAGCCGGCACAGTGAGAGTGGAAGCTTGAAACAGGACATAACATGGAGAGGAAGCGCCAAGGCCACCGATTTGATCAAAGTCTCCTTCGCCGCCCACGACAAGGTACGCTGCTTCCAACCCTGAAGCCGAGCAAGAAGCTTCTCCTCCAAATAGCGAAACGTCTCCATCTTAGATCGGGCGATAAGGGTTGGTAATCCCAGGTACTTATCGTGAACACCAATAGCCCCTACCCCCAGCACCTGCCCCAGAAACTCCTGATCCGGAACAACAATGTTCTTACTAAAACAAACTGCCGATTTAGCTAGGTTAACCCTCTGGCCACTCAGTTCCTCATACTCGTTTAAGACAGTGATCAGATTCTCGCATCCTCATACTCAGTTCCTCATACTTGTTTTTGTTGTCTGTTTTGTTTTATGAAATTTGGAAAACCAAGAAAAAAAATCGTGTTTAGTTGGGTTTTTATTTTCTGTTGTGAATCAGAGTTGCACAACAAGGCCCAAATATGAGAAACAATAATTTATTGCTTTAGATCTGATTCTTAAACATGTTGCACACGGGATTCCTACTGGTTGGGCACTTGATTTCATTAAACCAGACCACTTTTCGAATCCCCACAGAAGCAAAAAAATTTCTTTTTTTTAACTCAGCCCCCCCCCCAAACCCTACTTCAACATATCACTATCAGCCGCCCCCCATACCATTTTCCATCTTCTTCTCGACGACAGAGGAGTTCACCTCCGAAGGTCGCCCTCGCCCAGCCTCCGGCGCGACCCCTCCGCCCCTGCCCGGCGACGCCTCGCCTCCGCCCAGCGCCGCCTCGCCTCGCCTCCGCCCGCCGCAGCCCGCGCAGCCGCTTAGCCCGCCGACGTCCGCCCACGCAACCGCCGCCGACGCCCTGCCTCCGCCGCCAGTCCGTCGGCCGCCGACCACTTCCCCTCCATAAACGCCTTACTCCATCTCTTTTCTGGTTTTTAGTTCTTATAGTAGTAACTAAACGCGTTTTTGTTTCTTGTTTTCAGTTTTCATGATTTATCATATTTATCAACTAAACAGGTTTGTGTTTTCTGTTTTTTTTTCTGTTGTGGTTGTACATCTGTTTACACAACACCACTGCAACCACAACAGCAACAAAATGATACTAAACGGGTTCATAGTAAGGTTTTCAAATCGGCTTATATAGTTATGTCGGTTTAACAAATGGTTCATAGTAAGGTTTTCAAATCGGCTAATACATTTCTTTCTTCTTTTTAGTTAATTACACCAAAACAACGTCATTTTCTTTCGAGATTGAAAATTGACCATTCCATTTGATCTTTTCACCATTTTTTACTAGTTTTTACTACAGGTTCATGCTAGTGGTCTTCCCGCCAATTTTTGTCCACTACTGATTGAACCCAGTTGTATCGGTCAACATACCAATGGTTTGACAATGGTTCATAGTGAAGTTTGTTGTAGCTTAAAACGAGTCGTGGGCTTAATTTTTCAAATAACTTATATCTTGCCTGTACTTGTGTTGTGTTACCAACAAAATATACAGAGGTGGGCTTCGCAACCTGCAATTGCTACGATCACCCACGACCAGCGACCTCCAACAATTGTTCCTCTCCGCCATTTACAGTCGTCCTGCCTCCGCTTCCTGCCACACTTCTCCACTAGCATTCTAGTCTCCTTTTCTTTGTTGCCCTAACTCTAGTAAGTCATTCCGATAACATTGAAACTCAACTCAAATTACAAAACTTTATTTCTCAACAATACTAACTAGTACAATCTAGGACAAGTGTACCCTAAATTGGCGAAATAGTAAAGTGGTGAACAAGGTTGTATTTCAGAGGGCCTTTAGGTCTACTACTACTTGTGGCCTCAAGCAACCATCTAGTCAACAAGATTAGAAGGCTCTAAACAGGAAAGAAACAAAACTAACTACTTGGGAGATCACTAGAGGGAAGATGTTAGTTAGGGTTGAATCCATTTAGCAATAAGCTGGAAATCAAGTCAATGGTCGTGCACTTGATTTCACTTTTAGGGAACTATTTGGTTCAATGGTCATGCAACCAACTAATCCACTAGAGTTTTAGAATTAGATTCCTTAAACACAAGCAAATGAAGCTACAACCCAATAGTCATGTAACTATAACTCCACTCTGTTGATGTACATTCTAGTTCTTGACCTGATAAGATGGTCTCTCTCTTAGGTCAAGAAATCTAAAATCCAAATACTCAACAAGCATAAGGAGGCACGATAGATCATCAAATAATGTAGGAAATAAGGTCACAATCATGCTTTACATACAAACTAAAATCAAATTCATTAGTTATTTTTCGTAAGCAACAAGAGAGCTAGAGCATAGAGAGAGAAAGGGAGTACAAATAGGAAGAATAAGAAGAAGTCAAGACATGAGTAGAATCATCTTATCCACGTTGATTCGATCTTGCCTTCTTGTTCTTGGATGGTTTAGAGGCTTGGATGATTTTCTCCAAAAACCCTCCAAGTTCTCATTCTCGCTCTCAATCTCAAAACACTATGTTTTTCTTCTAGGATACACCATTTGTCCAAAAATAGCCCTTGTATTTATAGACTAGTGCACATATCAAAATTCACCACCGTGAACTTTTGCAATCTGTTCCTCACGGCTTGGGCCACGACAGTGGCTCTAGCCTTGAGCAGGTTCACGGATAGATTCTTCAGTTAACCCCATGAACGTTATCTGACTATCTGACCCTTTGTGCCCTTTAGGATGACCGACAGACCCACTGATCTTTCGTTGCTAGTGTTCATGATAGCATCGTATTTGCACGTGTTTTCACTCTG